CCCCCAGCATGGCCCTGGTGCCCTGTGCTGGCTCCCCCCAGCCCTGTGCCTAGAGCTGGCTCAAGCCCCCCTCCCCCAGCATGGCCCTGGTGCCCTGTGCTGGCTCCCCCTCAGCCCTGTGCCTAGAGCTGGCTCAAGCCCCCCTCCCCCAGCATGGCCCTGGTGCCCTGTGCTGGCTCCCCCTCAGCCCTGTGCCTAGAGCTGGCTCAAGCCCCCCTCTCCCAGCATGGCCCTGGTGCCCTGTGCTGGCTCATGCCCCCCCATATAGCCCTAGTCCTACCACTCGCTCACCCCCCCAGCCCTGTGCCCAGTGCTGGCTCAAGCCCGCTCCCCCCCTTGGTGCCTGGCACTGGCTCACCCCTCCCCCACAGTCCCATGCCCAGAGATGGCTCCCCCCCCCCCGCCATGGCATGGCCCCGGTGCCCGGCACCGTCTCTGCCAGAGGCCCAGCTGAGGGCAAACCAGCTCATGCAAAGCCTGAGCACCTCTTGCCCCCACACAGGGCCTGTCTCAGTGCCCCTGGGGTCAGGGTCTGGGGCAACTCTCAGGGTCCCCTGAGCCCTGCAGGGAGCTGAGATCCCTGCCCCAGCCCCATCACTCAAAGCCCCGCCCACCCCCCATCACGCACCTCCAGACCTGGCACTGAGGGGTGGGGGGAAGGGGACAGGTGAAATGACTGACACAGGCCTGTGTGACACACACACACACACACACACACCAACCACTGACCCAGGCTCCCTTGCAGCCCCGACTCCTGCTCTTCTTGCAGGTTTCAGCCTGGGCCCCACCAGGCCCCTCATCCAGCTTCCCCCCCAACTTCACTGACCCCTTCAGCCTCCCCAATCCCCCAGCTCCCCAGCATGAAACACTGGTGCCAGTCTCATCAGAAAAGCACCCCCCCCCACACACTAACTGTGGGACTGGATCCTGGCCTGCCCCAGCCACCTACCCCGGCTAATGGGGGACATCGTTGAAGGGAGGGAGAAACTCCCCCTCCCACAGTGAGGGGCTCAGGCTCTCTGCAGACTCAGGCCCTGAGGGCAGGAAGCCTCTCTCTTGTTTCCAGCCAGAGCTGCCATCCACCTGCCTCCGGGAGCTGGGGCTCCCTGGGCACAAACATGCCCTGGGGGCAGAGCTGGGCCCTGCTGGTTCTTTCTCAGGGGCTCTGACCCTCCTCCCCAGGGATGAGCTTGGCATAAATACTCCCAGCCAGTGACACCGCCATGCCCTGCCCCTGTGCCTTCTCCCCAATGAGCTCCGAGCACCTCATGAATATTCATTAAGCCATGCCCCAGGTACCTTTCTTGGATCCCTGCAGAGAGGTAAACTGAGGCATGGGGGAGGGAGTGTGGCTATAGTGAGGGTCAGAGCCAGGACCACAGAACCCAGGACTCCTGACCCTCAGCACCAGGCCTCGCCATGTGCAGCAGCTACAGAGCCCAGGGTCCAGCGTGCCCTGTGCTGGAGGCTTCAAGACTCTTGTGCAGTACTTAAAGGGGCAATGCAGGAGACATGGGGGGCCGGCGGCCGTTTCTCCGTGGGAGAAGCACAAGCCTGGGATTCAGGAGAGCTGAATCTATTCCTAGCTCCATCACTGGCCTGCTGGGTGACCCACTCTCTGCCTCAGTTTCCCTTCTCACCCTTTAGCCACATAGACTAGGAGCTCTTAGGACTGTCCTTTACTGAGGGTCCTCGCAGCACCCGGCACAACCAGGGCCCTAACTCAGCTCTACCATAATTTGCCTAAAAGTTAGTAATGAAAAAATAACACACGGGGCACCTCCCCATAGCCGTACCCAGCTAAACAGGTACGCGGCCCCCTTCGGCTGTTCTGTGCCATTCAGATGAAGCCCAAGGCACCAGCTGATGCTAAACCCAGACAGACCAACCGCGCACTGACGGACTGGTAGAGCAAAGAGTGACCTTTCTGTAGTAACAAAGGTGTTCCCAGGCGGGCTGTCCAATAACCGAGTCTGCAGAGAGCCTGAGCCTGTCGATGGGGAGGGGGAGCTGCCTGGGTGTAACCAACACAGTGACTTTGCCTGTATCTGCAGAGAGCCTGAGCCTGTCACTCCCAGAGCAGGGGAGCTGCCTGGATGCTTCCCAATGAGGTGTTAACTCCCCTCCTGCTCTGTGTGGGGTAGGAGGGGAGGGCGCAGGGGGCTGAGACACCCCAGCTGCTGAGACGCATACCAATGAGGTAGCCAGGAAGGGAACCGCCCCCCCCGCTGCCACCACGCCTACCCCAAGCCTTTATCAGGACCCCACATTGTCCACCCTAGCCCGGGGTGACGTGCCAGTGATCACACAGACAGTCAGTGGCAGTGCTGAGGATAGAACCCAGGAGTCCTGGCTCCCAGCCCCCGTCCCCCCTGCTCTAACCACTAGACACCACTCCCTTCTGAGAGCTGGAAATCCTGACTCCCAGCTGTCAGAGAGCCACAGGTCCGGTGCTCCCACACGGCTCTGGAACAGTCCCTGGGCAGACCAGACCCCTTTCGAGGGTTAACTCCCTTAAGGTCACGCTCTCTCTGGGGTAAGCACCTTTCCTGCCCTCAGCACCCCTGGGTCAAGCCATGAGCTTGCCGGGGCAAGGCCACCTGGGTTGGATCCCTGGGAATGCTTTCACCCCAAAGGGAGTCATGCCCCCCGACTTCCTGAGCCTGGAGTGACTCCCAGCCAGCGGTGTAAATAGGGTTTATTAGAGTCGGGAACCCAGCGGAACAGGTGCTGGGTTAGCCTAGAGACCAGTTTGTTCTCATTCCTGGGCTAACCAGGCCACCTGGTCACCCGCCTTCGCACTTTGTTCTCCCGCTGGCTTCCCACAGAGGCGGGGCGGCCAGCCTGGGGCGTTAGATCTGAGGCACCAACTGTCTGGCCCATTGTTGTCCGGGTTCGTCATGGGCATGGGGCCCCTGGCAGCCAGGCATCGATCACACCTGGCTCGCTACAAAGAATAAACTCCCTTGTTCCACCACCTAGTTAACCAGGCAGCACAGAGGGGAAACTGAGGCACACACCATATTCATACAAAATATTAAGAATTCCCATTTTTTTCACACCATCCCCCCCGCTCTAACCACTAGACCCCACTCCCCTCCCAGAGCTGGAAATAGAACTGCCAAGTCCTGGCTCCCGGCCCATCCCAGCTCTAACCACTAGCCCATAATCCTCTAACCCCAGTCTTTACAACCGGTCTTACACTAGGTGCAATTACATTCTCACTCACTGCTGATGTTTGGGGACCCCTCTCCAGTTGGCAGGGGTACCCGGCCCCTGGTTTCCAATTTTTGTGAGACCAGCCCCCACTTTGGAGTCAGGAGGTATCTCCGCATCCCCCCTCCCCAGCCTGCGGCCAAGGGGTCCCTTCGCAGGGCAAACACAAACCAACCCTGAGCGGTTTGATGCCAGCTGGTGAGCTGGAGGGAAAGTTTTAAACGGCTCTGAGGTTTGTCCCAGGCTGGGATGTGGGGGGACGGGGTGCCCAGCAGGGGCCCCATCCCAGGGCTGGATCTAGGCCCCATGGGGCTGGGCAGTGCACTGAGTGAATAGCTAATGCCTCTGCCTCCCCCCCATGTACCCTGTGCACATGGACCCACACTCAGCCGTACACCCCCCAAGTCCACACTCTACCCATGCCCGCGGCAGCTCCCATCTCCTCCCTGCCAACATGCTGGCTACAGGGGGCCCTGGCATGGCACTTGGCCCTTCCTGGGGGCGGCTGCCCAGCCCACCAGTGCCAGGCTCTGTGGAAGGGCAGGAGCGCAGCCTCACCTGGGCCTCATTAGCTGGAAGGCCATTAATTAAGGTCGGAGCCCCTGGACCTGACCAAAGGCTTAGACAAGCTCTGTTGTGGGGGGGGGCTGAGCTAGGCAAACTGGGCAAATGGGGCAGCCTAGCGACGTTGGGTTGGGTCAAGTTTGCTCAAGGCTCTGAGGGAAAAGCCCTTAAATCCTGGCCACAGGAGGGCTTGGCTTTGCCTCCGCCGGGCTCTTTAAGGGCCTTCATTATGGAGGGAAACTGAGGCAGGCTGCGCTCAGCCACAAGGGGGTGGTGGGGAGGGGCGGGTGCCCCTTCTGCAGGCCCATCTACCCCGGCATCCCAGCAGGACCCTTCAAAAGTAGCAGCGAGGTCCCTGGCCCCCAAGCGGGGAGGGAGGGAGGGAATAACTTGCCCCCAGGGGAGCCGGCCATCTACCTCCCAACTCCTGCTGAACATCCCAGCTCCTGGCATACCCCCCCACGAGGGTTGGGGGGGTGTTCTCTTGCTATTGCGAAGCCTCCAGATGCTCCTGGGATACGCCTCCCCCGCCCCCCCCGTGTGATTGTGTTTCCATGGCAATGGAGAATAAAGCACCGCATCAGGGGAAGAGAGATTTGCCCCCAGGACATCGGGGTGGGGGCAGGGACTGCCCTGGACACAGGCCACCGGGAATTCCAGGCCACGGGGCCTTCCCCTCTAGGGGGCACTGGCTCCAATCCCGCCCCCGGCAGGGGTCTGGCTGGCTCGGGGGTGGGAAATGGGACACTGGGCCTTGGGGGGTTCACCCTGACAATGAACTGGGCTCGAGAGAGTCACTGGGGGAGAGTGTCCCACCCTGGAGGTGCAGGGGGAGGGGGATGCTATGAGCCCCCCCACATCAGCGACACGCCCTGTTTCATGCGGCTGACATGGCTGATCTGTCACATCGGGGGGGGGGGGGGTACTGGAACTTGGCCAGGAAGCCTGGGGAGGGGGGAGCCCAGGGCTGGGCTAGCAGGGGGCTGCGGGTCGGGAGTGAGGGGCATCAATTGCACTATTTGCTCTGATCTCTGCCCCCCGCCCCACTTGCAGCCTCACACACTCGTTCTGGGGGGGCTGCGACTCGGGGGGGCTGATGACTGACGAATCTCCAGGCCACCAGCGTCTGTTACAAATGTGATTTTTATTAAATCCTCGTGGGAACATGTTAGATTTGGCCTGACCCCCCCCACCTTTGGATCAGACCTTCCCCGGACCCCCCCAGCCCGCCCCAGCCCAGGCACCTGCCCCCCATATCCCAGCATGGGGGGGTTCTCCACAGCAGACTCCCCAGCCCTGGCTGGACGACCCAAGGGGGAAGAAATGGGTCCAGGATGTGTTCGATCCCCCTGGAGGTTGGGGTGTCGATGCAGCAGCTCTGCCCCCCCCCCTGGCTCCGGGGCTCCCCTCGCACTCCTGGCTTGTGACGATAGGAGTGAGTCCGGCTCCAGGTGTGACGGTGGCGGGGAAACCCCGGCGGGGGCGAGTCCGGCCCAGCCACTCGCAGGGGTGTGAACGGCCCCGGCTCGGCGCCCATCACTTAAACACCGACGTCGTTAACGACTCCAGCCCTGGGGGGGGGGCATGGATCAGCCACCAGCCACGGCTCTGTTGGTGCCACGAGTGGGGGGGCACTTAGTCCTTCCCCCCCCAGGCAAGGAGGACAGGGGCCCAGGGGCCCACCAAGCCCCCCACCCAACACCCATCTGGTCTGGGCAACTCCTGTGGGTGGGGCTTATTCCATGGGTGGAGCTTGGACGAGCCCCTCCCCTTCCCCCATCTGAGCCCTATGGTTGGACAGCGATAATCTGTGACTGATGGGTGAGGCTGAGCTGCCCACAAAGGGCTCAGGATTCCCCCTCCCCCACTTCTCTGGGCACCGACAGCTTTGGGGGGGCACCCTGGGACCCCCCAGGGAGAAGGGTCCTGGCTGTAGGGGTGCCCAGGACCCAGGCAGACAGGATGAATGGGCTCCAGAGACAGAAGCAGCCCCCCACGCCTGCCCCCCAATGCCCTCGCCCACCCCTCACACATATGCCCCCCCCACCCGGCCGTGCCCCCTCCTACCCTTCCCCTGATCTTCTGCTCAATCCAGATTCAGCAGGGCCCAGAATTTGTTGCAAACAACCCCCACCACCACCACACTGCTCCCAATTTGCTGGTTTCTTCCTTTTGTCTTGAGCTCTGCCGAGGCCTTTGAAACCAGCCCCCGACACCCCCTCTGGCCCCCACTGCCCCCTGACCCCCCTCTGACCTTCATCACCCCCTTCTGGCCCCCACTGCTCCCCCAGCCCCCCACTCAGTACGGTCCCCTTGTCAGCTTCTGTCCCCAGCCCCGCCCCCCAGATCAAACTGACTGACATACCACCCCACTTCCCCCCGTCCAATCTCCCACCTGCCCAGCCTGCATATTGGGGAGGCAGCTCCCAGCTGGGGGGCCCTTTGGGACTCTCAGTGGGGGGCACTAATTCTGTTCCTATCACTCCAACTTCAGCAGCTGCAGAACGGGGGGGACTGAAACTCCCACTTATTGCCCTGGCTGCAGGATTGGGCCCACCTCGGGTGGGGGGGGGAAGAAAGCTGGGCCCTATAGAAAAGGAGGGTGCGATTTTACACACACACCCTCCGCGCGGATCACACTTACGAGTGTGTCATTACAAACCACAAACAAACCAGGGAGGAATTGGTTAAAGGGATGGTGCTGGTCGGGGGGGGGGCAATAGGCAAAGGGGTGTCCTGGGTGGGGGGTTCTGGGGGGGCCCCAACATCCCCTCCCCTCCCCAGGGGGCAGTGTCTCCGTCAGACCTCGCTGGTGACGGAGCGGGAGGGGATGAGCACGTCGGGGGTGGTGGGGAAGAGACACAGCTGGGGGTCAGGTGATTTCTGGGAGCACAGCTCTGTGATCCTGGAGGGGAGAGAAACGGGGGGGGGGGGGGGGCAGAGCTTTAAACGTGTCCCCAAAGCCCCTGAAAAAGTTACAGCCCCCCACATTGAACCCACAACCTTTGGTCCCAGAGCACAGCCCTCTAGTGGTACAGCTGAGGGAGCAATGCTGGTAGTAGGCACCACTGGTAGGTTGTTATCCCCGCTGCAATGTGGCTTGGGCAGCACTGGTAGGTTGTTATCCCCTCTGCAATCTGGTTTGGTCAGCCCTGGTAGGTTGTTCCACCTCCAAATCCCCCATTTTTCTCTCCTTTCCCCCCAAAACTTCTGTTTCACGCCCCCCAGAATCTGCATATTCTCCCAAAATTAATTTGCCCTCCCAAAACACATTCCCATAATCCACCCTCCCCATTCACCCCCTCTCCTGCCCCATTTCCCCCCTCCCTGGCACTGGGCTGCACCTGCCTGGGGGTGGGGGGAGGGAGCGCTCCCTCGGCAGGTCTCCAGCAGGGCGTAGGGGGGGTGGCACTTACTCGTAGGGCCGAGCCGCCCCAGCGTGGCCCCCCATGCGGAGGGAGCGAGCTAGCTGCCTCTCCAGGCCTCGGGTGAGCAGCGTGGAGAAATCCTGCTCTTCTGGGGGGTCCCTGACCCGCTAGGGCCCCCCCCAGGGAGAGCAGCGTCAGGCGGGAGGAGGGGGGAAATGGGGGGAAAGAAACAACAGAGAGATGGAAACAATGTTAGGCCTTTGCTCCTTGCTCACCATGGGTGGGGGAATTGGGGGGGTTGAGGGGTCTTTGGGGTTCACACTGGGGGGATCAGGGGGTCATTGGCATTCACACTGTTGGATGCGGGGTTCAAATGGGGGGCATCGGGGGTCTCACAGGGGGGAGCCCTCACAGGGGGGACTGAGGCTCCTATGGGGTGAGAAAGGGGTTTGGGACTCATCTCTGGGGGGTAGCCTGAGATGGAGAAGGGTGGGAATGGGAGGGGAAAGTGTGGGGAGAGAAGGAACCCAGGATGCAGGACTCGGTGTCTATACTCCCCCCCCCACACCCCCAATTGGGCCCCACTCCTCCTGCATGTCCCCACCAGACCCCGCCCCGTTCAGCATCCTCCCCCAAGACTGTGAGAGCCACCCCCACCCTAGAGCCAGCTGCCATGGGTGCTGGGGGCCAGATGCCTGGTGAAGCATCCCCCCTCAACACCACCCCTGCTCCCTGCATGACCTGGGGGGCAGGCGGGGGTGTTGAGGTGTCGTGGGGCCACGGGTGAGGGTTTCAGGGGGGAGGGGATCAGGGGAGTTATGCAGTTCCCAGCCCCCACGCTGGGGGCCAGGGGTTAAGGCCGCACTGTCCTGGCCCACTGCCTCTCCCCATCCTGATCCCATCCCGAGGGGAACCTACCCCCCCCACAGCTCCCCACCAGCTCAGAGTGTGAGGTGGGGGAGGGGATGGCAGTGGGGCCACGTGACCCCCCCTCACACCTGCTCTCCCAGTTCTACACCCCCATTCTGCAGCCCCCCAACCTCCACCCCTGCGCCCTGCAGCACCCTGCATTTTCCTGGGGCTCGGGACGGTGGGGGACTGAGCAAAGAGCCCCCGGCCCCAGAGGATGCAGCCACTGCCCTGCGGCGGGAGGGGGATGGGCTGGCTGGTGGCTCCCCAGAGCTGGGCGCATCCCCAGGTGGCTCGTTGCAGGTGCCCTGCCCCTCACCTGGGCTACGCTGAACTTTTCCAGGGGGCTCTCGACGCAGGGCAGCCCCACGCCGGGGACGCTGGCCAGGCTCTCGGCCGGCACCGGCTTCTGGGCCGCGGGCGCCTTGCTCCGGAAGTTATTGACCACACAGGTCACCTGGGGATGGGGACCCAGAGTAAGGGAGGGTCCGGCCCCCCTAGGCACCCCTTCCTGCTCCCTGCAGCGCGGCGCCCCCCAGCTGACGAGTGGCTGAGTGCGATGGGGGGAGTCCGGGGTGTGGCTGAGAGGCCTCCTGGGTGGGGGGGTTGTGCGCTGAGGACTGTGGGAGTTGGGGGTGAGGTGGGGGCTGTGTGGTTTGGTGGGGTGTCCGGGGGGGTAGGGATGGGGGGCAGGTGGGTGCTGTGTGGTAGGGGGTGGAGGACTGCGGGAGGCTTAAGGGCCAAGTGGGGGGCTGTGGAGAGCTGTGGGGGATTTGGGAGGCCAGGTGGGAGATTGAGAAGAGCTGTGGGGGTGGGGACCATGTGGGGGTGGGCTCGGGGGGTGTCAGGAAGTGTGGGGGGCAGCAGAGGGTGTGGGGGGGCAGGTGGGAGGCTGTGGAGAGCTGTTGGGGTGGGGGCCATGTGGCAGGGGCTGGGGGTGCTTGGGGGAGGTGGGGGACCGTGGGGAGCTCGGGGGGCAGGTGGGAGGCTGAGGGAGCTCAGGGGAGGTGGGGAGCTGCGGGGGAGCTCGGGCAGGCAGGTGGGGAGCTGGGGGTGCTGGGAGAGCTGAGGGGGCTGGGGATGCTCAGGGGAGGTGGGGAGCCATGGGGGGCAGATGGGGGACTAGGGTACTGTGGGGGGCATGTGGCAGGGGCTGGGGGCTTGGGGGAAGTGGGGGGCGGTGGGGTAGCTGTGGAGAGCTGTGGGGGTGGGCGCCTTGTGGCAGGGGCTGAGGGCGCTCAGGGGAGGTGGGGGGCTGTGGGGGAGCTCGGGGGGGACAGTTTGGGGGCTGGGGGGCCTGCGGAGAGCCGAGGGGGCTGGGGCGCTCAGGAGAGGTGGAGGGTCGTGGGGGGCAAGTAGGGGGCTGTGGGGGCTGCGGACAGGCGAGTGGGCTGGGGACGCTCCGGGGAGGTGGGGGGCTGCGGGGGGCTCACCAGGAAGGCGGCGATGGCGGCCCCGGTCAGGAATCCGGCCAGCACATCAGCCCAGTGGTTTCGGTGCTCGGCCACCCGCACCACCCCCACCAGGGCAGCCGGGCCGGCCAGCGCCAGGCAGAGCGTGGGCTTGGCCAGCCGGGAGCCCCGCACCTCCAGCACCAGCGTCACGTACATCTGGGGGGAGAGAGATGGCGTGGGGGGGGGGGCAGGAGCCATCAGAAGCCCCCCAAGCCCTGCCCTCCGGACCCCCCTTGCCCGCAGACTGCCTGCCTCCCTCCCCCTCCCTTGGGCTGCCCTGCCCCTCTGCCTCCCCTCTCCCTGCCCTACGGCCCCCTGTGCTGTCCCCTCTCCCTGCCCCCTCAACCCCTCTGCCCCACCTCCCTACCCCCATCCCACTGCCCTGACTAGCCCGCGGCCTCCCCTCCCTCTGCCCCACAGCTCCATCAGCCTGTCCCAGCCCCCCAGCCCGTACGGCGGTGTAGACCACGGCGTAGGCACTGAGCGCGGCGTCCTTGGAGGGGAAGGCTTTGCGGGCTGCAGTGACCAGGGCGGGGTTCCCAGCGCAGGCCCCCCGGTCGGTGATGTACTGGGGGCCGGGCAGCTGGCAGCCCAGCGCCGTGTAGTTGGGGCGGCAAACGGAGAGGAAGTGGGGGGTCTGGTTCCCCGTGACGACCTGCCCGGCGTTCGCGAAGATGGTGGTGGTGAACAGGCCGAAGGAATAGACACCTGCGGGAGGAGGGGAGTGATTAGTGCAGAGATGGGCCGGGCAAGCAGGGGGCTGTGGGTCGGGAGCGAGGGGCACCGGCAGAGCTGGGGGGAGCCCAGGGCCGGGCGAGCAGGGGGCTGCGGGTCGGGAGTGAGGGGCACCGGCAGAACGGGGGAGAGGACAGCCCAGGGCCGGGCGAGCAGGGGGCTGCGGGTGCAGAGCTGGGGGGAGCCCAGGGCCGGGCGAGCAGGGGGCTGCGGGTGCAGAGCTGGGGGGAGCCCAGGGCCGGGCGAGCAGGGGGCTGCGGGTCGGGAGTGAGGGGCACCGGCAGAACGGGGGAGAGGACAGCCCAGGGCCGGGCGAGCAGGGGGCTGCGGGTGCAGAGCTGGGGGGAGCCCAGGGCCGGGCGAGCAGGGGGCTGCGGGTCGGGAGCGAGGGGCACCGGCAGAGCTGGGGGGAGCCCAGGGCCGGGCGAGCAGGGGGCTGCGGGTCGGGAGTGAGGGGCACCGGCAGAACGGCGGAGAGGACAGCCCAGGGCTGGGCGAGCAGGGGGCTGCGGGTGCAGAGCTGGGGGGAGCCCAGGGCTGGGCGAGCAGGGGGCTGCGGGTCGGGAGCGAGGGGCCCCCCCACTCACCCAGGAAGCGGACGATGCGTCTCAGCAGCGGGATGAAGTAGCAGCATTCCCCAGAGACGATGGTTTTCTCCTTACGCTGCCGCGGCCAGCAGAGAAATCCAGCCAGTTCCCCGACCAGGATCTTGGGGCCGGGGGAGGGGGGCAGGATCCCAGTTAGCGGCTCCATCAGCACCCCCCACCTCAGGCCCAATCCCCCTGGACCCCATCCGCAGGGGCTGCCCCCTCCCACTTCTCGGGCGGCAGGACGGGATCTAGGAGCCAGCCAGGGCAGCCTCGGGGCTGCTCTAACTCATGCTCTGTCCCAGCACAGGCCTCTGTGGGAAGGCAGGGAGCAGGCACACCCCAGTGTGCTCCAGCTACGCCCCCCAAGCCAGGGTCTTAGGCCAGCCTGGAGCTCCTGGGACCAGGCAGGGGAGCTCCCATCTGAGAAGCACAAAGTGCCATCACCATAACTGAGAATTGGGCCCAGGGTGCAGGATCGGGCCCCCAAGAGCCCCCCCCCCATTAGTCTTCCCCTCCCCCAATACCCTGTCCTGCCCCCAGGGGGCACCCCGCTGCCATCGGGACCCCAGCCTGGATCCCAAAGCTGGCCCCACTGCTCCAGGTGCTGGGGGATCCTTGGGGCAGGGGGTGGGGGAGGAGTGAGGCAGCCTCATCTGTGCAGGGAGGAGTGGGGGATCCCTGACCTCCCCCTTTCTAGCCCCTCCCTCCAGCCCTCCCTGGGTCCCGTCCTCCGTCCCCCCGTCCCCCCCCGCAGAGCAGACGGTGCAGCCAGGATTAGCCAACTGGAGCGGACGGAGCCCAGATGCGGGGGAGTGGAGGGAAGGGAGGGGGGCTGGGAGCTCCCAGCTTCTAAAGCGGGGGACGGAGCCCTGGCCTATCTCCCCCAAACCCTGCCTCAGTTCCCATGAAGGGGGGATTGGGGAAGGGCAGGGATGGAGGGGCGGGGGTGGTGGGCAGAGGGCAAAGACGGAGAAAGAGAGACAGGGAAATGGGGCTGTGGGTGGGGACTGAGGGGCCCTGGCAGAGCACTGGGGTGGGGGCCCTCCCAGCCCAGCCCCATCTTTCTCCTGCCCCAAGGCCCCGTCCATGCTCTGGGGGGGGGGCCTGCTTTCCGTGTCCAGCTGCTGGTTAGTGGGGTCAGGACAGGGGCTTGGCCATACATGGAACCAGCCGCATTCAGGCTGCCAGCTTGGCATGGGGGGTGCGGGCTGGGGGCACCAGGCCCCAGCTGCTCCCTGTTCCCTTTGCACAGATGATCTACATGACTCCCCTGCCCCACCCCTGCTGGCGCCCCAAAACCCCCAGCCCCCCTCCACTCCACCAGTCTCCTGGAGCCACCAGTCCTGCCCCCCAGCCCCCACCCCACTCCATGCAGAAGCTGCTAACCCAGGCCCAGATCCAGGACCCTGACACCCCAGCTGGGTCTGAGGGCCCCCCGGAGGAGGCTCTGAGAACCCCAAGCAGCCCCCCCCAGACTATGCTCTGCAGGTGCCAGCGGGTCCCTGTGGCGGGGGGGCTCTTGGTCACTGGCCCCCAATGGGGCACATGGGGCTGGTGTGTGGGTGCCTTGACAGCAGCCTCTGCTTGGGGGGGCACATTGCCCCCAAGCCCAAGGGGTTGGCATGGGTCTGGAGGGTCAGAACCCAGGTGTGACACTCATGGGCCCAATCCCTCTGAGATCCCAGCCCCACCAGAACCCCCGGGCACCATCCAGCCCTCCCATACCCCCCATGCCAGACCCACACGTCAGCCCCCAACGTACACGCCCCCCCCAGCCCCACCCCCTGCCCGGGTGCCCCTCACCATGGCCGTGGGCACGGCGGTGACCAGGGAGTAGACCAGGACGGGCGGGGCACGGCTGGCATCCTCGGGCCCCGGGTAGGGCTTGGCGTAGGTGCTGTCGTAGCAGAAGAAGCCCTGGATGTGGACGGGGAAGGTGTCGGTGTATTCGAAGTGATATGCCAGCAGCGCCGTGCCCGCCATGATCACCAGCTGGAAATAGAACATGGCAGCTCAGCGCCTGGCCCCGGCCCGCGCCCGGCCCGGACTGAGCGCCGGGCGGAGCGGAGCGAGGAGGCAGAGTCGCGGGCTGGGAGTGGGGGGAGCCCAGGAACCATCCGTCCCGCCTCCCCCTTCCCTCTCCCCCGCCCCCCCGGCTCCGTGCAAGCTCCCTCGTGCACTCCCGTTCACGCTTGGCTGCCTGCTGTAGCTCCGCATCACTTCACGGCCGAGGCACCCACCTCGGTCAGACTGGGGCAGACGGCTGCTCCCTCCCCCCTCGCCTCCCCCCAGGGCTTCCCCCACCCACCCACCTGCCCCTCCTCCAGCCGGAGCACCCAAATAAGTCCAACCCCCCCCACACACCACGCTGTGCCTTTTCAAGGCTGCAGGCCCCCCTCACCCAGCAGTGAGATGCAGCTGCCTCTGGGGTGGGGTGCAGGGGCTGTTTATACAGGGACCCCTTGCTCGGTGCTGAGATTCAGCCACCTCTGGGGTGGGGCATGGGGGCTGTTTAGGATGGGAAGGAAGTGATGAAGGATCCTGTAAGCAAGGGAGTGGGGGCTGGGGATTTGCCTTGGCCCCCCCAGCCCCTGGCAGTGAGCTCAAAGGGTCAGGGCCAGGGTTTTATGAAGTGACAGAAGGAAAATTTCATTCCCTGGCTCGTGGCCCTGGCTCTCTAGGCCGACTTCGTGCTCCTGAGCTGGACGGTGAAGGGGGGTCGTTTAGCCCCCCCCAACATGATCTCCCCCCCACACTTGCTGTTTAATGCAGGACCCTCCTCCACAGCAAAACCCCTGTGTCTAACCTCTGGAGGGTTCATGGCAGGAGGGGCTGGTGCTAGGGCATGAGGAAGGGGAGTTGCTAGGGCACTGCTGCAGGGAAGCTCACAGCACTGTCTTCCTCGCCCCTGGCCTGGAGCACTATTGTGGGGAACTTGCAGTGCTGGAGTCCCCCCATCTCCCCAGGCTGGGCACTGCTGCAGAGAAGCTCACAGCTCTGGAGTCCCCCTGGCCGGGGCACTGCCTGGGACAAAGTGGGAATTTTTCATAATGTTTTGTATGACTACACTGTGTGCCTCAGTTTCCCTTATGTGCTGCATGGGGGTGGGGTCGGGGGAGGTTGTTTACTGTTTGCAGAGGTCCAGGTGTGACTGACGCCTGGACCCCAGGCCTATGGAGAGTCCCAGAAAACAAGGACCGCACCAAATGCCCGGACATTTGGTACCTAGCGACTAAGGAGCATGGATGACCCAGATGGACCAGGCTGTAACTTTCTGTTCTCTCTGGTAACTAAGGGCTTGCTCTGCTGTGTTCCAGAAACTAATAAACCCTCCTGGGAGGGACGTCACTCCGGAATCAGGAAGTCGGGGGGCATGGCTCCCTTTGGGGGTGCAAGTCTCCCCCAGGGCTCCAATCCAGGTGGACTCGCTGCAGGGAGCTCACGGCATGACCCAGGGGTGCTGAATGTTCGGTCCCAGGAGGCGGGGAAGCCGAGGGGCTGACCCCAGTGAGACAGTGCGACCCTGATGGGGCTGATGCACTGAAGGGGTCTTCCCAGGGCCGTGCGAGAGCACCGGGCCGGTGGATCTACAACATTGCCACAGGGAAGCTCGCAGTGCCAGGTCCCCGTTTTAAGGTACATTGGTTAATTTTGGATTCTCTCACTAAGCTGAGTGGAGAACAGAACCTAGGAGTCCTGGCTCCCAGCCCCCTCTTCTCTAATCACTACACCCCACTCTCCTCCCACAGCCAGGGAGGGAATCCAGGCTTCCTGGCGCCCAGCCCCACGCTCCTCAGGCCCAATGCCTTACCTCCACGAACACAAAGCAGGGGATGATGGAAACGCTTCTCTTCAGCTCCTGCTTCCCGCCAGCCATGATGCCCACTCCGGGCGTGGGAGAGAGGGGGTCCCTCCGTGGGGAGGGGGCACCTAGCAAAGGAGACCCAAAGGCAGAGCGGTCACTGCATCCCTACACGGCCCCCTGCCCATGCACGGTGCAAACAGAGACCCCAGGTCCCTCCCCCAAGCAGCATCTCGCATGGTGTGAACTGCCCCCCACTCCCCTGATTCATCTTCCAGGCTGAGACCTGGCTGCCCCCCACAGCCCGTCCCTCAGCTGAGGCCTCCCACGGGCTCCTGATCTGGCTGCCATCCTGCCACTTGGCCTCCTGTCCCTGCTCCTTTGGGGCGTTGGGACAATCTGACAAATCGCCCCGAAGCGGGACGACGAGTCGAGATTTTGGAATGTTGGTGGAATGGAAATTTGGGGAAAATGCCGGACGGTCGGGAGCAGCTGGACGCTCTCTTTTGATACGTTTGAAGCGTTCGAACAGGACAGAAAACATGAGCTAGGCGAGATCTCAGCATGAGATGGAAAAGCAAGAGGAATGTAAAACAGCACAATACAAGATCTGCTGCGGTGAACAAGAAAGTGTGTCATAGAATCTAAACAGAGAAAATAGAATTGAATACCAAAGTGTAAAAGATTCTTTGTCTCGGTTTAGATTCTCTTGCACTTGCATAGAGCTGCAATCTAAACAGAGAAAATATCCTCATATAGAAATATAATCCATTATTTTTTTGGTATTTCGGTTCTATTACACTTTTCTATTAGATGGTATTTTCTCTATTCAGATTATAGCTCTGTCAATGTAACATAATCTAAAGTCTAGATAGTAGAATAATGAGATAAAGGTAAGAGAATAATAAATCATATAATCTCCTAGTATAAGGGAATATATAATGTAAAGGTATACAACAGAATGTAACAGCGTGTGAAAGTTTAAGAGGATAAGGAATTGTACGCAGCAGAAGGACTGGCTCCATTTTGATCAGTTTCCAAATTTTTCTGTCAAAAAGGAGGTGGAAATCCACCTTTCAACTGTGACAAAATGGCCTTTTCTGACAGGAAACACCTCTGCCGAAATTGCTTCTGGTCACTGGACTTGGCAGGTTCTGGGCCCCATTTGGGGCCGCAGGCCGGGTGCCAGCTGGGTGGCATCTCCACAGGCGACATACCGAAACCTGGGCTCTACCAAGCGGCTTCCTCCGTGCGGCACCTCCACTCCGCACCGTACGTACCAGGGCACGCCGTCTGGAGGACGCCGTGTTGTAGAACTGGGGGGGCCGGATGCATCCGGGGGCTGGACAGAACTGTTAAACGGGTTGACAGTTGGACTATCTGATCCTGTCTGCCCATGCGAGAGATGGAGAATCCTACCTATGCGAGAGACAACGGATCCCAGCCACATGCATTGTGCGAGAGGTGGCAGGTCCCAGATGTGCTCGTGCGAGAGGGGGCGGGGCCCAGATGTGCTCGTGCGAGAGGGGGCGGGGCCCAGACATGCTCGTGCGAGAGGGGGCGGGCCCAGACACACTTTCAGTCACACTCCAGGGTTTTGTGCCACCGGAGTTTCCCTGCGAGAAGCGCTCGGTCGCCCATGAAATGGGGCGTGTGAGCCAAGCCACCGCAAGGGTGCGACGAGATCCAAGTGTGGCTCAGCCGAGGTAGGAGCCTTTCTCCCACCCCCTGGGGCGACCTCTGCTGCCCCCGCGATTTCTAGAAACCCTGGCTTAGAAACGTTTGTAAATAGCAGTAGGTCTATTTTACGTATCCCTCCACCTGCAGGGTAAAGGTACCAAGAGGAAAAGGCTGGAAGTAGTCCCTGCAGAGGCGGCCAGCACACCGGTGAAGGGGCGGCATTGGGAAGTGCTGATTGGTGGGGTGGCTGGAAGTAGTCCTGGCAGAGGTGGACAGATGGGCACTGCCTGGGTGAAGGGGCTGGACTGAGACATGCTGATTGGCTGGGAGGTTGGAAGTAGTCCCGGTGAAGGAGGACAGAGCACGGAAGAAGCAGCAGCATGACCTGTACAATCTACCCCCAGCCCACACACCCGAGAGAGGGCAACAGCCCTTGCCGAGTGACCCCTTCCCCTTGCCCGGAGCCGTCTGCACCCAGTGAGCACAAAGCTTTCGCAGGCACCCACGACTGGGGGCTGACTGGGACTCAGGACTCCTGGGTTCTGTTCCCTGTTCTGCCTCTGACCAGCTGTGTGACCTCATTGCCCCCCTGTGTGCCTCAGTTTCCCCTCCCACTCTGCATCTATGTAGATTGTAAGCCCCTTGGGGCAGGGACCGTCTCTCAGTGTTCAGCATCTGGCACAACGGGGGCCTGATCTCAGCTGGGGTCTGTGCAGCGCCTGGCACAGCGGGGCCCTGATCTCTATCGGATGCTAGACCCTACCATAAATACAGTCAACAATCCGAATTCATCTCAACCTTCTTGCTCTCTGCCCCATGCGTTTGGGGAATGGGGGAGGGTTCTTGCTGCATTTCAGCGCCAGCAGCCCCCCCCCCCGCCGCACAATTACATTGAACTGACAGCTCGGTTCCCTCAGTTCTCTTCCGGATGGTCAGGACCCCCCACCTCCCGGGAGGGGTGTGGTAGCTGATACTGGGGTGAATACCCCCCCGCCACACACACACACTAATCCTGTCCATTTCACACCCCAGTTCGGCTGCCCTGGCAGCACGTGGAGATAAATAGAAATTAAGCCCCCCACCACAAAGTTCCCAGCCCCCGTGGATAACCCCACACTGGTCCCTGCTACTGATCCAGACCCCAACCCCCAGCCCCACTGTCCAGGTCCTCAACTGGCATCACACCTGCCGAGCCCCCCCTTTTCTGCACAGAGTCAGGCTCTGATTTGCCCCCCCGCCTGTACAGCTCTGCCAGGGTCACGGCCCCAACGCCCCTGCCTGAGCTGGGCCAAGGGGTGGATCCAGTCGCCACCAGCCCTGGTTCACTAGCAACAGGCCCCCTTGCTCTGAGTCACCAGGTGCCTGGCTCCCCGGGCCCAGCGATTGCACCCATTACCGGCTACAGATTCCACTGAGACTGTGCCAGGCTGGGGGCTGTAAATCTCTGTATCCCAGACACCCCCTTTTATACAGCCCCACCCCCTCCTCCCTCTATCCATCCAGCCCCACAAACACCCGTCTATCTATCCAACCATCTCCATACACCCTCCTCCAGCCATCCAGCCATCCCCGCACACCCGTTTTATATAGCCCCCTCCCCCCTCTATCCATCCATATACACCCCCTCTACCCATCCTTCCCCACACACCCCTTTTATACAGCCCCACCCCTCCCCCTCTATCCATCCTTCTCCATACACTCTCCTCCAGCCATCCAGCCATCCCTGCACACCCCTTTTATACAGCCCCTCCCCCTCTATCCATCCATATACACCCCTTTTATACAGCCCCACCCCTCCCCCTCTATCCATCCAGTCCCATACACCCCCTTTTATACATCTCCACCCCTCCCCACTCTGTCAATCCGTATACACCCTCCTCCAGCCATCCATCCCCATACACCCCTTTTATACAGCCCCCTCCCCCCATCCATCCATATACATTCCTTCTACCCATCCATCCCTGCACACCCCTTTTATACAGCCCCACCCCCTCTATCCATCCATATACACCCCCTCTATCCATCCTTCCCCAAACACGCCTTTTATACAGCCCCACCCCCTCCTCCCTCTATCCTTCCAGCCCCACACACCCTCCTCTAGCCATCCAGTCATCCCCACACACCCCTTTTATACAACCCCACCCCTCCCCCTCTTCCATCCATATACACCCCTTTTATTCAGCCCCCCTCCCTCTATCTATCCAGCCCCACATACCCACCTCCATCCATCCAGTCATCCCTCCATACACTCCCTTTTATACAGCCCCACCCCGCTCTGTCAATCCATGTACACCCCCTCTATCCATCCATCCCCATACACCCCTTTTATACAGCCCCTCCCCCCTCTGTCAATCCATATACACCCCCTCTATCCATCCATCCACCCCCATCCACCCCTTTTATACAGCCCCTCCCCCTCTATCCATCCATCTCCATATACCCCTTTTATACATCCCCGCCCCGCCCCCACCATACACCCCTTTTATACAGCCCCTCACCCTCTGTCCAGCCATACACCCCCCCATCCATCGAGCCCCGACACCCGCATTTGTCCATCTAACACCCCCAACCCACCCCCCCCAGCGGCTGTCGGTGCCCCCGCTGCCCGGCGCTGGGGCCTGCCGACTCCTCTCACCGCCCCTCTCTAGGCAGCAGCCATCGCTGCCCCCCCGGCCAGGCCCCCGGGGCTCCTCGCCGGCCGGTCACTGCTCCGCCGGTCGCCGGCCCGGCTCCATCGCGCTGGATCGCGGCGACCGCCCGGTTCCGGAGCCGCTCCGCAGCTGCGGCTTCTCCAGAGCGAGGGGGCGGCGCAGGGGCGGGGGTGGGAGCTGAGGGGGGGGGGGGGATCAGCTGGCGTCATTAACATGAGGCATGTGCCCCCTGCGGGGGGGGGGTCCAGGCACGGAGAAGGGGCTGTGCCCCCCCCCATGCCGCCCCTCTTTGCAGGTTGATTGTCCTGGTGCTCGCCGGGGGTTTGTATTGTGTCCCCCCTGTCCCCCCCTCCGCTTAAGGGGTCTGAGAAAATGTGTATGTGGGTCGATCATAATCTGGGGGGAGCAGTTTGGGTGGGACTGTGCTTAAAACGCCCCCCCCCATCTCCACACATGCCACAGGGGTGTTTATCCCCCTCCGGGGGCTTTGCCCTAGGTGACCGTGTCACGGAGTGTGGGGGAGTCCAGGCCCTGCACCCCTCTTCCTGGGATTCACTGAGACTCTCAGCCAGCCAGTAAAACAGAAGGTTTATTGGCCAACAGGAACACGGTCCAAAACAGAGCTTGTGGGTACGCCCAGGACCCCTCAGTCAAGTCCTTCTGGGGGAGCAGGGAGCTTAGACCCCAGCCCTGGGGTTCCCTGTGTTCCTCCACCCAGCCCCAAACTGAAACAACCCCCCCTCCCCCCCCAGCAGGCTCTCTCCTGCGGCCTGTCTTCACATTCCTGGGCAGAGGTGTTACCTCCCCCTCCCGGCTCAGGTGACAGGCTCTCAGGTCTCCCATCCCCAGGGCACATTCCCAGGTCAACATCCCCCCTCCCTGCTGAGTCACATCGTCACATCCCGAGAGAGTCGGAGCGGGGCTAGAACCTCAGAGTCCCAGGAGAAAGGGAGAAGATGGGGGGGTCCATTATGGAGGTGACACTCGGCCGGGACGAGGGTCTCGTGAAAAGGGGACCCCAGCTCTCGTGTGTGGGTGAGAGGTCCAGTGTGGCCAATGCTCAGGAGTCTCACGATCATTGTTGGCTTCCTCAAAGCCCCAGGTCCTGGAGTCAGGGGAGATGGGATGATTTCAGCCTTCGGTCTTGAAGAAAAAGGAAATTTCTAACCCTCGAGGCTGCGGCGACAGCTTCAAAATGCGCGACTGGGAGGCCCACCCTGTCTCGGGAGCCAGTGGGTTCTGGCCAGTGGGAGGACAAAGGGCTGAACAGAGAGGATCCAGGTGACCTGACCAGCCAGTTCCAGCCAGTGTGGGAACAAAGGATAGAAGAGAGAGGGCCCAGGTGACCTGTCTGCTTGGGACCGAGGACAAAGGAGGGAGGAGAGACTGTAGGATGATCGGCTGGAAGGAGAGGGTGTCTGGACGGGGAGCAGAGGGCAGCCTGAGTCCACCAGGATATGGGATCGACCTAGATGAACTGGGCTGAAGGTTGCTAGGACCAGGGCCCTGAGAATCCCTTTGCTGGGTCCAGATGTTCAATAAACCCTCTGTTAATCTGGCTGAGGGTCACTGCAGGCTCGAGATCAGGGTGCCTTTGGTCCCTCTGGGGGTGGGGGCCCCCGGGGTCCAGAGCAAATGGACTTCCTGAGTGGGAGAGACAGGCATGCAGAAAGCTCAGAGGAAAGGTCCCAGGGGGTGGCGGGGCCAGAGGACCGAACCCTAGGGAGAGAGTGGAACCCTCATGGGGGCCTGTCACATGGAAGGTCCCTCCCAGGGGCTGTAGGGAGCCCAGTGAGCACGGGGCCTGTGAGTCCATGACACGGCTTCTGTCTGAATCTTTTCCTTAAGCTGGGTCAAATAACCGTCTGGTGGGTTTAGACCAGGGTTGGGCAAACTACGGCCCACGGGCCACATCCGGCCCATCAGACCATTTAATCCAGCCCTCTGCTCCCGCTGGCGATTGGGGTCGGGGATTTGCCCGCGCTGCACGGCTCCCAGGAGGTAGCCGGCATGACCCCCCTCTGGCTCCTATGTAGTATGCGGAGGCGTGGCCAGGCGGCTCTCTGCGATGCCCTGTCCGCAGCGCCGCCCCTGCAGCTCCCATTGGCCAAGGTTCCTGGCCAATGGGAGCTGCAGGGGTGGTGCCTGTGGACAGGACAGCTCACAGAGCTGCCTGGCCATGCCTTGGAGTCACAGCGGGGACATGCTTCCAGGAGCTGCTTGTGGTAAATGCTGCCCAGACCCTGCACCCCTGAGCCCACTCTGTGCCCCAATCCCCTGCCACAGTCCTGATCCCCCTCCCGCCCTCTGAACCCCAAACCCCTCATCCCCAGGCGCCCCCCCGAGTCTTCCCTGCACCCTGAACTCCTCATTTCTGGCCCCACCCCAGAGCCTGCACCCCCAGCCGGAGCCCTCACCCCCTCCCACACCTCTACCCCCAATTTCGTGAGCATTCATGGCCTGCCCTACAATTTCGATATCCATACATGGCCCTCAGGCCAAAAAGTTTGCCCACGTCATGATGTAATGACTATACACATGGCTACGTGCGTATTGAATGGGGGCGGGGAGCTGCTCCCACAAGGGCAGCGCATCTGCCTGCATTTCGGGTGTCCCGATGTTGAGGGACTGGGCGCTGGAGCGTAATGCAGCAGGGTGCACGGACAGGCTGGAGGGACCTGTCCCCTGGGCCAGAGTGAAGCCGGGGGGGCAAAGTAGCTCCATGGAGCTGGCCACAGATTCTCTCTGCTCTGATCCAAGCACTCACCGAGGGCATCTGGGGTGTACAAATTGCCAGCTGTCAGAGGGGAAACGCCGGGTTTGCAGTGCCAGCAGCTCATAGTTTGGGGTACAGGCAAGGCAAGCTGTGACTCACCCTGCACCCCTTGGGTAGCCCCGAAAGAGTCCAGGGAGTGCATGAAGCATGTGGGTCAGGGCAGCTTTCTCTCAGGCAGGTGCAAGCTAACGGGGATCCAGGGATGGGGGGCGGGGGAGAACTGGTGGGAAAAGCAAAGGAGAACAGAAAAGGAGAACGTGAACGCTCATGGGAAACATTCCACTCCCTTCACACGTGCTTGTGCAAATCACAACAGATACCAGTCCCAAGTGCTTGTGCAAAACAGTCTGCTCCATTCCCAAGTGTAAAACCCAAGGGCGTCCATTCCCATGCACCTGTGCAAGATGCGGCAGGTTCCACTTCCGCTCGCTGGTGAGAAACAGGGCACTTTCCCTTCACAAGTGCTCGTGCGGAAAGCAGCACGGTCCAGCACAGCTTCCGGTGGAACACCTGCTGCTTCTTGGATGCATCCAAGAAGCTGGAAGGCCCAGCTCTGTGCTCTATGGATCCCGTGCCCCCCAGGTCAGCGCTAAATCCTCCATTGCATGAAGGGAATGCAGAGGCTAACCCGCCCCCACGCCGCCTACAGCTGCCCCATGGAGGAACGAATACCTGGGAAATTCCCTGACCCCCAGCACTGCTCAGAGGGATCTACAGCCCTACAGAGGCTGAGCAACTCCCCTCTCTCTCCCTACAGCAGGTCCAGGCTGGCAGGGGAAGCTCCTAGCCATAGACTGGCCTGGCCCTAGTGGGACCCCCAACTCGGAGGGAAATGGAAGCTCCTTGTCCATGGCTTCTTGGCCTGAGCATGCTTGCAAGTGCAGCAGAGTGGCCTTGGGCCTAAGGCGCTGGGCCAGGATGCCTGGGTCCCATTCCCAACTTTGCCACAGACTGCCTAGGTGACCGTGGGCAAGTCACTTCCTCTCTCTGGGTCTCCGTTTCCCCATCTGCGCAATGGGGCTCAGGATCCCTGCGGTGTCTCCTTTGAGTGTGAGCTCCTTGGAGCTGCATGCAGCACCTGGCTTAGGGGGGCCCTGATCTCAGCCTGGGGGCAGGGACTGGTACAACGGGGCCCTGATCTCAGCTGGGGCAGGGACTGGTACAACGGGGCCCTGATCTCAGCTGGGGCCTCTAATATGAAAATACGAATTAGCAAGACGCTAGTTTGGATCTCGGAACGCATCACAAAAGGGAAGCGTGAGAAGCAATAAACCCTGCCCCGAGAGGGTAAAGCCCCAGCCAGGAGTCAGTAGAGCAGAAAATGCCCCAGTGAAGCAGCTGTAACATCTCAAATGTCAAAAATATACCCAGGATCGTTTCGGGAGGCAGATTCCGGTCAATAACTCCTGGGGGGTGATGGGAGGAGAGTCATCGCAGGACACGGGACGGAAATGGAGGACTGGGGAGATGAGCGATGGCTATCAAATAACCAGGGACTAGCCAAGAGGATTGCAAGGCAGCATGGCGAAATCTGTCCGCAGCTGGGGCTGGGAATGGGTCACACACTGGGGTGGAAGCTGTCCAACACCACTGGGAAATACAGAGACCTCTCATTCCGGGAGCCGGGCAGGTTTTGAACACGGATGGAGTCATTGCACTTGGAAGCAATTGGGCCCTCAGGCGAGCCAGTTCCTGGGAAGCTGCGCCCGGTTCTGGGGTGCGGGCTTCCAAAAAGGCCACTGAGCCGGCTCTAGACAGGAGCTACGAGAACGAGTCGCCCCCCTTAGAGAGACTCAAGAAACGGAGCTAAGAGAAGATTAATCGGTGATTCAATCCCGGCTCCAGGAAGCTGCATGGGGAGGAGTTTTCTGAGCCTTAGGGGCCCTGGGATCCAGCAGAAAAGGGTCCAGTGAGATCCAGCGGCTGGGAGCCAGAGCGAGACACATTCAGACTACAAATAAGATGCCCGGTTTTAGAGAGGGTGGGGAAGGAACCATCGGAGCAACTGACCCAGGATGGTGGTGGATTCTCACAACTCGGAGTCTTTACCTTTAGATCAGCTGAACTTTCTAAAAAACACTCCAACTCGGAGGTGGCTCCAGGAACCGGTGGGCACAATTCTCCGGCCTGGGATCCACAGGGCAGGGCAGGGGTGCAGGTGAGAGGGGCTGGAATGGGCACGGTAGGAACCCCCAGGATCCTTCTTCCCAGCCTGGAGCTGGCTTGCCCCCCACCCCCACGTCTCACAGCCTCCCCTCACTCCCCCTCCTATCCTCCCAGCCCTGTATTTGCAGGGTGTCCGTTTCCCCCCCCCCCCAGGAGGTCAGACAAGATCTGATGGACCCGTCTCGCCTTCAGCTCTGTTAATTCACTGCAGAAGGGCATCCCCATCCGCGAAGGTGCCCAGTACCAGCTGCTGTAGGAGAAGGTGCAAGAAACCTCGCTGTTAGTGCTGGTCCCATTGCCCCAGGGTGGCACTAGGGGGCGCTGTGCTGCAGGGAGTGGGGTGGAGGCCCAGTAGGGGGCGCTGTACCCTCACAGTCAGTGCTGGCCCCTAGTGGCTACCAGGAGACGTGCAGGGCTGGGAGAGGCATCGGATGCAGTGGCTTTCACACCCTCCTTTCTCCCAGCGCAGCTGCAACCCTCACATCTGAATCCTTTGGTCAGGAAACGGCAGCTGCCGAGAGCCACAAACTCTCCACACCCAGTTCATGGCGCTGGACGCTCCTTCCGGACGGGGGTGGCGTGGGGGGGAGGGGTTTCTTCACACAGAACAAACTGCCCGGCCAGGATGCCTGGGTTCTCTCCCTGGCTCTGGCAGAGGTCTAGTAGTTAGAGCAGGGTCCTGAGAGCCAGGACGCCTGGGTTCTCTCCCTGGCTCCGGCAGGGAAGTGGGGTCTGGTGATTAGAGCAGGAAGGCCTGGGAACGACGACTCCTGTGTTCCCAGCTCCCTGAGAGGAGTGGGGTCTAGTGGTTAGAGAAGGTGGGGCTGGGAACCAGGACCCTGGGTTCTGCCCCCAGGGCTGCTAGAGAAGAGGATGGCATTCCACCTCCACAGGGCATCACACAGGGAGGCCGTGAACGGTCCACGCTAGGGACAGGGGATCCATTTTCTAGCCAGGCAACCCTCCCCACTGGGTTGGGCCCCCGAGTTCCTCCGATCTGGCCTTAAGGAGCCTGGCCCCACAGAAGTTGCAGTGGGGGAGGTTTAGATTGGATATTAGGAAAAACTTTTTCACTAAGAGGGTGGTGAAACACTGGAATGCGTTACCTAGGGAGGTGGTAGAATCTCCTTCCTTAGAGGTTTTTAAGGTCAGGCTTGACAAAGCCCTGGCTGGGATGATTTAACTGGGAATTGGTCCTGCTTCGAGCAGGGGGTTGGACTAGATGACCTTCTGGGGTCCCTTCCAACCCTTATATTCTATGATTCTATGATTCTAAGGCCCCCAGGCCCAGTCACTCCTAAGCAGCTGTTTAATTCGGTCTCATCCATAGGCCAGGCCCCTGGCAGGTCCCTGGCACTCTCTGCTTTCAGCCTGGGGGACAGAGAGGAGGGCAAATTAGCACGCTGGCCCTTTAACTGTCGGGGCACAACTGTCCCTCAGCTGCAGAGACCCAGGGGAGGGGACATCAGCCTTGGAAGGGGCTGGCCAGATGCCTGGGTTCTCAGCCTTCCCCCACAGCGGGGGAGGGTCTGCAGAGATTGGGATTGGGTAGCCGGACACCTGGGTTCTCAGCCATGGTGTGCTGCCCAGGGCCTCATCCGGGGGGTTTCAGGCACAAGTCCCCAATTCCGCGCGTTTCTGGGAGGGGTTTGCCCTGGCTGGCCCAGCAGAGCCCAGGACCTGCAGCAGGGCCAGGGAGGGTGGGGGGGGAGGGGTCTTACCGGCATGGCCCCCCTAGGGGCAGGAGCCCTCGCAGGAGCTGTGGTCTGAGCTGCTCTCCTCCTGGCAGAGGCACAGGGCTGGCTCTGCGGCAGGGGCCGGTGGGCTGGCCGAGATGGCCATGCGGTGCCGACGGCTCCGACGGCCTGGCAGGGCAAGAGGGGCAAGGGCTGCTCAGTCGGGGGGGGGGGGGGGGGCACTCTGCCCAAGGGAGCTTCAACACAGAGGGGCCAGATCCCCAGCTGCTGAGAACTGACCCCACTCGATTCCAGTGGAGCCATGCGGATTTGCCCCAGCCCCCCCCCATCCACCCCCTGAAGCCCCCTACCGACACCCACAGCCCCCCACAGTTCACACCCAACCCCCCGCCCCTCCCCCATTTTACCCATGCCCTCAAAGCCAGCCCCTTCCACCTCCCTGTCCCTGATCCCACACCCAGCCCCCCTGGCTCCCACCTCACACCCAGCCCTGTTCTCAGCCCTCCCGCCCCACTTACCTGTGACCCTCACTGCTGCCTGGCCGTCGCCCCGGAGGCTGCAGCTGGCCATGGAATTCCGCAGGGTGTTGACGGCCGACCTGCACGGAGAGACCCCATTAACAGATCCCCCCGCTAGGCGGGGGGTGCTGAGGTGATGGTGCAGACCGACTGCAGGGCTGTACCCCAGTTACGCAGGGACCCCTGAGCCGAGACCATCCTGGGTTTCTCTTCAGCTCCTTCTTGTGACTGATGTGTGTAAGAACATAACAACCTACTACTGCTGCCCGCTCACAGAGTTGCTCCTTTAGCCTTGCAGGGCCCAGGGTTCAAATCTGGACACAGGCAGGGTGGTGGCACGTTCGTTCCCAAGCACGTGTCACTGAGGAGCGTGTTTTGCTGCCCTTGCACTGGGGGGAGGCGGTAATGGGAGAGTCGGAAGCAACTGGCAGAAGGGGGTCAGCACTGGACAAAGGGAGGTGATGCAGAGAGCACTAGGGGGTGCTGTGGGGTAGGGGCTCAGTAGGGGGCGCTCTCCCCTTGCACTCAGTGCTGACCCCAGATCCCCAGCGTGGCACTAGGGGGAGCTGTGCTGCAGAAAGCGGGGCAGGAGCTCAGTAGGGGGCATTCTCCCGTGGCAATTAGTGCTGCCCCCTAGTGGCTGCAATGAGAGCCCAGAGAGGTGGGGTGGGGGGCCCACAGGACAGATGGGGGGCTCCAGTACAGCTCAGCATGGAGAGGGGCTGGGGGACGGGAGCTGGGCGGCCCCTTCCCCAGCAGCAAGCTCCAGCCTGGTCATCATACCATATATCATTCAGCTCCTCTTTGACCGGCCTGCTATCTCTGCCTCTGCCCACGCACTCCAGGGCCGCCTCTGCGCCTGGCCCTTTGCCCTTCAGCTGCGACAGGATCTGGGGAGAGAGGGGGGCTGTTCTAGCAAACTGGGGGTCCACCCGACCGAGCCATTGGCGTGCAGAGATCTGCTATTCGGCATGGGGGGCTCAGCAGGAGGCGCTCTCCCCTCACAGTTAGTGCTGACCCCAATGCCCCAGTGCGGTGCTAGGGGGCGCTGTCCTGCAGGGAGTGCGGCAGGGGCTCAGTAGGGGGCGCTGTCTCGTGGCAGCCCATGCTAGCCTTAGTGTGGCGCTAGGGGGCGCTGTCCTGCAGGGAGTGTGGCAGGGGCTCAATCGGGGGTGCCCTCCCCTGGCAACAGCGTGTGCCTGGGTGGAGAGAAGGATGTGATGCAAAGTGCCTGATTTGTGAATGGACTGCAAAGGGGGAGGAGCATCATGTAGCCCCACCCCCTTTCCTATTTCTCCCCTCCCCCACATCTCACCTTCCTGCATTTCACTTGATTCTCGTGCATTTTCTTTATGCTGACGAGGTTCTTGGTTATATCGTCCTCCTGATCCTCTACGGAAGAGAAAAACCAGAGCCCCCAGTTCAGGGTTCCCCGCACCCCACCCAGACCCTCCCAGAACAGGCTCCACAGCCAACCAAATGCCCCTAGTGGCACATCTGGCCCTGCTGCCTGGAATCGCTGGCTGGAGCCCAGCGCTGCTCCTGCCCCTCAACTTGCAATGGGGCCCTCAGTAGAGCGCTTGGTGCCTCTAGGCCTCAGTTTTCCCACTTGGAAAATGGGGCTGATGATGCAGACCTGCCTCCCAGCAGGGCTGCAAGGCAGAGAGGACAGGTAACCCCGTGGGTGAGGCATTGGGCCTGAGAGGCAGAGGTCTGGGTTTTGATTCCTTGGGAGAGTGTGGTGTAATAGTTAGATTAAGGGGGTGGGGGGTTGGACAAGAAGCCAGGACTCCTGGGTTCTATCCCCAGCTCTGTCACAGGCTCATGGCCTGAACTTTGTGCCAGTCCCGTCCCTGCTCTCCGTGCCTCAGTTTCCCCGCCGGACAAACAGGCCAACACTGACCCAGCTGGGAGATCCAGCGTTGGAGGGTGCTATCGAGGGCGTATTGTGCCATGCACCCACCGGGGGGATTTTTACCCATAGACACCTGAGGGCTGGGGGCAAAGAAAGGGATATTCTGCTGGGTACCTACTCAATTTCTGATGGATCCTCCTCATCTCACCTTGCACTGACTCCAGCTCCTCCCAGAGGAATTTCTTGCTAAAGGAAGAGGAAAGTCGACTGAAAGCCACAGACTCCCAGCACCATTGCCCCAGGTCGGGCTGGGGAAACCTGCAGAGCGGGGGGCTCCCACCAGCACGGGGGCTTGGAGAAGCTGCATGGTCTGGGTAGGTACCTCGTTGGGTGATATCCTGGGCCCAGGGCAGTCAATCCAGGGGAGGAGCTACTGAGGAGGGAGGGGCTACCTGGGGGAGGAGCAATTGAAGAGGGAGGGGCTACAGTTGAAAATGTTCTTGGGGGAGATTTTCAAAGGCCACACAGGAATTAGGTGCCTCGTGGGGCCCAGATTTCACCCCTTTCTGCTCTGAAACCACCACCACTGTTTGCGGCTGGAAGCTCCGTGACACTCAAGGTGGTAACATCACAGGGGGCAAGCGGGCTCCAGCGACTTGGGACCCAGCCTGAGACTCTGGATACCTGGGTTGTATTCCCAGCCTTGCAGCTGGGACCCCTTTGTGCCTCAGTTTCCCCTCCCAGCTTTTGTCTAGTTAGTTTTGGGGCAATGACTGTCTCTCACCAGGTGTCTGTGCCACACCTGGCCCAACAGGGGCTATTACCGTGAGAGCAGCACTCCTGTCCCATGCACAGGCGATGGGTCCACAGGGCTGCTGGGGGAGGGGGCAGGTGCTGGCAGTTCAGGCCCTGGACTAGGACTCGGGGGATCCAGGTTCAACTCCCAGCTCTGCCACTGACTCCCTGTGTGACCTGGGGTGAGTCGCTGTCCCACCCCATGCCTCAGTTTCCCCATCTCTCCAGTGGGGATAACGATCTTTCCTTTGTCTGTCTAGAGAGTAAAATCTTCAGCGCAGGGCCTGTCTCTTGCTTTATGACTGTGCAGGGCCCTGATCCAGCCAGGGGAGGGGTATGGGGCTAGTGGGATCCTGGGGGAAGCAGATCTGGGAGCCCCCCTTGCTGTGGAATCAGCCCCCCATGCCCGGTCTAACCTCTCCAGGATCTCCAAGGACAGGTTCTCCAGCGAGTCCCCCCTCTGGATCATGCGGTGGTCGGGGCGCTCCAGCAGAGACTCCTGCAGCCCTTCCACCTCCTTGGCCATGGCAGCCCAGACCTCCAGGATCTTCCCATCCACCAGTCGCTCAAACATCTCCCCCTGGGCTGGGCCGCAGGCTCGGCTCAACTCCTCTGTGCAGAGCAGGGGGCAGGCAGAGGGGGGCGCTTTACACCCACTCAAACATTACCATGTAGATTAGAGGGGAGGACCTACTGATGGGGGAGGAGCTATTGAGGAAGGAGGGCTCTTCTTGGGGAAGGGGCTATTTGGGGGAGGGGCTACAGAGAAGGGAGGGGCCATTTGGGCAGGCGCTAAAGAGGGGGAGAGGCTACTGGGGAGGAGCCTGAGAGGAGGGAGGAGCTAGAGGGGCTACTTGGAGAGGAGCTGAAGAGGAGGGAGGGGCTACTGGGGAGGAGCTACTGAAAATGTTCTAGTTGGAAGTTTTAAAGGGGAATTAGGAGCCCAGCGGCCCTTGGTGCCTTTGACAATCCCAGCCCTTTGGGGGAAGTGATGGAGGCTGGGCTGGTGGTTCAGGCCCCAGGCTGGGACTCAGGAGATCCAGGTTCAACTCCCAGCTCTGCCACTGACTCCCTGGGTGACCTTGGGTGAGTCACTGGCCCTCCCTGTGCCTCAGTTTCCCCATTTCTACTATGGGGATAACGATCTTTCCTTTCTCTCTGTCGATGGTGAAATGTTCAGGGCAGGACCTGTCGCTTGCTCTATGACTGGGCAGGGCTCTGTTCTCGGCCGGAGAGATGGGGGGGCAGGGAATTGTGTAGCGCCAGGCACAAAGGAGGCCCCGATCTCGGTCCGGGGGGGATGTCTATGCAGCGCCCAGCACAATGGGGGCGCCATAATCCAATTACTGGAGATAATCCCCTGGTCTGCAGAGCCCTCTGCTGGGAGAGCTGGCCCCGACGGGGACTGAACGGCATCTCACCTTCCAGCTGCTGGATCTTTCGCTGCTGCAGGCTGCTCTCCTGCTCCAGCAGGGAGACCGAGTGGCTCAGGGCTTCGAAGGCCTGTCACAGAGACACGCAACACAGGGGGTTCATGGACCGAGCCCTGACACCCAGCCCTGCTGCCTCTGGTTATTTCCCAGGGTCTCTGAGTGTACAGGGAAAAGGAGAGTGGGGTTTAGCACATGGGGCAGCAGGCTGGGTGACAGGACACCACGGTTCTAGTCCCAGCTCTGGACTGAACTTGCTGGGTGGCCTTGGGCAAATCACTTTGCTGCTATGTGCCTCAGTTTCCCTTCCCACCTTTTGTGTGTTTACATTGTAAGCTGGATCAGGGACTGGCTCTCATTAGGGGTCTGCGCAGCACCCGGCCCAATGGGGCCCTGATCCTGGTCGGGGTCTGTGCAGCGCTTCGCCCAATGGGGAACCCTAGGCACTACCGTAATGTACATAACAAATCCCCTCTCCCTGCTGTGGTTACCTTTGCCTGGGCATGGAGTTGGCTTTTGATGATCTCCAGCTCATTTGTCAGGATCTTCTGGGAATCTGGGAGCATCGCCTGGATCATCCCTGCTACAGAGGAAAGGCGGCTGGGGGTGAGTGGGGAGCCGGAGCCAGCATGGGGATGGAACTGGAGGAAGGACTTAAAAACATGCTGAGCCTGATTCTCTGTGCCACCCTGGCTCTGCACTGGCATAGGGGGCAGATTGGGCCATGGCTGGGGTACACTGCACTGTAGTTGTTCTCTGCTCCCCAGGGGCCCATGGATGGGGCCAAGCACGAGTTAGAGCAGCCCCAAGGCTGTTCTCCCTAACACCAGTGTTTTGACAAGGTCCCCCCTCAATCCCACAGCATGCCCTCCTCCCCACCTGGCTTGGGACACTGCCCCTCAGCCTGACCCCAGGTGGGGACCAACCCAAAGCCAGCTCATCTGCCCCCTAATGGGGTCCACCCTGGCTCCTCCCACCCCCCAACTCCCCAGTCAGGGCCAGGGAGCCAGGCTCCCTCCCCAGAGGGCATCCCATCCCACTGCCTGCTGAGGAGGGTGTGTGTCTTGGCTGGCCACGCCCGCTCGCTACCCTCCAGGTCTAGTGACCCCCGTCCCCACAAAGGATCAGCCAGGTTTGCCCCCCCGCCCCCATCACGGAAATGGGATGGTCTCTCACCATTTGTCTCGAAGGCCTCCGTCTCCAGCTGGGTCTGCAGGGAGGGGATCAGAGGGGGCCGTCAGCCTGTACCCACAGCACCGCTCTCCCTGTTAGCCCCTGCAAGCTCTGGGGGTGGGGATGATTGTCTAGGGGTCTGAGTGATGGACTCAGCCCATGGAGAGGAGGCTGGGAGTGGGGAGGGTGAATCTTGTGCCCTTTGGGGGGGACAGGAACCCCATTGTCATTGATGCCCAAGCCCCCTTATAGCGACTCTGGGAACACAAAGGGAGTGGGAAGAGCCCCCCCCGGACTATCCCTCTGGGCAAGGGGCCTCCCGGCTGGTGTGAAAGCAGAATAAGGGGGGCAGGATTGGGGGCATGCCCAGAGCTTGGCCATTTCCCTGCTTCCTGGGCAGGGCATGAATTAGAGCAGCCTCGAGGCTGCTCTCGATGTCACTGGAGACAGGAAGAAGAGCAGCACAAAGAGGATTTAGAGCCATCACCCCCTGTCTGAGCCCCAAACGAGGGAGTGGGGTAATGGGGAGCCAGGCAGAGTCAGAGCCCCAGCACGATGGGGGCTTTCCAGCAGCAAGGACCAGGATTCTCCTTCCATCCCCAGCAGTGCGGAGTCGCTTACCAGCCCTGCATTGCTGCTGGCCCTGGATAAGTAGCCGCTGGGTGCATTACCCCTGTTCTTGTCCTCCTTGGAGACTGTGATCAAAGTGGTCTCCTGGAAACAAAGGGGGAGAATTCAGCTACCCACATACCCCCATCTGTCCCTCCCCCGGGAAAGGGGGGGTATCGGCTCAGTTTGGCAGTGGAAAGGGGAGGCTGCATTGCAAAATCGACACACCATTATATACAGGGAAGCTCAATTCACCTGCAAAGGTCCTAGACTGGAATAGCAGGGGGCTGCGGGTCAGGAATGAGGAGTCCCGGCAGAGTTGGTGGGCAGAATACCAAGGTCAATGTGCCCCTCGTGGGCAGGATGCCAGGGTCGATGGGCCACCAGTGGGTGGGATACCAGGATCGATGCGCCCCTGGTGGGTGGGATACCAGGGTCGACAGGCCACCGGTGGGTGGGATACCAGCATCAATGGGTCCCTGGTCTGACCTGGGGTTAGGAGGCGGGATACCAGGGTCGATGGGCCCCCAGGGGGTGGGATACCAGGGTTGATGCACCCCTCATGGGCGGGATACCAGGGTCGATGGGCCCCTGCTCCGCTCCAGTGCAGTGATCCCTGTTCCCCCCGGATCTGGGCACGGTGGGACACCCAGGAGGCCCGAGCCCCGGGTCTGTGCGAGGGCAGGCGGTGCCCGCCTGGGGCCGGGGTGATGAGCTGGGCCAGGGCTCAGCCCGGCTGCCCTGGTACCTTGGTGGTCAGGACCTGCCCCTTGAGCGCATCCATCGCCCCCGGGTCTCTGCCCCGCTGTCAGGGGCCCACGTGGACCCCAAAACGCGGGGGGGGAGGGGAACAAGGGGGGGCGGGGTTTGACCCACCCAGGCCGCCACACGCCCCATGTAACAAAAAGAATCACAAAGGCAGAGGGGCGTGGCTTTCTAGCCCCACCCCCCTGCATGATCTCATGGTGCCCCTCAGTCCCTATTGGAGCTCCCCTTGCGAGCTGATTGGGCAGGACCCAGAAAGGGGGGTGGAGCCTTGAGGGCCAGGGGGCGTGACCAGAGCGACCCTCCAGCTGAGCCCGGGCCGGAGCAGGCTGCGGGAGGGGCAGGTAGGGACCCGATTCCCCCGCCCCGATCTGTGCACGGGCCGCGGTGGGGCCAGGAGCGGGGGGGCAGGAGCGGGGCAAGGAGCGCGTGTGGGGCAGGAGTGGGGCTAGGAGCGCGTGTGGAGCCAGGAGCGTGGGGGCAGGAGCGGGGCAAGGAGCGCGTGTGGGGCAGGAGTGGGGCTAGGAGCGCGTGTGGGGCCGGGAGCGTGGGGGCAGGAGCGGGGCAAGGAGCGCGTGTGGGGCAGGAGCGGGGCTAGGAGCACGTGTGGGGCCGGGGGAGCAGCCACGCAGAGGGGAGTCCCGTAGGTCTCTGGGTTGGTTCTTGTGTTTTGTGGGGCCCTGAGGCTGGGCAGGGACTTTGGGCCCCCCTCCCCGGCGATCATGTGCAAGGCTGGGGACCTCCTGGTGCTCGAACCCACGCTCCCGGGCACTGCTCCCGGCCCTGGACGGGGGCCAGGACTCCTGGGTTCCCTGCCCAGCTGTGTGACCTTCGCCCTGGAGTCAGTGGCAGAGGCAGGAAGAGAACCCAGGCGTCCTGAGGCCCCCCCCCCCCCATGGGTCTCCCTAGATTTGTCTGTCCTGCTTCCCCCACCCACTCCCCGACGATTCTAAGAGGCAGGGCGGGGCAGCGTTTCTCTGTCTGGGCCATTGGCTGTGGGAGCCCTGATCCTACTCCATGCTTCTGCCCATCCCCTTACAGCCCTCCCCACCCCCCTTATCTCCTCTTGCCACTTGCCAGCCCCGTTGCTCTCCTGTACCAGTGCTGACTGAGCCCAGCCTCCCTGCTGTTCTAGCCCCCGGCTGCTCGGCCATCTTCACCACCTCTCTGGTTGGTTTTGTAAGTTGCTTAATTGCTCCGTGCCTCAGTTTCCCCACCTTTAAATTGGGTGTGATGACCTTGCTGGGAGGGGAGTGTGGTTTAGCAGCGAGTGCCTGTCACTGGGACTCGGAGGACCTGGGTTCTGTTCTCCCAGCAGACCAGTGGCAGAGCGGGGAACTTGGTGAGTCGCTTCCCTGCTCTGTGCCTCGGTTTCCCCATGTGGGGTATGGGGATAATCATGACCTCCTTCATAAAGTGCTTTGAGATCTCTGACTGGGAAGAACTCAGGATTGTTTTATTATTTGTCTATTTAGACTGAGCTCTCAGGGGCAGGGACCATCTCTCGCTGTGTCTGTGCAGCGTCTGGAACAACGGGGCCCTGATCTCAGCCAGGATCAGCCCCTGGGGCCTTGATCTCGGCCTGGGGCCTGCCCAGGGTACCTCACCGATACATGGTCTCGTTACTCCGCAGTGACCCAGCGAGCACTGGGAGCGGATGTCCCTGCTCCCCAGAACTCACCATGGGTTCTCTCCCACCTCTCTGCCTCCAGGTCTGCAAACGCAGCCGAGATGCCGATGGAAGGGGAGCCCAGCAGCCTGGCCAAAGTCGCCCAGCTCTTCATCCTGTCTCTGGCCTGGGGGATGCAGATATGGGTCACCTTCATCTCAGGTGGGGAGTGCTGCCTGGGTCTCTGGGAAGGGATCCCCCCGGCTCTCAGAACTGGGAATAGAACCCAGGAGTCCGACACCCAGCCCCTCCCCTCCCGTAATCATTAGACCATACTCCCTTCTTAGAACCAGGAGTTCTGGCTCCCTGCTCTAACCGCTAGACCCCACTCCCCTCCCAGAGCCGGGGTAGAACCCAGGAGTCGTGGCTCCCAGCCCCATGGCCCTAATCCTGTCTGCGTGCCTTGATTTCCTCCTCTCTCCTTGGCTCAGGGTTTGTGCTTATCCGGAGCGTGAGCCGACACACCTTCGGCCTGGTCCAGAGCAAGCTCTTCCCCTTCTACTTCTATGCCCTGGTGGCCTGCGCCTTCCTCAACCTCTCCATCTTTGCCTACTACCACCCCCGAGAGCTGCTGAGCACCGTGGAGACCCTGCAGGTACCATCGAGGGGCCAGGCACAGCCCCAGCCCCTTGCGAGCCGGCCACCCCGGGGCGGGTGGGTCACGCCCCTTCACGTCAGCTCTCTGCCATTGGTGACTTCCTGAGAATGGGGAAAGTGGTTAAAGTGCAGGACGCCTGGGTTCTGGGAAGGGACTGGGGTCTAGTAGGATACAGTAGAATGTCTGGATTCCGTTCCCCCCTCTGGGAGGGCAGTGGGGTCTAGTGGCTAGAGCAACAGGGGCTTGGTGTCAGGATGCCTGGGTTCTAACCAGGTGTAACCAGCTTTGCCCGTTACTTTGGGGTATGCTCATTTATTAGGGTTACTCTTCGCGGGGGGTGGGGGGGTGCTGTACTTCTGACTGCTTGTGTGACTTGTGTTCTCATATGGAGCTCTGCTTCTCCCTGCTGCAAGTCCCCTCCCAGTGGAGCTATCCTGCAGGACCTCGGTTACCCTGGGCTGGGTTCCTCCAGCCCCAGAATCTCTCTCTCTCACTCTCTCTCACACACACAGTTAATCCGCACTCCCAAGCTGCCACCCTCATGCCCCAGGTTCAGCACGTCCCTATCCCCACGTTCCCATTATAATTGTTCTGGTCGTAACCCACTTGATGAGCAAACCCCACAGGATTTTTGGGCGCTGCAGGGATCTCTAGCTTTGGTACGAGGAGCGTTGCTGCAGAGCAAATGAGGAAACCCAAAAACACCCACGAGGGGGGGAGAGAGAGAGAAGCAACCAGCTTAATCATGAAAGTTGGTTATTGCCCGATAACCATAGGGAAGCCAAACGAACAAAGCAGTGATAATATTAAATCTAACTTAAATGTGACTGTAAAAGTCACAAACTAGAACTGATCACACAAGCCAGGGTCAGAAGGCTACACCTCGAGCGAGAGAGAGAGCTGGGTTCTCACCACTCCATGAAGCTTGAATTGATCGGGGGTCCCAGGTGGTGGTGGTAACTTAGGGTCCGGAGTGCTGCAGACAGGCAGAGCCCCCAGCACGATCAGTCAGGAGAAGATGAAGTCCTAGTGGAACTGATGCAGATTTTGGATCCAGGCATCAGAACACCGAGGCATCCAGAGCATGGGTCGGGGTTTGTCTAGAGAAACAGCAATGGTCCACGGGAGAACACTGGTATTCCCCCTTATTTACGCATGAATAAATCTAAAGTAGTTTTCTTCAGGCTAGACCAGGGGAGCTGATCATGCCTGGCTTTGGGCTGTGTTCCTTGGAGGGAGCTCACAATGCAATTAGGGAGCTTCACTATTTTGGATACCAATCAAGGATTTATCACTAGAATTGGTCTGATCTGGGGGTGTGCAGGCGTGGGTTCATTAACATCTGGAGCATAGATCCCCCATCATGCCGTGCTTCCCTGCTTTTCTGGTCCCAGAGTTCCCTGCGGTTCTTGCCTTGGAAGCTCCGTTCTCCATTCTGGATGCTCATGGAGGTGCCTCCTTGTCCCATCCTCGATGCAAGTGAGGCCAGGGGAGTTTCCTTAATCCCGACCCCTTATCCCAGGGATTTAGGGGTGTCTCCCATGGCCTTGTCATTGCTTTTCGTAAGTCTTTCTTCTGATTGGTTTTGGCTCAAGCAGAGGCTCGGGGGGGAGGTCTTTCATGAGTCAGAAAGGCTGAGTCCTGCACCCTAGTTCCCCAAGAACACAGAACTGCTAGGTAACACTGGCTCTGGGAGAGGAGTGGGGTCTAGCGGTTAGAGCAGTGGGGGCTGGGTGTCGGGACGCCTGCTTCTATCTCCAACTTCATCCGTTCAGTCCACCGGAGCCTCTTCTCCTCCCAGAGCTGGGGATAGGACCCAGGCGTCCTGACACCCAGTGTCCCATGCCACCATCCCAACCATCTCTCTCTTTGCCTCCCCCAGGGCTCTCTCTACTTCGTCTGCCTCGTCCTGGCCAGTGTTAACGCCCTGGGCTTGTCCCCGGCCACCACGGCGGCCATGTTCCGGTTGCAGGCCATTGAGCGGGAACACGGCCTGGGCGGGGAGGTGGGGCTGGCGGCCAGGCGCGAGACGTACCAGCAGCTGCGGGAGAGGGACCCCAAGTACCAGGCCGCGCGGCAGACGTTCTTCAAGCGCCACGGGCTGTCGTCCCTCTGCAACCTCGCCTGCCTCGCCTGCAACGGAGTCAACCTGCTGTGCATGGCGCTGCACCTCAGCAGCTTGTAGGCAGGGCCCCGTGCGCGGGGAGGGGGCGGCAGCATTGTCCTTGGGGGGCCCCATCCACTGGGTGGGGCTTGATTGAGCGAGGGGCTTGGAAGTCCGTGCCCCTACCGGGGTCTGATTGATGTCTCTTTCTAAGTCTGTATCCCACGCCTGGCACCAGCTGGAAGTTCATGTGTTGGGCGGGGGGCAGGGAACACAACCGACTTGGTGACTCAGCAGTGTTTCTCCCTGGGTTCTATCCCCTGCTCTGGGAGGGGAGCGGGGTCTAGTGGTTAGAGTGGGGGGGAGGGGGTGCTAGGGAGCAGGACTCCTGGGCTTTCTCCCCAGTTGTGGGAGGGGAGTGGGGTCTACTGGGTTAAAGCAGGGGGGCAGAAAGTCAGGACTGCTTGTGTTTTCTCCCCAGCTGTGGGAGTGGGGTGGCGCCTAGTACCCCAGAGCAGGGGGATAAACTAGATCTCTTTATTTTTTGTAAATTAAAATCAAAATCTCGGAGCCAACTAACAAGCTGCCTCGGCTAACATGTGATATCGAACTAGCTGGGGCTGAAATTTGCCGTGTGCAATGAGGTCCCCAGGCCTCATTCACAGCAGGCCCTTTCAAAGGGCCCTGTGGGAGACAGATGCCCATTTCCCTTTAGAAACGGCCCCGCTGCCTCTTAGAGATCATTGTTATTAGCTCTACGGTGGCGACGGCAGCAGCTGAGTTGGGGCCCTGTGGCAGTGCACCTAGGCAAGAGTTTAGCTGAAACAGGCAAAATATGGGAGGGGAAACTGAGGCACAGAGAGGGCGTGTGACATGCCCAAGGTCACCCAGCTGGCAGTGGCAGAGCCGGGAATAGAACCCAGGTTTCCTGAGTCACGGTCGACTAGGCAACACTGCCCCTTACCAGAACCTCTGTGGGATTTACTGACAATGCTTAGGTTGGTTCTGTGAAGTGCTCAACTCTGGGGTCTTCTTGTCCATTTCACGCTGCCCTCCGTTTCCTTGCTGAGCCTCGGCTGGCAGAGAGTGAGAAGCACGTTCCACAGGCTCTTTGCCCTGCTTTTTATTCCAGTTTGTACTGATCAAAGGGGAAAAACTCCGAATGAAAGTCATCTTCCAGTGGGGTTCTTCACGGGGAAATAAATTGTTCTTTTGTGTGCAACAGAAATAAAGAATCCTAATCTCTGAGCTGCTTTTCTGTTCTAAAGTTTTCCGTTAATAAAGGGCGTATTTACAAACTCACAGAAAGACGTAGCATCAAGATTTCTGTTTTGTGAGCTGGGCTAGAACTTTTCCACCGCTGCTCTGGGAATTTGGCTTTTCCCCCTTTCGGAGGAGGGGGAGGAATTAAACCGGAGAAAATCATTTATTTTTCATTGGATTTTTCTACAGTTTTTGTCCATTGGTGGAAAACTAATTGTTTTTTAAAACGTTTGGGAGGGGGTTACCAAAAGTCTTCCCCCCTCCCCAAAACACTGGCAGTTGGTGGAGTTGGTTTCAACAAACTGCCTGCAAAATTTTGCTGGGAATGAACATTTGTGTGTTGACAAAACTAGCCATTTTTTGTCAGGGGAACGAGGGAAGAAAGCTATGAACAAAATCCTCAGCCAGTCCTACATTGCACTCTGTCCCAGTCCACTTAGATTACGAGCTCTGTGGGGGAGGGACCATCTCTTTTTACGGGGTATGCGCGCTGCCCGGCACAATGGGGGCCCTGGGCCAAGAGTGCAGTGCCGTAATACAAATGTTAAAAATCCAGGCCTGGACGGTGGATCCTGAACCCTTCGAACCAGAGTTCTTTGAACCTCCCAGCTTCCTGAGAGCAGCCTTGCAAGCTGTCCATGTGCCTTCCCTGAACTGCAGCTGCCTCTGGGGGCAGCCTGTCATGGCAGCAAACGGCAACGCGACAGAGCCTTGGTGGGTGGGATTGAGGGAGGTAAGGTAGAACTTGAACTAGAATTTGGGGTGGACATCATAGTTAAAATGTTCTGGGGTCTTTAATGATACCCCCCCCCCCCCCATTGGTGTGGCAAATGTTCTGGTGGGAAGAATGTCTCCTATTCCCCACCACTTCTGCACGCCAGACAATGGGCCACCTTGGCACCTGCTAAGGGCAAGGGCTGTGCTCATTTGGCCACAAGGTGGCGAGGGTTGTCTAAGCATTACCCAGCCTGCTGGGGATCTTCAAGAATTGAACATCTGAAGGCGTGAGGCACTTGCATTCCACGCTGCGTTAATAGCAGGGTCCCACGGCTTGTTCTCCCTTGCCCCGACACCTCAACGGGCAGTGCCCCCTCGTGCCTCTGAGAATGGTTTTGGTTGCGGCAGCCTGCAGAAACGTGGGCTCCGATTTGATCACTTACGGGGGCAAAAGCGAGGCCTGGCTGATCACCGTGGTTCCTTCCGGCCTTATCTGTGATCATCTAGGGTTGGTTGATGCTTAAAAGTTTATACAGGTCACGGGTGTGGGGGCGGAAAATCCACCATAATTTCTGGCTGAGTTCAGGCATGTCATTTACAAAGAAGCATCCAGTCCCTGAAATATAAATGATGGTATTTAATATTAATCCGCAGTCCCTAGAGATGCTTGGAAAAGGGGCGCGAGAGGAATCGCTGAGTGGAAAAGGTGGGAAGTTGCATTCTCCCGGCCGGTTCCCCAAAGGAAGGATTTTTCATGAAGGTGTTTTTCGGAGGGTTTGGTTTCTTCCCTTTTGTTGTTTAAAAACACGGGTGGGTCTGATAATGGGGGAGAGACTTGGTTTTGTTTTTTTTATCATCCAGTTTTGTGAAGGGGGGGAAAGAATTTGCAGCAGGGGAGAAAATTCCCCCCCTTTGATCTCCATTGTGGAAGGGAGTGGTGCTAACCCATCGGTTTGCCGGGGCACCAATCCTGCAATTGGTTCAGGGTGAGCCACGCCCATTCGGTGTGTGCCATGCCCACGTTGTGGTGCTCTGTCCCCCTCTAGTGGGGGCTGGGGGTTGAGTGGCTAGCAGCAGGCTGTTTTAGCTCAGGCCCTTTTAAGATGTGGCTTTCCCTGGTTCGATTCCCAAGGCCGCCAAACCCCTCTGGATGCAGCGTTCCCTCGGATCCCTGGCGGGATCCTGCTGCACGGCTGGACTTTCAGCAGGCTGTCTGCTGAGGCGTTGAAGGTGGTTGGAGTCGGCTAGGGCTGATGGACCTGTGGGGTTTCCTTGCTGGAGCCCAGGAGATCGCCGACAGGACTCGTGAAGGGGGGAGCGTTCTGGGGTGCACCCTGGGTTTGCAGCGAGACACCTGCCCTGATCGCTGCAGGACCCTTGCTATTGCTGAAGAATCCAGCCTGGGTCTTGGCTATGCTCGGGCCCCTTTGCGCTACCCAAAGGAGTCTTAACCTGGATGGGACTGGGCCCCTAGACCCTCCCTCTCATGCATGGGGGGCTTAGCCAGCTGGTGTGGCTGGCCTAAAGGCCCTGCACTCCCCTTGGTCCCAGCCTCTGTCTGGGGGCAGATCAGGGGCATGGTTGGCTCTCTCTGCACTGTGGCTATGCCCTGCCCCCCAGGGCCCACAGGGAAGGCAAAGAGCTGCGCTTAAACACCCTGTAGCTGGCTTGCCCCTGGCAGTAACCCTCTGCTGCCCAGGCCGCTGCCTTCCTGCACTGCCCCCTGCTGGAGGATTTCTTCGTGAGGCACGAAGCAGGACCTACCCGCGGGAGCCTGGGTTACTACCACCAGGGACAGAGGCGTCGAAGAGCCCAGCAAGAGCGGAGACGCCCGGGGCGGTGCTTTGCCCGGGGAGCAGGGCTGTGGGTTTCCCAGAAGCGCTGGGGCTGATGCACGTCATGCGGCCTCGCCCCAGTGGTAGCTGAGCATAGGGGGATGTAGCTGAAGGAGGCGAATTCTCCAGCCCAGCTCAGCATCAGACACCCTCTCCGGTGGGGGGGCGAAGGGGTGGGGTGGCTGGTCGCCCAGGGTTGCCAACTTTCTGACCGAACAAAACCGAACACCCTTGCCCCACCCCTTCTCTGAGGCCCCGCCCTGGTCACTCCATCCCCCCCTCCCCCATGTTCACTGGGCCAGGGAGGGTCCCTTTTTGACTGGGTGTTTGGTTGAAAACTGGACACCTGGCAACTCTACGCCCGGTGGGGCCAAGCTGCTCGCGTTCCAATGGAGCGACGCCCGTTTCCACCAGCCCGGGGGCCTGGCTCTGAGGATAGGGATTTCATCCTGCCTCTGCGGCCTTGATTTCTCCAGCACCCCACCCAGAGGCGGCATGAGGAGAGCCGTGCCCGGGTTGGCAAGGCTGCAGGAGTGGCTGCACTGCAGGGCTGGTGCAGAGAGACGGCTCAGCAATCGCTCCTCCTCCCTGGCAGAGCTGCCAGCAGGCTGGCTGCTCGCACCGGAGAAGAGAAACTGAACCTGCCGTAAGCAGCGCTGGCAGCCTCGGCGGAGGGGCTGCGTGCTCAGAAAGCGGGGGCCCGATCCCCAGGGGTGCAAAGGGGGTTGTGCTGTGGGGGTCACTGGGGCCAGATCCTGGTGTAAATGGGCACTGCTCCCTTAGGGGTCACTGGGCTGGATGCCCAGCTGGCGTAACTCAGCGTTCCTGAGGGTGAGTATCCCCATTGTACAAATGGGGAAACTGAGGCACGGAGCGGCGAAGTGACTTGCCCAAGGTCACGCAAGTGGTGAGGAGAGGAGCAGGAACTTGGACACAGTTCTCCCAAGTCCTAAGTGAGTGCTCTCACCACTGGGCAATCCTTCCTTTCTGAAGCAGCCTCTCTGAGTCGCCTTGGCACGTCGCTTACTACTTACCAATGGAGAACAGGGTGCTGCACAGACCCCCACTGAGATCCGGGCCCCCACTGCAACACACAGAATGAGGGAGAGTCCCGGCCCAAGGGGACAAATAGACAAAGCAGGTATCATCCCTGTTTCACAAATGGGGAAACTGAGGACCAGCCCAATAACGTGACTCACCCAAGCCATCAGGGGCATGAACCTGTGGCTCCTTTCCAATTCACTGGGAACCTCTACAGAAACAGGATGCTGCAGCTGACCCTGGGGAAGGCAGTTACAAAGGAGGAACTCACTCATTCATAGCCTCTTCCCCTCCTTCCCTGCCATGGTGATGGGGAAGGGCCCATCAGCTGGCACATGTACACAAGTGTGTGAGCCTTGTGTTGGTGAAACGTGCCAGGCAAACAGTCCTAGAAAGAGCAGTACTGCCGACAGGCGGCATGGATCAGTGACACATCAGTCAGATCTCCTGGGTTCTACCTGGGAGGAGGGGGGGGGTCTGGTGGTTAGCGCAGGGCTCGTGGGTGCCGGGATTCCTGGGTTCTCACCCCAGCTCTGGGAGGGAAGTGGAAGCCAGCGGCTATAGAAGGGGGGTTGGGCTGGGAGTCCTTATTCTCCCCTAACCCCTCCCCATGTTTGGGACAAGCCCAGAAGTGGTTGGAGGCAGCTGTAGCTTTGAGCCACCTTGCTGTTCTCCAAATGCTGGGTCCTGTCAGATCCCCATTCTCAGCAAGAGCAGCCTTGGGGCTGCTCTAACTCATGCTCTCCACTCCCCATAACCTCCAGGAGCTGACAACAGCTGTTGCTCAGTGTGCTTTGGTCACACCAGGAGCCAGTTCCACACTAACTGGGGAGGGCCCCTGCACAGGCTGCAGAAGGGGCGGGGGGTGAGAAAGGGGCCAACATCATTTGGTGTTGGTCCCAGAGACATCCCTACCAGTCAGTCGGAGCAGAGGAGCTGGGCTGGAAAGAGATCTCCTGTCTTGGAAACACTTTCACGATAGCGGATAATTTCCCCATCTCAAATCAGGACAAAAAGTTTAAATCTCCAAAAGTTTCACAGACGTTGGAAAGGAAAATTGCTTCGGGCCCATCCACCAATTTCACATTGATCCTTTCAGAGCACTTTGACGTTAACTGTCTTCATTTCTTTGTTCTCTGCTGTGCTTCAATTTCAAATCCAGCCATCGTTCTGAGCCACGAAACCAGAATTCTTGGTGGGAAAATGCCCAAAGAGGATGTTTTGCCAATTTCAAAGCGTCGTGTTCCTCCAAAATTTGCCAAATCCAAAAAATGCATGAGTTTCCTGCAAGAAGTTTCAATTGCCTTGAATTTGGTGCTTTCCAAGGGGCGGGGGTGGGGACAAACTTTTGCAGCTGTTCCCCACCCTCCAGGACTTAGACACTCCATGCAATGCATGGAGCATCTGGGGACCCCTGGACTGGATCCATTAGTGCCTTCTGCCTCTGGGGTGAGAATTTCCTCTACCAGGACCCAGCTGAGCTGACGAGTGGGCAGGAAGCTGGCTAGCCCTTTAGAAAGGAGGTTAGGAGGAGTAGGGTGGGTCATGGGCAGGGGTTTGCAGGGACTGGGAGCTGGGAAGATCCAGGAGAGTGAGGGCAGCTTGCAAACGACATGGCCAATAAGGCCCCTACGTTCTAGCTTTGTGCTCATGCCTTTGCATTGTGCAAGGTCGGTTCTGATGCAAGGATTTGTAATTCCTCATTGCTTGTTCTGAGAGCAAGCCTCTCTCCCCCCTTCATCTCACGTTGTTGACACAAGAGGTCCTTTTGCTGAGGCTAATAACCGCAGTGTATTGAAACAGGCTTCAAATGGTAAGCTAGCACTTTAAATTTGGGGGTGAGGGGGCTTCCTGGTCCTGCTGGCAGACTGGGGCTCTATAGGGAAGTGTGAAATCTGGGTCCCAGCTGTCAGTGTGCAGAGAGCCAGTTTAGAGTAAGGGGTGAGCTGGGCAGCAGGGAGCAGCCTGTTTTGTCTCTTTCTGTTTTTTTTTTTTTTTTTTTTTTTGGTTCTTGTGTGTTGTCATTCTGAATGCTAAGAAATAAAGCCATGTTCCGTTGCAACAGCCCCGTGAGAGGATTTTACGTTTTTGTCTAACTTCTCTATCTGTACGCCATGAACCTAACAATAACCATCAGAGCCGGTGGAAATAAGTTGGTTCAAAACTTTTTAAAAAGTTTATTTAGAGGGGAAATGCCTTTTTTCCCCAAAGCGGATCACAACTCAGGATCTCTGGCTGTAAATCCAGGTGTTTTGAAATTTCCAGCTGTCTTGAGTGGGAATGAGATTTAAACAAACCTAACTGAGCGAAAACTGTCCCTCTCGGTGTCCGGGCACGAAGGGTACCTCCAGCTCTGACAGGTGTTTAGCGTAACAATGTAGTGTAGTGTAACAATGGGCTAGATCCTCAGGTGGAGTAAATAGGCCTCACTCCAATGGAATGATGCTGATTTACACCAGCAGGGGATCCGGCCCCATTGACTCCAATGGAGCGATGCTGATTTACACCAGCTGGGGATCTGGCCCCATTGACTCCAATGGAGCAATGCTGATTTACTCCCGGTGGGGGTCTGGCCCTATTGACTTCAATGGAGCGACGCTGATTTTCACCAGCTGTGGATCTGGCCCCACTGACTCTAATGGAGTGATTCTGATTTACACCCGGTGGGGATACGGCTCCATTGACTCCAATGGAGCGATGCTGATTTACACCCGCGGGGGATCGGGCCCCCTGCGCAGTATTCTCCCGCCCTGGTCCGTCTTTCCCGAGATCCAGCCCCGTGCACCGGATCAGGCTCTCTGCCGAGCTGGGCCGGGCGCCCGGACCGCCCGCAGGTGGGGCCGGTGGATTCCTGTTTGCAAACCCGCCCCCACTCCGCTCGTCACGCCGGATCGCGCGGGGGGGGACCTGCGCCAGGCTTGCCCCGGTGCAGCCACATCAGCCCAAGGAGATTGGCCGCTCAGATGCGGGAAGTCGATTGCTGAGGTCTGGGGCGAGACGCACCTTCCTCCCTCCGGCCTCAGCGCCGCAGATCCGGCTGCAGCAGAGAAGGGGGGCAGAGGGGGAACCAGCCCCACAGCGGCCCGCGGGTGGGAGATCCGCGCGCCCCTTCCAAGGTAACTTGGCAAGAGCCGGGTTTGGAGCGGCGTGGGGGGGGGGACTTCCCCGGGGCTCTGGGCGTTCGCGGGGGGGTGATTAGACGGGCGGGGGCTGCTGAATGTCTCCCCCCCCCCCCCCAGGCTGGTCTCATTGAACGGGCGATAGAAGCTTTTCCTTATTGTGGGAGTGGCCGGGAGCCTGGTCAGGGACCAGCAACCCCCTGCTCAGCACCATGGGGCCTGAGTAAGGTCCGGGGAGCGACGGGGGCTCGGGTCCCGGTTGGGGTCTGGGCAGCGCCCGGCGCGGCGCGGCGCGACGGGGGCTGCCCGGGTCTCCGTTGAGACTTCCAGGTGCTACCGTCAGAGAAATGATAACGGGCTAGATTCTCAGTCGGCGTAAATTGGGATCACGCGTCTGTTCCTGGGGGCCATTCCACCCACAGCTGAGCCCTTTGGGAAACTCCTGGCCCTTAGCGGGTGCTGCGGGGGGCGCTGAACCGAATTCTGATTCGGAAGATGCCTGGTTCAATCGCAGGGACTTTCCCAAGTCCGTTTTGTCCGGTAAGACTGCAGGAAGCTAGCAATAAAACAGCCCGGGTGACAGCTCGGGGGCTGGCAGGAAGCAGTCGCCTGGTTTCCAGCCAGGGATCAGCTGTGGGGGAACCAGAAGGGAAGGGCTGCTCTCCTAACACCTGATTCAGGAGGTTTCCCGAGCCAGGGGCACCCTCGGTTCCTGGGTACACCTCAGGGCGGCTGTGTGTCTCCAGGGCATTTCACATCGGGTCTGAGGCTCTCAGGGTGACCAGCCTGGATCTGTGGGCCTGGCTGGGTTCTCGTTCACCCAAGGCCTGTGTGGCAAGTGGACAGCGACGGGGTCTGGTTCTACACTCCGATTCCTTTAAGGGTCCCCTCAAGATTCCCCCTCACCCCACCCCCATTGCAGGAGCGGTCTCTCTGACCCCCAAGGATCCTGCATCGGTCCTGCTCCCGGTGTAGGGGGCCGATGGGGGGCATGGCCAACACACCCTATGCTATTGTCCGCTTCCCAGGGGCGGAGCAGCAATTAGAGCAGCCCTGAGGCTGCTCTCACTGACACCAGGGCAGGGCCCAGAATACTGGCAAAGGAAGCTTACAGCCCCGGTCAGGCAGAGCTTGCACTGCATTGGTGCCTGCCCCAGGGATCGCACGGTCCACGTGCACCATTCACTCGTAGGGGAGGGGGCGGGGATTCCATGTCACAAAACAGGAGCCATTTGGAGAAGGGAAGGGGCAGGGAGAGGATGTTGATAATGGCCAGGGCATCAATGGTAGGGCAGCTCCAATCTCTTGCAGAATTGAGGCCTCCCCTAGCCGGGGATTTCTCCCTGTGGGGTAGCTGCCCGCCCCTCATGGTGACAGGGCATGCCGCACTCACCCCTGGGTGCTGTCCGCACCTGCAGCTGGATTCCCATTTTCACCAGTGTCAGACTGGGGGGAGGGCCCCATCCATGCCCCGCCCACAAACTAAGTTCTGCCTACCTGAGCCGCCGCCCACCAGTGGATGGTGCTGTGGTTCCGGGTTCGATCCTGTTGCCCGCTGGGTCTCTGGGGCCAGGATCCCTCGCGGGGAGCGGGGCGGAAGGGGATCAGAGCAGCGTGGCCCATGGGCTCGGTTCTTTGATTTGTAGGGAAAGAATTAAGGGGTGGCCCCTCCCAAACTCCGCCCCCGTGAGGCACCAACATGAACTGTGGCTTGTGCAGGCCCCCATCACTGTGGTATCTGGGTGCCTCCCAATCTTTAGTGTATGTATCCTCCCAGCCCCCTCTGTGAGGCAGGGCAGTGCTATTGTCCTCACGTTCCAGTTGGGGGAAACTGAGGCACGGAGCAGTGACTTGCCCAAGGTCACTCCTGACCCTCTGTGACCAAGCGGGGAAATGACCTCGGCTTTCCCAAGACAGGCTAGTGCACTAACTACTGGGCCGTCCTGCCTCCGTGCACCTCCCAGCCCCCATTCTCACAGGAGGGACGTTACTGATGGCGGCCTTCAACCAGCCATCATGCGGGCCTCCGAGCCAGCGGCACCCTTCGCATCCCTGCGCGCGATCCTCCCGGACTCGCCCCTGCGAGGGATTCCCCTTTCTGAGGTTCCCCCACTCAGCGCAGCTGGTGAGGGGCTTGTTCCTATCAATGAAAGCCGAGATCCTGGGGAACGAGCCAGCAGCCCCAGAGAGACACCAGGGGCCGGTAGTCACAGGGGCAGTTAGCCACTGCTTCCCGGGCGCAAATCATGCCTACGCTCCGGGTAGCATCGTGCGTAGCTATGCAGGGAGCTGAGATCCTGAGATGCTGCAAGGTGTGTAAGTCTGAGGCCTTCTCTTGCTGGTGCTGTGTGTCTGGCTAGAAAACGGGCCGCGTATTTCCTCGCAGGCAGCAGCTTAAGAGATGCTAAAGAGGGTCTGAGTCGGAGGCCAAACGCCTGAGGACTCCCCTAAGCTCTTGTAGGTTTTGTGGCCCAGGGCCGGTTCTAGCCTATGGTGTGTCTCCGCAGAGATGCGATCTGAGCTGATGGGGGATAATCAGCCCCCGGATGCAGCGGGCATTGGTCGGTGTATTGGTCTGAGCTGATGCGCAAATGTCGGGTGCCTAGCAAGTGCCTCCTTCCCAGAGTGGGGGGCCCCTGAAGCCACCTGAAAATCTATGGGGGAGGAAGTTGAAGGGATGGGGGATGAGAATCCATCAGAGCCTGGACAGACCCCCCCCAGAGTTAAAACGTGTCCTGCCCTGAAGACTCTGCCTCGTGTCCCTCCAGCCTTCCCCTCCGGTCAGGCTCACCTCTCAGCAGCTAGGAGCTGCGGTCTTCCCCCCCTCCCCCGCCCCCCGTGAACTCCAGCTTCTGGTGCCCGCTTAAAATGGCCCCCCCATGTGCACACAGCGCTTCGAATGGATACGATATCCTCGTTTCTTGTGTGGTGTTGCTGTGCATCGTGAAACGGCCACCACGCCCCACCCTGGAGGCAGCTGCATCGCAGCGCGGGGTGAGGCATCCCTGTGTAAACAGCCACGGTGCCCTACCCCAAGGCTGCTGCACTGTGGCTGTAGGTGAGGGATTCCTGTATAAACAGCTGCCACACCTCACCCCAGAAGTGGCTGCATTTCAGCACCAGGTGAGATCCTTGTCTATCATCAGCAGGGCATGGCTCAGCTCTCGGCTGTACAGGGTGCCTTCCAATCACACCCTCTTATGAACACCTGTAATGACACCCAGGCAGGTGGCTAATTTGAGCTGCGGTAGCCCCCAGCCCCTTCCTGTCTGGGTTGTGTCTCCGTGCTCGCTGCCCCCGGGGGATTTGTGTGGAAGAGATGACACAGCAGCATTTGCAGGGGAGCAGTAGCCTGCAGGTTCTTGCCAAGAATAACAGATCTCTCCAGGTTTGGGGGCCGGGTTTGGGTGCTTGTTTTTTTTTTGGGTTTTCAGCTTGGCTGGCCTGGGTTTCATTTCCCAGCTGCTGGGCCCACCACGGCACTGCCCTGCCATGTTCTGTTGCCCCCAGCATCCCGGGCCCTGCCACTTTAACTCCATCAAGCTGCTGTCTCCTATTCTCAGTCGTGCTCTGGCCCCTCTAGGCTGTGCAGAGGGGGAGGGAAAAGCCCCTCCTAGAATCACCCCTTTGGGCAGGGGCTCGGGGTGAAGGATTCCTGTAGGAGCAGCCCCTGTGGCTTACCCCAGAAGGGGCTGCATCTCGCTGCCGTGTGAGGGATCCCTGTATAAACATCTTCTATGCCCCTCCACCACTTCTGCCGTGGCAGAGGGGTCCCTCCCCTGGTGCGGAGATGCAGCCACCTCTGGGGTGGTGCGTTGGGGCTGTTCATGCAGGGATTCCTCACCCAGTGCTGAGTTGCATCGGTCCACTCCCAGCTCCACCCTGCCCTGCCCCCTCCCAGGGACTGCCTCTCCCTGAGTCCTTACCCACGGGGCCCTCAATCTCTGGGGGTGGGCAGGGTGCGTCTAGCTGTTACCGTAATACACCTAATAGTGCGAGGTGAGCGTGAAGCAGGATCATGGGGCGGCCTTGCAGAGCACCTGCGCCATGCATAAGGGGCGGCACAATGGTGCCTTGGACCGAGGCCGGCCAGCGCAGCCGGGACACGGTGGGTGACTCGCTCATGCACCAAGGGTGGGACCTCGGGCAAGGATCGGCCATGCAGGGCCTTAAAGGGGCATTGGCCCCTTCCTCTGGAGTACACCAGCTGACGCCAGGTTATGCCAGCGGGGCAGCTGGCCCCAGCAGCTTGTCTTCGCTCTGCCTGGGCTCCCTCTGGTTGTAAATTGCAGGGAGCGGCCCCTATTACAGCTGTAAATAAACAAGCCCTTCGCCTTGCAAAATCAACATTTATAAAGGGCCAGATCCCGGCTGGTGTAAACGGGCCCAGTGGCACAACGCTGATCTACACCAGCTGGGGGTCTGGCCTAGAGGCTTCACGGCCTGATGCGAGACCGGAGCGGGATACACTCCCTGGTGGAGAGAGGGACTCTGCAGCCCTCCTGGGGATGACTGTGTCCCCGTCCCCCCGCCCCAATCCCTTTCCTGTTAGCTCTTGCCCCAGAGTCTCCACCTGGCAGGGCAGAGAGCCCAGGCTGTGAGTCAGAGCCCTGCACCAGGGCCTCTGCAGTCGGATCCAGCCGCAGTTAGTCATTCTCCTTCGGTTTGCTCTGGTCGTCGGCACAAGATTCCTGGCTTGTGTCTGCCCTGGCCGTGCTCATGCCTTGGCGCGGGATGGCCGCGTGCCAGCTCCCGGCAGGGCCATCCCTCCCTTGCACTGCTGCGTGCCCGTGCCCATCCAGCGCATACCCCTCTGTGGGCTGCTCCATGCCAGTGCCCATCTGCCCTGCCCATCCATCCGATACCCCTCCACTCCCTCCTGCCTTCCATTCCCCCTTGCAGGCCAGCTCCCACCCCTGACCCAAGAACCCTGAGGAGAGTGCTACTCCGGGAGAGTTCATCGCTTCAGATGGAACGAGCTCGGTGATGAGTCCCAGGGCTCCCCCTGCCTCAGTTTCCCCCAGCAGCATTGCCTCCATGCACAGCAGGATGGAGACAACCATGCCATGATGCCCTAGCGTGAAGCCAGGGTCTTAAAACAGCAGTGATTGGACAAGCAGTCTACCAATGAGAACTCTTGCCGCCAATCTCCCTCCAACCCATGACACTGTGGCATGCAAATTAGCGGTGGAAGATGGGCGGGGATTGGTTAAGCTACCTCTGATGTCATAACGGCCCTGCTGAGCCTGTTATAATGAGCGTTCTTACATGCAACGATTAACAACTTTGCTTAATTGCAACCTAATTGCTTCAGGTACAGCCTGGGCGCAAGCTCCCAGGATGGGACATTCGAGGGGGTCTGCGTTACCCAGGGGTTAAGATCGCCGAGGACCCAGTTTTAGATTAATTCTAGCTCCTAAATTAGTTAACGAATTTCCTTGCGAATTCTCAGGCAGTTCGCTCTGTCCCCGGAGAGCGGGGGCTGTACGTGTGGGGAGGATACTCTGGATTTTTGTCAGATGAAATGAAGAGAGTCGGATCCCAGCTTCAAGGGCAACATGCAACTCGGTTTTAACGCTGGCATCACGACTGTTAGGTGTATGAAGGTAGCACATAGAATCCTGACTGAGATCAGGGCCCTTATTGTCCTGGGCACTATATAGACCCTGAGCAAAATCAGCAGCCCGACGGAGATTGAGGGGGACCCCCCCCCATGCTGGGCGGTGCATAGACACTTAGCCAGACAGTCCTTGTCCCAAAGAGTTCACTGTCTGAACAAAGAAAGGACAAGAGGAGAAACTGAGGCACAAAAAGGGGACGTGTCTCACCCCAGGTCCCTGGCAGAGCTGGGAATAGAGCCCAGCTGCCCTGGGCCTCACCCTAGTGTCCTCTCCCTGGCACCATGCGGCAGCTCTCGGAGGGCAGAGCCCAGTGGCTGTCAGGACAAGCTGGTTACTTGGCTTGACTGGCCCGGAGCCACAGGGATCCGAACTGGTCGGGCTGGTTGGGTTGGAGGCCCTGGCGAAGAGGCAGCTGTTCTAGCCTGCTGGCACGGGGGCGGGGAGCGTGACTCACTGAGCCCTGGCGAGAGCGGTTACAAAGCCAGTCTTGCTGGCTCCCGCCTGGCAGCGTTTAACCCTGTCTGCGAGCTGTGGGAGGCATGGGGCATTTCGGTTCCATCTGTGTGTCGCGTGAGGCCACCACCAGAGCGCTGGATCCGAAGCAGGGACGGACATTACGGTAGCACCCAGAGACCCAAACTGAGAGTGGGCGCTGCACGGACCCCCACCAGGATCGGGCCCCCAGCATGCACCGGGGGCTGTGCAGGCCGCCTCCGAGATCAGGCCCCCCCAGCACATGCCGGGGGGTGTACACACACGTGCTGTGGAAGCCGTGAGCTTAACTCCATTGCCTGGTTGTCGGAGGATTACAACTCCCAAGAAGCAGCCGCATAACCTTATTAGTGAGCCTAGGAGGTGCTGCATCATGGGAGTGGCCGACCCTGGTGCATCATGGGCGACGTAGTCCAAGTGATGACCCGGGCCCTGGAATAGAACCAGGGCAGGAGTCGCCGCACTACAGCTCCCCTGAGGCACTGCGATGGCGCTTGCCAACAGAAGTCTCTTGGGCTCCGGGCGTTCTGGTTTGTGGTGGAAAAATCCAGTTTTTCTGCAGAAAGCAGATGCTTTTCCGGACAAATTTCATTCAGTCGAAAAACTCCAGTTTGCCCTCGGAAAACAGCTTGTGTGGATCGTATTCAACGGGCCCCACTCAGCCCCCACCTTGGCACTTGTGCCTGCTCTGAAAAATACCAGCAACTCGCCCCTGGTCTCACCCAGTGGCAGAAGCAGGATTCGAACCCAGATCTCCTGAAGCCTAGTACCTTCACCCCACGCCCGCCATTCTTCTCTCGGAGCCTCCCTGCCCTGCCTCCGGGAGTGAATGTCTTCCCTTCTCCCTCTAGGTAAACAGGTTTTGATTTTGGTTTGGTTTGAAGTAGGGGTGAGAAGCAAAAGCCACAGATCCTGTCACTTCCCAGTTAGCAAACAGCTGTGTTTGAGCTTAGATAGCCTCCTACGCCCACCCCGCCCTGGTCAGGTGTGACACATCCCAGCCCGAGGGGCAGGTCAATCCTGCCCAGCATAGAAGGATTGTCTCTGCCGGAGGAGAAGGGCCACGCAGGGAGCACCAGGAAACGGGCATCTGAGCAAATCCCTGAGCAGCTGAGTGAAATTCTCCGGCCTGGGCTGTGCCAGAGCTCGGACAAGGGCACTGCAATGGGGAGGCAGGATGGCTCAGTGGTTAGGGCGCTAGCTTAGGAGAGCTGCATTCAAGGTAGGGCTTAGAAGCCGCCAAGAAGGTCAGGATCCAGTTGTGCTGGTTGCTTCATGAATACAATCCCTGAGCAAATTAATTAGCCTGTTATGTCTTTGTGCATGACCTGAGACGCTGGGACTCTTGGGTACTACTGTAATACACATAATAAACAATGTACAGCGCCTGGCACAATGGGGTCCTGGACCATGGTTGGGGTTCTTGGGTGCTACTGTAATATACCTAATAAATAACGTACAGCACCTGGCACAGTGGGTGTCCTGGGCCATGGCTGGGGCTCTTATTTGCATCGCGAGAGCACCCGACATATGAGACAGCGGGTGTGAGGGAAAACTGAGGCACAGAGCAGGGAAGTGACTTGCCCGAGGTCACTCAGCAGGTCTGAGCTGGGAGTAGAACCTGGGAGTCATTATTTATTAAGTGTATTATGGTAGCGCCTAGGAGCCCTGGTCACAGGCCCGTTGTGCTCGGTGCTGTACAAATCCAGAACAGAGAGACTGGCCCTGCCCCCAAGGGCTTGACAATCTACTCCTCCAAAGATCCAGTGACGATCTGTATGTTATTGGTGGTAAATGACTCTTCTGGGCTGGGATCTCTGCTGATCGCCACTTATTGGCTGCTCCCAGAAATGGCTCTCCAAAGGAGGAGGAACTGGGATCCCTTTTTTTTTTTTCTCCCCTCAAACACCCGTAATCAGGGTCACATCCTCTCTTTTGGAAACCTCACAAACGCTGCGTGTCCTAGCCGGCCTGGGAGAGGAATGATCGCGGGGCTTTTCTTAGCCTTGTGGCTGGCTGGGGTTTTCTGTAGGAGACTGGAAAGCAAGGCAGAATGGCTTGTTCAAAGGCACAGAGTAAAGTCCTTGGCGAAGCTGGGAATGAGACCCAGGAGTCCTGGCTCCCAGCCCCCCCAACTCTAACCAGTAGACCCCACTCCCCTTCCGAGCTGGGAATGAGACCCAGAAGTCCTGGCTCCCAGCTCCCCAGCTCTAACCACTAGACCCCACTCCCCTCCCAGAGCCAGGAGAGAACCCAGGAGTCCTGGCTCCCTGCCCGCCCCTGCTCTAACCACTAGACCCCCCACCCGGAGCTGGGAGTAGAACCCCCCTGCCCTGCTGATGCCCCCTCTCTGCCCCCCAGATGGCGTCCGCCAACGACACCCGGCAGGCCCAGAAAGATGCCGCCGACCAGAACTTTGACTACATGTTCAAGCTGCTGATCATCGGGAACAGCAGCGTGGGGAAGACGTCCTTCCTGTTCCGCTACGCCGACGACTCCTTCACCTCGGCCTTTGTCAGCACCGTGGGCATCGACTTCAAGGTGAAGACGGTCTATAGGAACGAGAAGAGGGTCAAGCTGCAGATCTGGGTGAGTGCCAGGGAGGGGAGGGAAGTGGGGACCCTGGAGGGGAGTGAGGGAGGCCCGGGGGAGCCCAGCGGGCCAGTTTGTCTCTTGGGTGCGGGACTGTCTCTTTGTGCTGTGTTTAGTACAGCACCTAGCACATGGCGTCCTGGGCCACGCCTGGGACTCCCAATGTTACCGTAGTACTGATGGTAGCTAAGGAGGATAAGCTGCGGCCCCGTGCTTATCGATCAGGGGCCTCAGGCCAGAAGAGATCCAGCATCCTGTATATTCCACCGTCGGCGCCAGACACTGGGGAGAGACAGAGGCGTCCAACCCACCCGGCTGCCCCTAGCTGGGCAATACTATACCTCAGATGAATTCCTCCTGACCCCGAGCCAGGGATTGGCCTGTGTCCTGAAGCATGAGGGTTGACAGCCCTTTTCCTTTCAATCCTCGCCCGGTGCCGACCCTTCAGTACCAGAATCCTGGGACTTCTGGCCCCATGCGGGGCGTACTCCTTCCCCCCAGCACCCTGTTCTGTACAGCCCCCCCCAGCCAGACTCCAGCCCTGAGCCCCCACTGCCCAGGGGGCGACGGCTTGGAGGCCTGGCAGTTGGAGAGGCTCTGCCCTGCGTGGTGGGGTATTGGGCCAGCTCCCCCCATAGGGAGTGAATCAGAACTTGGTAGCTCCCAGCATTTGTGTGTAGCAAATGGGCGTGAAATAGGCACACTTCCTACCCACGGGGGGGGGGGGGGAGAGGGGGTGTTGCCGTAATCACTGGAGTACGGCAACGCTTCCTTTTTAGAACTTCATTCTCTCTTCTGTTGGGGGAAGCCGTTCCGTGCAGCAAACTGCGGCCCTACAAAGAAAAGACCCCAGCTCCCCACCCTGAGCCAGCCATTCCCCCGCCCTGGGGCTGGATCACAGCTGGCGCCCCCTGGAGGGGAAAGGCCCTGTGCCCCATTCCACACACCCCTGAGCCAGCCAGTCCCCCCCATCCCCCGGGGCCAGATCAGAGCCGGTGCCCGCTGGAGGGGAAAGACCCTATGCCCCATTCCCAGCCCCCCTGAGGCAGCCAGTCCCCTGCCCTGGGGCCAGATCAGAGCTGGCGCCCCCTGGAGGGGAAAGGCCCCGTGACTCATTCTGTGGAGAACGACACTTTTTAAGACTTTTTATTTCTTGGATGCCACGTGACACAGGCCCCGGCCCCCAGCTGGTGTGACTCAGCCTCGCTTTGTTGGGGTCCATGGAACTAGGTCACTTTACACCTGCTGGAGATCTGGCCCGTTGACTCCACTGGCTCTGTGGCCGAGTGGGGATCGGGCCCACCTCATGTCGAGGCCCCAGGGGCCGCTTGGTCCCAGCTGGCGGGACCGGATCAGCTCGTTCTTTTCCTGTTCTCTCCATGGCCGGCAGCTGTGGCGAAGTCACTAAGTGCAGCCGGATCCCCTGGTGCTGCGGGTAAACATCCCTCCCCACGCGGCAGCTGCAGCTGTCACTGGCTTTCGCGGGGAGGGAGGGGGGTCGGAGTCTCTTTGCTCCCGAAGGCCTCTGGCAGTCACCATGGTAATGGCACCAGCCTGCGTGTGCTTTGGCTCGGGCAGCAGCTGGCATTACCTTGACTCTGGTAAATGCCACTGGGCACCATCATGCAAACTTTCCACCCAAAACAGATTATTTCCCTCCCGCCCCCAAATCCTCTGGGGTCTCCCCCACCAGCCTGGGGACTGAGAGACCCAATCTGTCCCCCTTTTTTTTAGTCTGTGGAACTCATTCCCACTGATTTTTCCATGGTGGGAACTTCACCGGCCTCCTAATGCCACCCCGAACTATGTCTGCCTCCTCATTTACCCTCTGTCAATGCAGTTAGCCTGTGGAACTCACTGCCACAAGATACCACTTTTGGAGAAAGGCTGCCTGGCCAGATGGAGTCCTGCTCCGGTGATTTCTCAGGCTGAGCTGTCTCTGCAGATGCTGTGGCTTGAATCTTTGCAGGCCATAACTCCACAGACTCCAGTCAGCTGGGAATTTGGCCCAGTGTGTTTTTTCCACTGCAACCTCTTGCCCCACTGTGGGGGTGGGAGAGACCCGGAGGAGCAGTGTTAGCAAATGGAAGCCCTCTCTGGGCGCTGACCTGACCACTAGGAGGGATGGGTGATTTAGATCAGGGGCACGTGTAGGGGCCGGTGCTTAAACTCTTTGGCTTGGCTTTGCTGGAGTCACTCCCCTGCTTAATTAGATCTGAAGCTCTTTGGGGAAGGGTCCATCTGTTTGTTCAGTGGATGTACAGCGCCCGGCGCATGGGCTCCTGGGCTGGATGGGTACGCCTCATAAATAAGTATTTACACCTGTGCTTCGCTGTAAGGGGACACGGCTGAAAGGAGAGGGGTTCATTCAAACGAGGATGGACAGATGCCTTCCTGCCACCTCCCAAAAGGATCAGTGGAAGTGTCTCCGACTCTCTACAGCCTCTGCCTGACCCTCCAAAAAAAAGAGAGCTTAATAAATATGTGTATTATGATAGCACCTAGCAGCCCCAGTGATGGCCCAGGACTCCATTGCACTGGGCCCTGTCCATTATTAGCAAAAAGAACAGGAGGACTTGTGGTACCTTAGAGACTAACAAATTTATTAGAGCATAAGCTTTCCTGGGCTACAGCCCACTTCATTGGATGCATAGAAAGGAACATATAGTAAGAAGACAGATACGTACAGAGAAGGTGGAAATTGCCCTACAAACTGTCAGAGGCTAATTAATTAAGATGAGCTGTTATCAGCAGGAGAAAAAAACTTGTGTAGTGATCATCAAGATGGTCCATTCAGATAGTTGGCAAGAAGGTGTGAGGATACTTAACGTGGGGAGATAGATTCAATATGTGGAATGACCCAGCCACTCCCAGTCTCCATTCAAACCCAAGTTAAAGGCATCTAGTCTGCATATTTCCACCTTCTCTGTATGTGTATGTATCTATCTTCTTACTATATGTTCCATTCGATGCATCCAGTGAAGTGGGCTATAGCCCAGGAAAGCTTATGCTCCAATAAATTTGTTCGTCTCTAAGGTGCCACGAGTCCTCCTGTTCTTTTTCGGATACAGACTAACCCGGCTGCTACTCTGAAACTGTACATTATTAGGTGTATTACAGTACCACCAAGGAGCCCCAGCCATGGACCGGAACCCAATTACAGTAGGTGCTGTACATTATTTGTCAGGTGTATTACGGTAGAACCTAGGAGCCCCAGTCATGTGGCCCAGAACCCCATTGCACTGGGTGCTGTACATTATTAGGTGTATTACGGTAGCACCTAGTAGCCCCAGCCGTGGCCCAGAACCCCATGGCGCTGGGTGCTGCATGAACACAGAACAAAAAGACGGTCCCTGCCCCAGGGAGCTGATCCTCTAAATTCGATTAATTTAACTGAGATTAGTTTAAAACCTAGTGTTTATCCCATCACCTAGCAATGAGTTCCATAGGCTAAAACCTGCTCTGTCCTCCCATCAGTTCGAAGGCCAGCTCTCCATTCCAGATGTCCGCCGGCAGAGCTCTGCTAGTCAATGCCTGGTAGACGGGTGATGTCTGGCCGACCCAGCAGAAACCCTCGTGGAGACGCGGTTATACCAGCCGAGCGTTGCTTTTGCTGGGCTCGTTGATTTCGGTCGGGTGGGCTGGAATGAGCGATCCTGGTGGAGCACCCAGCTTTACTGGGATAAGCCGTGTCCCCGCAAGGAGTCCTTTGTGGCTGGGGGTAGCTACGCTGGCAAAGCACTCTTCAGAGAGATCGGGCCTCAATCCACTCCCTTTCATCCCCATCCAGCCTTATGCAGCGGGCGGGCTAGAATCCCACCCTGTCTCTTCCGTGTGCCGTCTGCTCTCCCTCACCGCTCCACGCGTCCCCTCCTTGACCGCCCCACCCAGGCAAGCCCCCGCTCTTCGCTCGCTCTCCATACGGCAGATATGGGACCGTCCGGCTCGCCAGTGTTTCATTGTTATCAGCAGCCCATTCAAATTTCCATTGGGCCCCTTTTTATTAATCGATTTTTTTTCTAATTACACGCAAACAATGCATCTTACGTGCGTCTGAGCTGTCATGGAAACTGGCCCCAGTTCCTGGTACCAGCCAGACGCTTCCAGGCCTTTTAATGAAAAGATCCTTCTGTCACGGCCCTCTGTGCACTCTCTGGTCTCCACAGTAACAGGCCCATTTCTGGTCTCCGCGCTCTGGAGAGTCAATAAGAGCCGTACAAGGCCAAGCAGATAGGGACTAGCTGACATTTCTCACCCTCCCACAATGCACCGCTTCACCTGATTCACAGCCCCTAACTGGAGCAGCCCTGCGGACACCTGGGGAGAGATGGGCCCTGCCCCAGGGAGCGTGCAGCCCAAAGAAAGGGTTATCCCTTGTTTTACAGATGGGGAAACTGAGGCATGGGAGGGAGGGAGTCTGTGGCAGGAAGTGAGGGGGAGCATTAACCCCAAGCCTCCCACAGCGCTAGCTCCGAATTGAAATCTTCCCCTGTGCAGCTGGGGATCTTGCAAAGCAGTAGCTCTTATTTGTGTGTGTTGTGGGGTCGGGATTGTTTAAAGGACACCGCAGGGCAGGAGAGATACCGGACAATCACGACGGCTTATTACCGAGGAGCCATGGGCTTCCTGTTGATGTACGACATCGCCAACCAGGATTCCTTCAACGCCGTGCAGGACTGGTAAGAGACCCCATGTTCCCTTGCGTTGTACCATGAGAGCCAGTCGTGTCCAGGGCTGACTGAAAATACAGGCACTAGAGGGCCCCTGTTCAGGGCCCCTGGCTCCCTGGGGGTCAGAGAGATTGAGGTCAAGTTCTCCGTGGGGGAAAATTAGCTCTCTGACTGGTGCTGGTGGTGAAGAAAAGCTTGAGCCGAGCAAAACCGACGTCTGCCTGAGTCTGCCGAGAGCCTGAGTTGATAGCTCAAAGAGGGTGGAGTTGCCTGAGTGTAACTGATGCAGCCAAGCTGCCTACGTCTGCAGAAAGCAAACTGTGTGTGAGTGGGGGAGGGGATATGTCCCCCCTCAATCCCCCCCGCCCCGGGGAGGGCCCTGCCTCCATTGGAAACTCCTGATGAGGTTGCAGCGTTCACATTCCTTAAAGACGTGGCACGATGTGGAGGGGGCCATCTGTAAAGGCTCATTGGATTTTTAAAATCTTTTATGGGGGGCAGGGCGGTTTTGGGGAGGGAAGAGGCAGGTCACTGCGCTGAACAATGGGGAAACCCCGGAGGGGGGGGTCTAGTGGTTACAGCTGGGGAGGTTGGGAGTCGAGGGTCGTGGGTTCTGTTCTGGGAGGGGAGCCCTCGGATGGCTGCTTTCACTCGCACAAAGCCCACTGGGTGCCATTTCTTCCTGGGACTGAATTTAACACCACGGAGCACTGATGGATGCACTTTCCCTCCAAAGATCTCAGAGTGTTTTACAGACGGGGGTCGATATTTAGTAGTGGTATGATTCCTGTTTCACAGAAGGGGAAACTGAGACGCAAAGTAGCAGAGACAGCCAAAGTAGTCATCTTTTCCACCCCCTCCTCTCTAACCACTAATCCCTCTCCCCTCCTAAACCTGGGGATAGGCAGAACCTCGGAGTCCTCACTCTCAGCCCCCCAGCTCGAACCACTAGACCCCAAAGCCCTCCCAGGGCTGGGGATAGAACCCAGGAGTCCTGACTTCAAAAGGATAGTAAACAATGTGAGTTGGGAGGGTAGGGAGGAGTGGGGGAAGGATGTGTTCAATCCCTCCCATGGAAGAGCCTATATGTAATTCAAATTCATGGTGTGGGGCTCATGTTCCTTTAAGACAGGGGTAGTGCGGGTCCACAGCAATAAAAAACACATTGGATTTGTAACCGTTGTCTTTTATAAGGGAGGAAGGAGTCCTCGTGGGGTGGGGTGCAGGTGATTGACAGCGGGGTGGGTGTGGCTTGTAAGCAAGGCCCGAGTTCAATTCCCACCCCCGCTCCATAGGGCGACTCAAATCAAGACCTACTCTTGGGATAATGCCCAGGTGATCCTGGTGGGGAACAAGTGTGACCTGGAGGACGACCGAGTGGTGGCCACGGAGGATGGCAAGCGGCTGGCTGATGAGCTAGGTAGGTGCCCCGCAGTGAGCAGGGCGTCGGCTGGAGAACCTGGAACGGATTTTCCGGTTTGTCGACAATTCTAAAGACACCGGAATTAACTTTCGTTGGGGGGGGGGGGTCAACGGTTTTCAAAATGTTCAGCAAGCTGAAACCGACTTAGCTTCGACTTGAGGCAGAAGGTTTGAATTGGAGCATTTTTAACCTCTTTTGTTTCATTTTAAAGAATATGATTGAAGGACATTTTGAGATGAAAAACTAAAACCTTTTTGATTTTTTCTCCCCCCAAAATTTTTTCTTTTGTTTTTGGGGGGGTTGTTTGGTTTGGGTTTTCTTCCTCCCTCCAACTGCAACAATTTGGCAAAACCAAATTCCCATTAAAATCAGCGTTCGATAGGCACCTAAATAAGGTCCATCTAGCCCAGTGTCCTGTGTTCTGACAGTGGCCAGTGCCAGGTGCTCCAGAGGGAATAAACAGAACAGGGAATCATCAAGTGGTTCATCCCCTGTTGCCCATGTCCCTAGCCTCTGTTTGCCAGAAGCTGGGAACCATTCCTGCCCATCCTGGCTAATAGTCATTAATGGATCTATCCTCCATGAACTTATCTAGTCTTGGACCCGTTATAGTCTTGGCCTTCACAACATCCTCTGGCAAGGAGTTCCACAGGTTGACTCTGCGTTGTGTGTACTTTCAGTCACCAACACATGATTTTTCTCCTCCTTCTGTTCTTTCTCATTCCCTCCTTCCCTCCCAGGGTTTGAATTCTTCGAAGCCAGCGCCAAGGACAACATCAACGTCAAGCAGGTCTTTGAGCGCCTGGTGGACATTATCTGCGAGAAGATGAACGAGAGCCTGGACACCAACCCCACCCTCGTCAGCAACAGCAAGAACGGGGCCCTGACCGAGACTCCGCCCCCGCAGTCCAGCAGCTGCTCTTGCTAGATAACAGACTCCGCCCACCTATGGCGCCTCTCCCCCCCTCCCCCCCACCGCCGCAGCGGTCACATTGATGTCATAGATAAATAGGATGGGACGTTATGGGGAGAGGCACATCTCTTGGGCTGCTGCCCCAATGTTTTTCTATTTGCCTATGACAACAATGCAGTGGAGTCGCCCTCCCTTTCCTTATCCCCAATCCACGGTTCGTCCGTCCCGGCAATCACGGCCAGCTGAGGGATGAGGAACATGAGCCCATCCACCAGACCTCAGAGGTGGTGGGGCAGGCACAGGCCCCCCACAGCTGATGCAAATTGGCCTGACTTCCTTTGACTTTGATGGCGCTGACGTGGGTGCTACGGATCCAACGGGGGTTCGATGCCTCAGCAGATCCTCGCTGTCTTCGGAGCATGTCTGATATTAACCAAGCCCTAGGTGCAGCTTTGCAAAAGGCTGGGGCATCGAACCCCCATATAGATCTGTGACAACTGCTCTGTGTTTGTAAGGGGATGGAGAGGGGTGCCCGGGGGGAGGGGGAGGAAGATGTGGGGTGGTTTCCTGCACAGGGTTTGCTGCACGTTGGTGTGAGGGACATTAATCCTCATGCTGGAAAACAGGTGGTGGGAGAGGGGGGAGATCCATTTTCATCTCCATTTTCCACTGAAAATTTCAGGTTTTTCCCAGGGAAAATTTGTGTCCTGAACATCTTTGACCAAAAGTCGGAGCAACTTTGATTCTGAAATGCCTCCTGGGTGTTGTAGTCCGGGTGCCTCGTGCTCCTGCTCTCTTCTGTAGACTGGACTTCTTGGTCAGACTACATCTCCCATGATGCACCACACTCTAGCCCTGGTGCAGCATGGGAGACGTAGTCCAACTAAGGAACCTGGCTCATATTGGAGAATGGGAGCTCGAGGCCAATGAACTACAACTCCCATGAGGCACCACTGCAGCATTTCCAAAGCAACTCAACCCCAAATGACGGCTTCCCATAGAGTCACACACTCTGTAAATGGCCAGGGGTCCCTAGTGCACTCCCCTACCTGGTGCATTTGTTTGCACTAGTGTCAAATGCTCCTGTGCGGGGGTTGCAGTGAAAATGACAACAAAAGGCACTGGAGAGTCGGGCCCTCTCTTTGTTTTCTTTCCTCGAAGCATCTCCTGCTTTTGGGGTCTGCGGTTGGGGGACTTGCCTTGAGGGAGCTGCCTTAAAGGTGGGGGGTGCCTGGCACTTCCTGAAAATTGGGTCCCTTTAAGCAGCCTCCGGTTGAGCACCCCAACCCTGGAGGCACCAAAAATCATTAGCCATTTGTGTGGGGGGAGAGGGGTAAACCCCGAGAGGCTCAGCTCACACTGACCCTCCGCTGGTGTAAATGGGTGTCTGGCCCTTCTCACGCAAATGGAGCGATACTGGTTTACACCAGCTGGGGATCTGGCCCTTCTTGTGCCAATGCAACAATACTGGGTTTACACCAGTTGGGGATCTGGGCCTTAATGTAGAAAGGGGCCAGGGGAGAGACAAGACCACGGATTGGGAAAAATGTAGAATACCTTCAATGTATCGGATCAGTTTGAACCAACACCTGCAGGCCTAGGAGTCTGGTAAAACCAAAGGTCCTGGGCCTGATTTCCCGTTGCACTGAGCCTTGTACAGTGGTTTATTTACACAAGGCTGTGAGGGCTTAAAATCAATCCAAGCGGGTTTGCATGAGTGGTGCATGGAGGGAGGGGTTGCGGTGCAGGGCACTGGGGAATTGGACCAGTTTGGCTGCAAGGGCCAAGGGATACAGAGACTTCCCCCCATCTTGGGGTGTTGGTTCCAGGCTGGAGCCTGGCTTGGCAGTGACTGAGACCCTAATCTCATGCAGACAGCACGAGAGCTTGCCCCAGGCTTGAGGCCTCGGGATCCGTCGCTCTTTGATTCGGCGTCCTACCCTGGGAGGGGCTGGTGGGCTGCGGGGAAGCTGAGGCAGAGCTGCCCTAGAACCGAGCCTCGCAGGGCAGCATTGAGGAGCAATGCCACGCTGGGGTGGGGAGCGCCCGGGGTGTCTGAATTGGCTTCAGGTTGGGATTTCGGGGTGCCTGGGGCCCAGATCCCCTTGCAGTTCCCTGGGATTTGAGGACATCTGACTCCCCTTATGATGCCTTCTGCTCCCAGCTTGCATTAATTATCCCCATCAGCCCCAAAGACTTCAGTGTTGTTATTTTTGGGAGGTGCCACGCAGGCACCCAATGGGGCACCTTCCAGAAAGCTTTAGCTGATAGATGAGCCTCGGATAACCCCCCGAGGGAGGAAAATCATTGGATTCCCCACTGGGGATGGCTATGCTTGGACCTGGACCAGGGCATGACTCTTGGTTACTTCCCTACTTCTGGGGTCATGCCTAGTCCCTGTGTCAGCTAGAGCAGCCACTGGGCTGCTCTATTTCATGCTCTGTTTCCCAAGAGCCCTTGCTGAAGCATGGAGTACCCACAATGCAGTGTGTTCCAGCCACCCCCCCACACACACACTCGGTTCAGTGCCCTGATGCCAGCTTCCCATTGGCTGGAGTAGGCCCTGCCCCTGCACAGAGTGTGTGTGTGTGTGTGTGTGTGTTGGGGGGGGAGGCAGGATTTTCAGGTGAGGCTGTCTCCGCCCACTTTATTCAACCTTAAAGGGGCCTTAAATGAGAATCAGCCTCTGGAATCTGGACTCAGTGTGTCAGCTGCCCCATACTGCATTCCAGGGTGACATGAGCACTCCTTGATGTCCCGGCCGCGCTGGGACACGGCGAGTTTTGGCTGGAAAAGGTACAACAGTCCACTTCCGTCCCACGCTGCATGGATCATTTCAACCCCTCCACGGCTATCGATTAGCTTCTCGCTGGAGCAAACTTTGGTTCAACAACTCGGCTCTCCTGGAGTCCGATCTCACAGCTTTCTGTGCAGCAAGCGCTCAGGGCTCGGCTGCAGGGACCGGTGCGCTGGGGTGACCAGGCAGCAAGGGTGAAAAATCGGGATGGGGGGGGTAATAGACACCTATATAAGACAAAGCCCCAAATATCAGGACTGTCCCTATAAAATCGGGACATCTGGTCACCCTACGGTGCGCCGTCCCTCCACTCACAATGCAATGCTTATACGCTTCGCACCCCAGCCGTGCAGAGTGTTTTGGCCGTGGGGTGTGTGTGTGTGTGTTAAAGGAAAGTGTCAAGTCGCTCACATTTCCAGGGGATGTGCACTCTTTAAAAACGGAGGAGAGGCCAGTTTCTTACTTTGAAAACAAAAGTGCCTTTAGCAAAAGCCAAACCATTGATCGGTCACGTGTAAATATCCACACTCCCAGCTAAGCTGTAGCCTAGCGGTAGAAGCCTTGTTTAACCTTCTGCCCTTTTCTTCTTGGCCAGATCCCATCGATGCCTTTCTCCCTCCTCCCCCTTTTCGAGAATTATTTAAGAGAGAGAGATGCACAGAGTTCAAGGCCAGAAGGGATCATTCATTCATCCTGCCTGACCCGCTGTGGATCAGAGGCCATGAAATTTCATCCAGTTACCCCTGACTTGAGCCAAAGATAAATACGCTTGCATTGGTATTTAAAATCCCTGCGGTCAGATCTCTGTAAGGGGGGGGGGGGGGAGTTTATAACTGATGTAGCATGTGAACGTTGGGAAGGAGGGATCCACCCCCAAAAATAAGCCTAAATAAATTTAAACCTGACCAAAGTGGGATTTAGGTATGACGGGGGCAGGGATGGTCTTTTTGTTCTGTGTTTGTACAGGGCCTGGCATACTAGGCCATGACCAGGCTTCTGAGCGCTACCATAATATGCCTAATAAAGAATAATAATGCCTTTGAAAATCACAACAGAACGGTCTGATGACTGATTTGTACGCGTGCGAGTCTTGGGCCCCCTCAAGTGGCTAGATGATATATTTATGTGGTGGTGTAGGCCTGTCTGTCTCAGGATATGAGAGACAAGTTGGGCGGTAATAACTTGTATTGGCCCAAGCTCTGTTGGTGACGGAGACAAGCGTTTGAGTGCCAGGCAGCTCCTCTGCGGGACCTGAAGGAACCCCAAGTTTAGTTTTGGCAGAATTCGATTTTGATTTTTCCATCATTTCGATGGATATGAGCGATGTTTATTTTAAGCATATTTTTGATTTTTTTGGAACCAATTTCCATGTTCACCGTTGCACAAAATGGGTTACAAAGCATTGTTTGTTATGTATTTAAATTTTCACAGTTGTGGGGAAATATGCGGGGGATCAGGCCCGGGGAGGGGATCGGCCAATGACACTCGACTTTGGGATTCAACAAGGTAAAGTCGAGAGCCACCAACACATGCGCTGTCAGCATTTTACCCTTCACTCAAACGCTAATAAACTCTCCAGAGGCATGTTTCTTACTTGCCCGGCTGGCCAGGTCAATGATCGATGGAAACAGTTTTGCCTCGGTTTGGGGGTGTCTGGTGAAATCAACGTTTATTGACCCTTCCCGCTGAAAAGCGAACCCAGCCTAGCTAATATGTATGTGTTGCTCAGTCTATCGGTGGGTGCTTTCGCCTGCTAGCAAGGAATGATCATGAGCTAATAGCTGTTCCTAGCGCCATAAAATCACGGCCTTTTCTATAAATGGCCTTTTTTTTTTTGGTTAAAAATCTGGCAAAAGTCCCCCTTTATTTAGGTCCGATGAAGTGAGCTGTAGCTCATGGTTAGTCTCTAAGGTGCCACAAGTCCTCCTGTTCTTTTTGCGAATACAGACTAACACAGCTGCTACTCTGAAACCTTTATTTAGGGTGACCAGATAGCAAGTGTGAAAAATCGGGACAAGGGTGGGGGGTAATAGGTGCTGAAAAGCCCCCCAAATCAGGACTGTCCCTATAAAATCAGGACAGCTGGTCACCTGACCTTTATTTTAAAAAACATCTTAGAATTCTAGAAAACAACCACCGGGGTCTTCAGCAGCTTTGTAGAGAGGGTCTAGCCCCATTTGTGGCCCCTGGCACGATGTGATGCTGTGCAAACGATGTGGACAGACACGCACTGCAGCTGGACAAACTGTGTTTGAAATGAGAAGGTTTGTCCTGAATCATTCAGGCCGGTGGCAACCGTCGCAGTTGCATTCCGCACAAATAGTGCCGGTGTTAATTTTCCCAGCTGTCTTTATCGCCCCCCCCCTTCAAAAACAGGAGAATTTAGGGAGGGGAAATACAGGCCCTAACGCCTTTTAATTCCCTCTTTCCACTCGCTTGTCAGTTTCACCCAACCAACTGCTCCCAAATCTTCTTTTGGCGGGGGCGCTCAGAGGATGTTAATGGCGCCAGGGGAAATGGCTGCTGTCTGCCATGTGCCTGGCTAATGATTTCTTTGCACTTATTAAGGGACGGGGGTGGGGGTTAAACTAACGAGGCGATCTGTCATTACGGGAAGGCTAATTAAAGATGGGCACCCTTCCAATGGCTGCCAGCTTTCTGTGCTTCTTGTTAATGGCAACTGGCTGGGGGAAGCAAAGGATGCGGTTGAAAAAAGCAAAGCCGAACCTTTCCTTTAGCAAGTGTTGAAACGGGACATGAAAACCGGAAGGAGGGGTGGGCTCGTGATGAATGGCCTGGCCTGAGACCTGGATTCAATTCCTGCCGCTCCTTGCCTCAGTTTCCCCCTCTGCAAACCAAGGCGTATAACCCTGCCTTTTGTCTTGTCTATTTTGGCTGGAAACGAGAGCTGGGCTGATAATGGTGTTTCTGGTTCACTGACAATTTTGAAACATCAAACCCCTCACAAGTACAGGTCAAGGAACCTTTTCGAAATTCTCAGCAAAGGGAAAACTTGGGGCAGGGGGGATTGTTCCGGCTCAAGCGGAACGCTTTGCTTAGTTTACAAGTGGGGGTTTTATTTTTACATTAAACGAAAATAAAATGGAAGGAAGTAATGCAACAAAAACTTGGACCATTGTGACATTTTCGGACTTATTTTTCCTAGGCAAACAGCCATCGAGAACCAGCATGTTCGAGAAAGGTTTTGGTGTCACTGACTCTGCATCTTTTCCTGAAAAAACATTTCAGCCCAAACATTTCAATCAGCTCGATTGTAAACGCTTTGTGGCAGGAACTGTCCTCTACAAGGTAACGAGGCAGAGCCCGGCACAACGGGGCCCTGATCTCGGTCAGGGTCTGGGCAGCGCCCGGCACAATGGGGCCCTGATCTCAGTCAAGGTCTGTGCAACGCCTGGCACAAGGGGGCCCTGATCTCGCTCGGGGTCTGTGCAGCGCCCGGCACAACGGGGCCCTGATCTCAGTCAAGGTCTGTACAGCACCTGGCACAACGGGGGGCCCTGATCTCGCTTGGGGTCTGTGCAGCGCCCGGCACAAGGGGGCCCTGATCTCGGTCAAGGACTGTGCATTGTCCAGCCTCCTGCAAGCTGGGGGGGGCTTCATCTCAACAGAACAAACTTCCCCACGTACCAGCCTGCCCCTCACGTCCCCGGCTTCGTGCAAACGGTGCCGTCACTAAGCAAAGCTTGAGGGTCAGCTAATAATTTACGGTGAATCGACCTCTCCGCTTTCCTAGCTGGGGTGTGGGGGGGAACCCATTGGGCCAGCGCTTGTTGGTATAATTTCCTGGGGAATGAACCTGGCCGCGGCGGTAATACGAATCAGTCGCGTTCTTGGGAGCTGAGCTCCCCCTCGGTTGGCCACGGGGCGCCGTGAAGGGGAAGGAAGGGGCATGAAATATTTACAAGCCAGCATGGTACATAATTGGCACCGTTCTGCACCTGGCACCCAGCCCTCAACGGCGCCGCAGCGAGACCTCCGGACAAATCGCTCGGCCAACGCCGGGGCGAGGTTCGCCGCGGCCCGGAGTCAGCCGACGCGCGGGGCCAGATTCGCTGTAGTGGAGCGACGCTGCTTTACGCCGAGCGGGGATCTGGCCCGTGGTGACGCTGCCCTCGGCAGGGAGACTTCATTTCTGGAGCTGGCTGGCGCTTGGCGCCCCGTCAGCAGCCGAAGCAGGCAGTGCTTGCGGGGCTTGGCTCCTGCTGTCGATCAGCTTGTCAAATGCAGCTGTGGTGCGGCAGCCCAGATGTGGCCCGCTCATTGCACAGCTGGTGGCGGAAGCATGTTGCACACTGAAAGCCTGGGGCAGGAAAGGAAATCTGGACGAGGGTTATTATTTATAACGCCATAGCATCTAAAGGCCGTGGCCAAGAGCAGGCCCCCACCACCCCGGGCTGGGCACTGCACAGACCCTGCCCAAGAGCAGGGCCCCCCCATTATGCGGGGTGCTGCACAGACGTGGACCAAGATCAGGGCCCCTGTCATGCCAGGTGTTGCCCAGACCCCAACCAAGCTCAGGGCCCCCCCCCCGCCCATTGTGCCAGGCGCTGCACACACCCCGACTGAGATCAGGGCCCCCAGTTGTGCCGGACGCTGCCCAGACCCCGACCGAGAGTGGAAGGGGAAGCAGGCACAGAGTGGGACAGGGGCTTGCGCAGGGTGACCTGCAAGTTGAGTGGCTGAACCAGCACCTAGACCCTCGCTCCCCAAGGACTAACCGCTAGCCCACAGCGCGATGGACAGAGCCTTGTGCTGGGATTACCCCGCCATGTTATTAATCAATCCCCCGCTTTATGCCATGCACAGACCCTGAGCCAGCCCACCAGTTCGCCCACAGCGACCCACACCGCTGGGAAGGCGTATTTCGGGCACAGGCCCCCAGACCCTTCCCTTGCTGTCTTTCCCAGGGGGGGGTTAAACGTCCAGCTCTGAGCACAGCCGAGAGAGCTGAGTCCTTAAAAAACTCCCAGTGGCCCCCAAAGCTAGCGAGGAGAGCAAAGGACCTGTCTTTGCTACGTCCCCGATTGATTCCCGCTGCCCGCCACAACAGCAAAACAGATGGGGGGAGAGGATCAGCACCTGCCCTTAACCGGGCGGCGTGCTCTCTTTTCGGGCTGGGGGTGGGGGCGGCTACCACCAGGGCCGTCCTTAGGCATATGCAGAATACGCAGCTGTGAAGGGCACCACGAATTTTGGGGCACCAAGTTTCCACAAATTTCATGGTGCCCTAAGCAGCTGCACGCTTCGTATGAGGGAGCACCAGCAGCCAGCCCCATCCCCCAGCTGGCCCCCCTGTGCGTTCCTGGGCGGGGGGGGGGTGCGGGGCCTGGGACAACTCTGTCCACCCCTGCCTTGCCTCTTCCCACCCCCATTTCCCACCCCTTCTCCCAAGCCCCCGCCCCCGAGTGACAAGGCTGGGGCCAGGTCATTCCATTGCCTGCTGCCGGCACCAGGCCCCCCCGCTAATCCTCCAGGCCACTCTGGGCCTGAGCGGCCCCCCCACAGCTCCCCGCAGGCCTTGAGTGCAGCCCAGACCTGCCGGGGGGCGGGGGAGCAGGTGCTCAGGCTGTGTAGGGCACCATAATTGGTAGGGACGGCCCTAGCTACCCCCCCCCCCCGGCTAGTTCTGAGATGTGGCCCCTTTAAGAACATCAGACCCAGCTGGAAATGGGCAGGGCCAGGAGACTGAGTCATGTGACTGCCTGCTCAGGAGTATAAAAGGCTTCCAGCTGGGGCAGGGGAAGGTTAGTACAGGAGAGGGCTCTAGGGAGGGTGGAGGTGGAGGTGGGTGACCGACCGACCGACCGACCGACCGACCGACCGACCGGGGAAACCCACAGCTAGTCTTGGGGGAAAAGGGTGTGATGTAATTTGAACTGGCTTGAATTCAGGAAATGAGAGACCCTGAGGCTGGAATGCTGCCACTGGGGGGGTATTTGCCATATTGGGGGTGGCCACTGGCTTTCTCTCCATTACCCTGACCCTTAGCTGTATCCACAGTTGTACCGGTTTCACTTTAAGCTTCCAGGGACAGAGACTCTCCTGTTGTGCTGGGTGCTGTACAGACCCAGCTCAGCAGGTTCCTAGCCTGTATCTAGGGCTCCAGGGTGTGAGTGCGATAGAAATTAATAACTTGGCCAAACACCTTTCCAACCCTCCTTCGTCCTGGGAGCACCCTCCACCCCAAAAACCCCCTTTTGCTGCGGGCCGGGAAGGCCACCAAAGCCGGGCGGTTTGGAATCAGTCATGATCATCCCTTGCGCTTCTCTAGGGCTTTTCATGGCTTTACATCAGTGGCTCTCAAAGTGCTTTAACAAAAAAAAAAAAAAAAGTGTTGTTAACACCATCTGTAAAATAGGGAAACTGAGGCACACAGCAGGGTGGTCACTTGCTCAAAGTCATCCAGCCAGCCAATGGCAGAGGTGGGAATACTACATCCGCAGCAACAGCAGCCTGAAAACAGAATGATTTCTTAGTTGGAAATGTTGCTCTCTCGCATCAGGGGAGCTGTAGGCTGGCTGCGAATGCTGTGGGCTGTGAGGAAACTGAACTACGACTCCCAGGAGGCACTGCAATCAGGCGCCGCCATCTCTCACTAGAAGGGGAGGTCACGGTGCATCAAGGGAGATGTAGTCTGACAAGTTTCAGAGGAACAGCCGTGCTAGTCTGTATTCGCAAAAAGAAAAGGAGGACTTGTGGCACCTTAGAGACTAACCAATTTATTTGAGCATGAGCTTTCGTGAGCTACAAGCTCACTTCATCGGATGCATACCGTGGAAACTGCAGCAGACTTTATATACACACAGAGAATATGAAACAATACCGCCTCCCACCCCACTGTCCTGCTGGTAATAGCTTATCTAAAGTGATCAACAGGTGGGCCATTTCCAGCACAAATCCAGGCCCTCTGACAAGGGAGCCTGGCCTGTAGAGGAGAATTCTGCCACCAGTAAAAAAAAACAAAACCCTTTTTTCTTCCATGTGGAAAAATTTCACCTAAAATTCTCTCATGTTCACTGAATCTTTTCCTCAAAAGTCTTTATCCCAAACACCCCTCCCCCTTCCTTTTCTTTCTTTTAAAGGTTCCCGTAACCAAATTTCCCCCTGAAAACCCAGTTTGGGGGCACCAAACTGGAGGAGGAGGAGGGTTGCCCAGTTGCATAGATCCAGCAGGGTGCCTCCTGCTGGTCACCCACGGGATTGCTGGGAAGGGATGCTAAACTTGCTGGTGGAGTTCTGGCAGCCTCTCCGGCCTCTTCCTGACCCTTGAGTCTCCAGAGACGTGTGCGTAAGGGGAATGTCTGACCTTGGGGGGGGGTCATACCCTCCCCCGGGGTCTGCTTTGCACCAATGTGCCACCTTCACCAGGGTGATGGGGGGTGTCACTCTGGCACAGGTTGTGCCATAGGGGAGCCGCCGTGGTGGGCTGGGCAGCAGGATCACTGGGACTCGGGGAGCTTGGCGTGCCAAGGGTGAGTCTTTGAGTGCCCACTCTGGGTCATAGACCCCGTTCAACCAGTAGAGATTTCCCCCTCTCTAAGCCATAGGGGTTTGTGCTGTCAGACCTGAGTTGTAGCCTGGTTGTTGTGGTGAAGTGATGACCTGGACCACTGTGTGTCATAGTCCCTACACAGCTAACAGCTGAGGGAGAGTCCCTGATAGCTCGAACAATAAGGGCCTGTGCTTTAGGAGGGTGATGGTCTGGATTCCAGCCATGCTGCTACAGAGCTCTAGTTACCAAGCGATTTGCCCCAGTGCTGCAGGGGAACTGCTGAGCCTTCACCTTGAGCCCATGTGACGGAGAGGCGGGAGCTGACCACTTGCCCACAGGCTCTGGGTCCTGCAGGCCCCGGAGCTCCAGGCTGGCCCTTATGTGGCACCCCATCCTGGTAGTGCCTCAGAATGAACCTACCCCAAGACAACTCAGGGTTAGTCTTCACTATTTTGCAGACTGGGGGAAACTGAGGCACAGAGAGAATAAAGCAATGCAACCCAAGGCGTCTGTGGCAGAGGCAGGAATTGAACCCTCATTGTGCATCCTTCTAAGTCTTAGACAGGAGCATGGATGATCAAGGCGGGCGTTACCCTGGTCAAATCTTTGTGCCCTATAGGCTTCAGCATGATCTTGGGGGCGAGTGCAAGCGGGGGTGGGGATCTCTAGTTCCCGTGGTTATCTGAACTCTGCTACCCGTGACAGGGAGTATAGACCCCCAGAGACACAGCCCCTGCATGGAAGAGCTACCCAGCTAAACAAGGTGAGCCAAAGGAGGGGTTGCTCTGAGGAAACTGAGGCCCAGATAGCCTGACTAATTCAAGGGCTGGTAGCGGAATATGGGGGCAGAGCCGGGAGTCACACCTAGGCCTCTGAGGCTACTAGAGTGGGTTGTTCCACAGCCATGCGGCTGCAATGCTCTGTCCTCCTAGCCATGGCAGCTGGGAGAGGCCCACCCACTCGGGTGCCCTGGTGGCTGTGGCTCATGCATCTGGCCGAGGGGGTGGAGCCTGCCCCTGTGGGGGAGCCTGGCTGATGTGGTGCACGGAGCTATCCCAGCCCCTCACTCCCATTAAAATCCCCCCAGCTCCCTCCAGAGACAGAACAAGGAGGAAAGTTTAAAAAACTTTATTAGCTCTTTTTTCCCTTTGACGTGGCAGCCCCCCGGGCGCAGAGTCGGGCCTACCAGCCAGCCCTGCAGCCAGCACATTGGCAGGCGGGCGCGGGGCAGCGCCAGGCCCCGCTGAGATGGGGCGAGCGTCGTGCTCTTCCCACCGGTTACTGGCCACCCCGCAAGGCACCACGGAGCAAAGCTGCTGGCTCCGGATGGGGTCAGGTGTCCTCAGCTCCAAGGGGAAATGCTAGGATGGCAAAACTCGAACTCTGCCCCGCCCCAGGTGCTCACAGCGCCTCCTACTGGAGAGGGACCAATTGCCCTTTGGGAAGCCTGTTTGCCCCACACCGGGGGAGGGCTGTTATTCTTCTGCCCCACACTGGGAGGGGCTGTTTCTGCCCCCTCCAAGAACCTGCCTCTGCCCCCTACTATCTCCTTAACCCTTTGTGCCTCTCATCACGCGAACCTCGAGCGGGCAAGGGGGGAATTAAATAAGATTAAAGCAATAATAATAAGCTTCAAACAGTGCCAGGAGTTTGCAGTGTCTCGCTCCCCCCGCACCACCCCAAATGGGCTCCTTCCCCACCCATGTCACAACTTCCCCAGTCCTCAGCTGCTCAGCACTTGCTCTTACGTTCTGGAAGCAGGCCCCTCCCTACAGCCTGCCCATAAACAGCCCCACACTCTCAGAGGAAGGAGGGGGACTCCTTCCTGACGCCCAGCCCCCCCCAGTCGCTGCACCCCCCCAGGCTCTGCAAATATTGCTTGGGGGTGCCCCCAGGCGAACAGTCTCTCTGTTGCTCTCTAGTGGTCAGATTTTGTATGGCTGCTCAGGAGTCAGCTATTGCGAGTGAGCAAAACAGTCCTTTGGCTTAATTAGCAGAGGGGCCTGCATCAGTCCCAGGTTTGGTCCCAGCCAATGACTCAGCTCGGGGGGCAGAGGGAGGGGTGTTACGCCCAGACTTCTTCTCTGGTTTTACTGGGGGAGCTCACCCCACTGATGCCCCCCCTCCAAACACAAATCAATCCCACACCCCGCTCAGTCCTGGCTGCCAGAAGCAGAGACTGGACAACTGACAGTGCTCAATTTGTGCCAGGGCTCGGCCGTTCAGAGCCCCGGCCCCCCTGGGCTTGCTGCGTCAGTTATGAAAGTAAAAACAAAATTTTTGCTTGACCGCGGGCACCTCTTTCATTGCAAATTAAGCACTGAGGCCTGGAGCTGGATCACTCGCTAACCACTCGGTTGTGTTCGTTCCCTCTGAAGCACCTGGCACTGGCCACTGTCAGAAGACAGGACACCGGGGTAGATGGGCCATAGGGCTGACCCAGTATGGCCGCTCTTATGATCTTCTCTAGGGGCCCCCTTCCACCAGGGAGTCGAGGACACCCTCGCAGGACTAAAGGGCTCTGTAACTCCCCCTCCCCCAGGGCCTTGGCTCTGAGCTGGCGTCAGCAGGACAGGAGAGGGGCAGGCCGGCCAAGGACTGATGCGGAAAAATGTCTGCGTCCAAGGTCTGGGGGGGACGGGGGGGGAGGAGGGAGCTGCTAGAGGGTCGAGATGGTGACTGCTGCTGCCGCAGAGGCGGGGAAGAGATTGCAGCTCGGAACCTGGTGAAAGGGATCCAAGCGGATCCCAGCAGAGCCATTGCAAAGAAACGGCCGGGGAGCCCGCAGGCGGGCGCTCTACCGAAAACCCCGATGCAAAATCATAACACAAGAATATTCTGTCTGTGGGATCCACCCTTCCTGGCGTGGGGTGGCGGGGGGTGCAATCCCCTGCCTCGGTACCTGCGGGGTGGGGCCTCCACATGGGCCACAGAAAACCAGGCAGAGTCCGTAAGGGGCCAGAGTTAAAACCCTCCCTGTGCAAAAGAGGCCGACGCTTTCCGTGGTGGGTGCCCCGGGGCGCCCCCTAGGGGAGCTGAAGAGAGGGGTGGGGGTGCTGCCCCCTAGTGGATGGAATTTCACATGTGCTCAAGTATGTATACGCGGGGGCAGTGCGCATGCAGCTGGGTGAAGCTGCCCCCTGCAGGTTAGAATGGCACCTCGGCCCAAGGTTGGGGCCGGGGGGGGGGGGAGCAGCGTGTGTGTGTTAAACGCTGCCCCCTGCTGGCCGGCCTGTCACTCCTACGTGCTGCGAGTGGCAGGGGACCCACTGGGGCTGAAGAACGCTGCCCTCTGCTGGATGGGATATGTCAGAGCGGCTCGTGTGCGTGCTTGTGTGGAGAGAGGGGTGGGTGTAGGAGGGCAGCTGTGCGCATGCCATGCTGCCCCCTGCTGGATAGGATATGTCACAGCAGCTGGTCTGCACATGCCCAGCACTGCCCCTTGCTTGGGTGGAATTTCACCCCCATCTGCCCTGGCAACATTGCCCTGGGGTAACCCACGGGCTGGGCTTGGCTACACTGGGGCCACAAGCCCTCACTGCATCCCACCCCACCCTGGCCAGGGGACGTTGTGTGGCTCACTCCACGTCCCGCCCCGCAGTGGGGCCGTGCCCACACCACTCGGCTTTTAGCCTGTCCATTGTGCCAGGGCGGCGCCCTGCCTCAACCACTGCCCCATGGCCCCAGGAGGCCAGTGGGTCTCCCCTGGTGCGCAGAGGGAGATCTGCTTGGTGTGTGGAGGGGAGACCTCTGAGGCTGCCGGGCTTCCCCCAGGTAGGGGAAGAGGCTACCAGTGCCAGGTCTCCCCTGCCTTGGCAGGGGCAGAGAGAGACAATGGGTGGCCATGGAGGAAAAGCTGGAGCTAGCCCTGATTTCAAGGTAGCCCCCCAGGCAAGTCACATGTGGCCTCCCCCTTTTGCAAGGTCCATGCACACGCACGTGTGTTTTAGGCTGCAGCCCCTTGGGGGATCCGGTGCAGTGCCTGGGCTGGGGGGAGTTGCAGGGGGGTCCAGCTGGGCTCTGGTAACGCTACTTGGGGGGTGACCCTCTCTACAGGAGGGGACCCCCAGTGGGATCACTATGTCGGTGAGTCCTTCTAGAAGGATTCCCCTAGAGTCCTGTATCTTGGGGGGGCGGGGGGGAGAGTGGCTAGTGGAGGACTCTCCATTGGGATCCAGTGTTGGTGCTGATTGGAGGGATTCTCCCGCGGGATCCAGTGTCAGTAGTGAGTCAGGGGATGCTGATTGGAGGAGTCTCCCCTGGAATCCAGTGGCAGTGCTGATTGGAAGAGTTTCCCCTGGGATCTCCTGACCGTGCTGTCTCAGCGAGTGCTTGGGGGGCAGGAGGGGGGCAGCAAAGCCCCCAGTGCAGGAAACATGCCATGCCCCAGGCCGTAGCATGCAGGGAACGGGGCTGTGCACGTGTCATGTGCTTCCAGGAGCGATGCCCCCTTAAGCAGAGCTGGGGGCTGGAGTGGGGGGGGGGAAGCTTGTCAAGTCTCAAACTAAAATTAGCCAAAACGTGAGCCTTGTATTAATCCCCTCCCCACCGCCCCCAATGCCCCGGGTCTGCTCCTAGCCCCCACACCTCCTGGCAAAGGGTGCCCCCAGCAGCCATGCTCTGAGTGGCAGAGGTGGGGCGAGGGGTTCCCCTTTCCGGGCACGCTCAGAGGCAACGCCCCCGGGTTGCTCCTGGATTTGGTCCTCTGGACCGGCTCAGCCCCGCTGCATCGGAGGAGGGGTGTGTGTGTGGGGGGGTGTAGCTGAGACCTCTCAGCGTCCCTCTTAACGCTCCTGGATCCGGAGCCCCCACCGGCCCAGATCCTGCTCCGTCAGCTTCCAAAGTGCAGCGAGGGGGCAGGGGGCAAGCCATGGGGCAGGGGCATCCGTGCCCCGCCAGGCCGGCGGGTTCATCTGGACGTCACGCCCAGCACCTGCTTCATGTTCTCGTAGACCACGTAGCTGATGCTGACGGCCGGGATCACTTTCATGAAGTTGGGGGCGATGCCCCGGTACAGGCCCAGCACCCCCTCCCGCGACAGGATGTGCTTGAAGAGGCCCAGCATGGTGGGCTGCGGGGCGCCCTCGATGGAGGCTGGGGGGAGAAGGGGTCCCGGTCACTTCCTGCCACTCACTGTCACCCCCACCAGCACGGCCTGAGGCTCAGTTACACTCAGGCTATGGGGGAATGGGGGGGGGGACCTCAAAAATCTCCCTGTGGAGGGGACTTTCCCCCCCAGCTTTTAGGGGGCTTTCCCCAGCCCTGCTCCCAGGCCCCCATGCAGCAGGTGGCTTGGGGGCATTTCCAGAGCATGCCGTGCTACTGCTATTCTCTGCTCCCCAGGGCCCACGGGGCGAAGCATGAGTTAGAGCAGCCCCAAGGCTGCTCTTGTTGACACAGGGAGCCAGGCAGAGGGCCCCAGCAGCTGGGTACGCAGCAATATGCCCCAGGGATGGCTTGCCCAGCATGGAAATGCAGCTGCCTCTGGGGTGAGGCACAACAGCTGGGCACAGCAACGCTGCACAGGGACAGCTCGTTCTCGTGCTGCAGCTGACCCGCACTGAACTCCCACTCGCTCCTTGCCCCATGGATCTGCCCCCAGGCGCTGGTCCAGGGGAAGTGCTGTGGGGAGGGGCGGGGAGGGCTGAGCACGGGAAGACCCCGTCTCTCCACTAGTCAAGGCCCCAGGCCGGGAAGCAGGGAGCCCAGAACAGGGGCTGGTCCCCCAACCACCCTGGCTGCCTGGTCTGCTGGCCCATGGGGATTGGACCACTAGTTCTCCTAGCCCATAATGCACCTGGGTCAGCTGCACAGCTCATGGGTCCTGCCCTGGGATGCAGAAATCTCCTCTGCTTTCAGAGTCCTTAGGCCACGCCCATCCCCGAGGTTTCTGGGCCACTGCCCCAGCCCCCCCAAGGGCATCCCTCACTCAGTGCATGTCCCCCGATCTCACCTTGGGCTTGCATCCGGGTCCTCACCAAGGCCAGGGGGTAGCTGGCTATCTGCCCGCAGGTGCTGGACATCGTCCCGCAGGCCAGGAGCACCAGGATGCCGGGGTCCGCTGTGTTCTTGCTGTACTTCTGAAGCCACATGTTCTTCAGCGTCTACAGGAGGGAGGAGAGGAGACCTGACGAAGGGGTGGATGGATGCCAGGCTACAGCAGCGGGATGGGAGTTGCAAGGGATGGGGGGCTGCAGCGGGATTGGCAGTGAGGACTCCTGGGATCCACCCCCAGCTCTGGGAGGGGAATGGGGTCTAGTGGTTAGAGCAGGGGGGCTGGGAGTCAGGACTCCTGGGATCCACCCCCAGCTCTGGGAGGGGAATGAGGTCTAGTGATTACAGCAGGGGGGCTGGGAGTCAGGACTCCTGGGTTCCACGCCCAGCTCTGGGAGGGGAGTGGGGTCTAGTGGTTAGAGCAGAAGTGGGGCCTGGAAGTCAGGACTCCAGCGTGTGACAGATGTGCCCACGCTAAGCTCTCAGACCCTGACACCCAACGGTGGGGGAGGAGCCTATTGGCAAACAGACTCCACCCCCTCCACCTCATTTGCAGGCCTGTGGCCCCGCGGGCCCTGACCTCGTAGATAGCCAGGTCGATGCCAGCGTAGGGGATGATGCCTAGCACATTGGGCAGGTAGCCCTTGTAAAAGGCCCGGATTCCCTCCTTCTGCAGGATCTTCTTAGCACAGTCGGCCATCCCCGAGTATTGACCCGTCTTCCGCAGGGTCAGCCGGGTCTTCAGCACCTGGGGGACCGGATTCATTCAGGATAGCGAAAACGGCAAGCGGCCCTTGCCCGCCACACAAATGCAGCTGCATCTGGGGTGGGGCACAGCCACGGGCTAACCGCATAGCAATGGCTCAGCCGGTACAGAAATGTAGCTACCTCTGGGGTGGGGCAGGAAACCTGTTTGACAGAGTAGCTTAGGACTGGAATAAGGAATCACCGGAAGGACTGAGGGAGGGAGAACGGCATTTCTCAAGCTCGGATCTGGCTTGGGCATGTGCTAATGTCCCGATAGCCATTTCTATAAGGAGCTTCAAGGGCTATTTACCATCATGGGCACGCAAGCCTGAGATCGTACAGCTCACGTGAAAGGCACTTTCCCCCGGGGCCTCATGCTGGGCATGTCAGCACTGATTGCAAGGGGAGAGCTCCCCCTCTTGAGCCCCTAAAGCACAGCATAGCACCCCCTAGTGCTGCACTGACCGTGAGGAGAGAGCGCCCCCTACGGAGCGCCCTCCCACAGCACAGCACCGCCCAGTGCCACAGCTGGATCAGCACTGGCGCTGGGCACCTGCTCCCCCGGAGTACAGCACTCTCCAGTGCCTAGTCCGAGAGAGAGTGCCCCCTACCGAGTCCCTCACAGCCAGCAGACGCCCCCCTCCTGGATCATGCCTTGCAACCCCCCCAAACACGAGTCTGTACTTATCCCGTTACCGCAGTCTCTGGCCTTTCCCAATCTTCAGGGTCTTCAGGCAGGGTGCTGCTCACGCTGCTATTACCCCATTGGACAGCTAGGGAAACTGAGGCAGGGAGGCTGGGGGGCGTGCCCAAGGTCACACGGCCAGTCAGTAGCAGAGCTAGGACCTGAATTCGGGTCTCTTGAATGGCAGGCCCGTGCCTTAACCATTCCTCTGATATCACCGCAAAGTCCCTGCTTTCATACAGGACAGGGGAGCTTTCAAGGAGGCCAGGCTGTAGCTACCGCACTGGATGCAAACCCTGGATTGGTGCCCCCTAGAGGTGGCTCGGCGTCCACGGGGCGGCCTTACCTCCATGGGATAGATGATCGTCTGCGCAGTGGCACCGGCCAGCGAGCCGGCCACAAATCTTTCTTGCACCCGCAGCGTCTCCTGCTGCCCACGAATCGCCCGCTTGATCTGGGATGAGAAACAGCAGATCAATCGCCTGTGCCCTGAAGGCATTTTCCAGTTTGCGATCCACGCCCCACCTTTTAGTGGGCAAAGGCAGGTGCTGGGTCGTACCATGGGGTCCCAGGCTGTAGTCCCACGGGAAAGATATTCTGGGGGGTGGGGGGAAGTTGTCTGCATTTGGATGAGCTTGGAGACCGTGATCCAGGATTCCTGGGTTCTGTCCCCAGCTCTGGGAGGGGAGTGGGGTCTAGTGGGTTAGACTAGGGGGGCTGGGACTCAGGACTCCTGGGTTCTCTCCTTAGCTCGAGGAGGGGAGTGTAGACGCCCTGACATCTCTGTATCTGTACTCCTCCCCGCGGGGCTCCAGGCCCCCGGCACCCACCTGCTCATAGGCCATGAACTTGATGGCAGACTCAGGAGCGATCTTCAGCACATTGATCCCATTGCCGCGCCAGAGCGAGCGGACGCCCCCCTCCTGGATCATGCCTTTCAGCCCCCCAAACACGTTCATGTTGTTGGTCTTGGAGGCGTGAACCTGCGCCAGAAGTGTAGCAGCATCAGTGCCCGGGGAGGGTGCCCCGCCTTGGAGGGGCTGGATGCCCAGCCTCGTTAGGAACCCCAGCCTCACGGAATGCGGCCACCTCTGGGGTGGGGCACGGCAGCTGGTTAACACCTGCACAGCAATGTTGCACCGAGCCTGCACGTTCAGTGCTGAAATGCAGCCACCTCCGGGGTGAGGCCCCCCGATCGGTCTCACTGCCCATCTCCAAACCCCCTCTCCTTCTGCCATGTCCTTTTGGAGATGGGGTGCCCCAGAACTTCATGCAGAATTATGGGGTGCATTTGTGGCACCCCCTGGGGGGGGCAGCCCCGCTGTACCGATCAATGCCCAGCTGCTGTTACATTCCACCCCACGCAAATGCCCATGGGCGTCACTGCAGGGTCAGACTATTCAGGTACATAATGCCCACTTCCCTATAGCCACGGCCCGAGCAATGAGTTGGGAGCCTTTTATTACTTACCTGCATGAAAACTTTAAGCCGGTCCAGCGGGGCGGTTCCGGTTCTGGAGACGGCCCCAGCCATGGCGCCCGCGAGCAGCTGCTTCCACCACATCCCCGTCTTCTTCTCCTTCTCGGAGAATTCGTCAGGGACGGTAAGGCATTCGCCGATGTCCAGGACCTGCCGGGAGAGACGAGCGGATCAGAACCAGAACCCCAAGGACAGTGCAAAGCCCTGGAAGGAAACCCCCAAACAACAGCACCTCCTGGCTGTTATCAGCTGACCTCAAAGCGCTTCACAAGGGAAATCAGTAACATTTACCCCCCTTTTACAGGTGGGGAAACTGAGGCACACAGGATGCGGGGGGAGGCAGAAGTGATTTGCCCTAGGTCACCAAACAGGCCAGCGATAGAGCCAGGAACGGAACCTGCACCCGGCCCCCTAGTGGGAAATTCTCCCCCTACCCCCGACACCATCCGGGCTGCACCACCTAATCTGACCTCACGCTAGCCTTGCAGCTTGTCCAAGGTTGGGTTTCATTAGCTTGGCCGTTCATTATGTCTCACAGCCCCAAGGGAGGCGAGCGAGTGGGGCTCCTCCTGCCAGGGGGCAACTGGTGGGGCCAGGGTGGCAGGGAAATCCGTGGCTGGACTGCAGCTCCGGCATGAGTTACGGGGCTCGGCACCTCTGAGCAGCAGGAAATGGGTCCGCCGTGGCCAGTGGCTTCCTCCCCCATGCTGCTGGACTCCAAAGCCAGGCACTGACTAGTAGCCTACATGAGGCGCAAGCCTACTCCTCTCTTGGGGGAGCCAGGTTTAGGATTTAAGCCATCTCTATCGCCGCGTGCCAGGAGTCTCCTCCGGGCACCACCCGTTGGGCTCACATGTCGAGGGAGCCCACGAACGCCGAGAGCCATGCAGCCCGCACCAGGCTCGGAGCCCCGCTCTGGTAGGATTAAAAATTCAGGTGTGCAAAGCCCCTGAGACAGCCCTGTGGCTGGAGCCCTAAGAATGCTGCTTCCTATTGACGGAGTCCCGTGTCAAGGAGGATTGCCAAGCGCCTCGCAATGGTAGGGTGTCACCGCCGTTATACAGATGGGGAAACTGAGGCACAGACCTGGCCAGCGTCACACATGGAGACAGTGGCAGAGCTGGGAATAGAACCCTGAATTCTAACCTCTCCCTGCTCTAACCCCCTAGACCCCACTCCCTTCCCAGAGCCAGGGATAGAACCCAGGAGTCCTGGCTCTCAGCCCCCTGCTCTAACCACTAGAGACCACACCCCTCCCAGAGCCAGGGATAGAACCCAGGAGTCCTGGCTCTCAGCCCCCTGCTCTAACCACCAGACACCACTCCCCTCCCAGAGCTGGGGACCCAGGAGTCCTGCCTCCCAGCACGCAGGTGTTGTTTAATTTAGAGTCCAGCTGGCAGGAAGTGGGGGATGGACTGAGTTGCGGATGACTAGCCACATGTCCTACCCGTTGGGGATCACCCAGGATAGACTCCAAGCCCTGGGGGCGTCTCTGCTCAGCCTCCCACAGCCCGGCCAGCTCCTGGAGCCTCGGGAGCCCCCCGAGAGCGGCCCTGTGGAGCATGTTGGGGCACGCTCCAGCCGGATCCCCTGCAGCTGATGAAGGTTCCTCCATGGCAGGGCGAGCGGAGGAAGGTGAGAGTGGGTGTGGAGGGCAGGGCAGGCAATAAAGCCTCCTAGAAATCCCTCTAATGAGATTAGGGGGCTCTGCGGTGGAGGAGGGACTTGGACAGAACTTTGCCCTCTAGCTCATCCTGCCGTTTGCCTTTATGGGGAGGGAAACTGAGGCACAGGGAGGGGCAGGGACTTGCCCAAGGTCAAGAAGAAAGCCCAGGAGTCCTGACTTCCAGCCCCCCCACTGTAACTGCTGGACTCCACTCCTCAGCTCCCAAAGCCAAGGAATAGAACCCAGGAGTCCTGACTCCCAGCCCCCCCCCCGCTGTAACCACTGGACTCCACTCCTCTCCTGAAGCTGGAGACAGAACCGAGGACTCCTGAGTCCCAGCCTTCAGTGCCAACGCTGGAGCTATCCACTCCCCTCCACCGCCCGTAAATCAGGGTTAAATATATCGCAGCCTGTTTGCTGATTGCCAGCTGAGATTAGCCCAGGAAGAGAAACAGCCCTTCCAACTCCCGGCACTGGCCTCCTCCCAGCTGCCCTGGCCTCCAGGCACCTGCTAAGAAGGGGGCTGTTGCCCCCTTGGATCAGGGATGGGACAAAGGGATGGGTTAGGTCACGACTCCCTGGGGGAGAAGGTGGGGGTAGGGGGGCTGCTCAGTCTGAGTCATTGAGCTCTTCGGCGGACTGGGATGCGTTGGGCTGGTCCCCTCTGCCGCCGCTCAGCACCTTGGTGGCAGGAATAGAACCCAGGAGTCCTGACTGCCACCTGCCCCTCCACCCCACCTTGCCCTAACTCACTAGACCCCAGTTCCCTCCCAGAGCTGGGGAGAAAACCCAGGAGTCCTGCTCCCAGCCCCCTGCTCTAACTACTAGACTCCCCTCCCAGAGCTGGGGAGAGAACCCAGGAGTCCTGCTCCCAGCCCCCTGCTCTAACTACTAGACTCCCCTCCCAGAGCTGGGGAGAGAACCCAGGAGTCCTGCTCCCAGCCCCCTGCTCTAACTACTAGACTCCCCTCCCAGAGCTGGGGAGAGAACCCAGGAGTCCTGCTCCCAGCCCCTGCTCTAACTCTAGACTCCCCTCCCAGAGCTGGGGAGAGAACCCAGGAGTCCTGCCCCAGCCCCCTGCTCTAACTACTAGACTCCCCTCCCAGAGCTGGGGAGAGAACCCAGGAGTCCTGCTCCCAGCCCCCTGCTCTAACTACTAGACTCCCCTCCCAGAGCTGGGGAGAGAACCCAGGAGTCCTGCTCCCAGCCCCCTGCTCTAACTCTAGACTCCCCTCCCAGAGCTGGGGAGAGAACCCAGGAGTCCTGCTCCCAGCCCCCTGCTCTAACTCTAGACTCCCCTCCCAGAGCTGGGGAGAGAACCCAGGAGTCCTGCTCCCAGCCCCCTGCTGTAACCACTAGATTCTCCTCCCAGAGCCAGGAATAAAACCCAGCAGTCTGGATTCCTAGCCCCTCTCCTGTCTCTCCAACAGCTGGGATCCGGGTTGCTGGTCCTATTCCAGCCCAGCCGGGCACCCCCAGGTTGGGGACACGAGCCGGTGGGTCTCGGCCTAGTTCCCGGTGGAGATACGAACGGGCGCATTGATGGAGCGCATTGGCTGGGCAGTGAGGGGTACCTGGGGGTCTCCCGGGACCGGCCGGGAGCTCCCAGCTGGGAAGAAGAGTCTGGGCTCCCGGCCGAGGACCGGCCCTAGCCCCACCTCACCATGGAGTGCTTCCAGTAGTGGACGACCTCCTCCATGTTCTCCAGTGGGTTGAGGATGAAGTGGTCTCTCCACTCATGCCAGTCGATGGTCATGGTGCCGTCTTTGTCCATGCTGCCAGGCAGACAACAGCCGCGCCCAAGGTGAGGGTCGGTTCACATGCCCTGTCCCTCGTCCCCCGCCCCCTTCGCTGGCCTGTACCAGCCCCCACCAGCCCAGGGACCCAGGTAGCTGTGCAGATGCTCAGCCACCGAGACCCCCGCCGAGTGGGGGGCGGGGGAAGCAGGTTTTATTATCCCCAAGTCACAGGCAGGGGCAGCTGAAGTACAGAACTACTCCCCCCTGTGAATCAGTGGCAGAGCTGGGAATAGAACCCAGGAGTCCGGGAACCCAGCCCCCCTGCTCTATCCACTAGACCCCACTCCCCTCCTAGAGCTGAGAGTAGAACCCAGGAGTCCTGGCACCCTGTGCCCCCATACTCTACCCACTGAACCCTGTTCACCTCCCAGAGCTGGGGAGAGAACCCAGGAGTCCGGGAACCCAGCCCCCATACTCTACCCACTGAACCCTGCTCACCTCCCAGGGCTGGGGAGAGAACCCAGGAGTCCGGGAACCCAGCCCCCTGCTCTACCCACTAAACCCTGCTCACCTCCCAGAGCTGGGGAGTCCTGGCTCCCAGCTGCCCCCCTACTCTACCCCACTAGACTGCAGCAGTAACGAATGCAGCTTGTTTGGCAGAGCTGAGGCTGATCTCACTGGAGTTGCGAGCAGACAGCAGGGCAGGGTTGGGGGGCGTACAGCCGGGGGGGGCAGTTTGGGGGCCCCTGGTCTCACCTTTGAAGGATTTTCTCTGCCTGCTGCAGAGAGATGTAGACTCCGAGGCTGTGGAATGTCTGCTGGATCTCGGACACGTCGATGTGGCCTGGGGCACAAGCACAGGGACCATGCAGGTCAGCAGGGACAGTGGGGCGGGGGGTGGATTCAGGTGGGGCCGGGAGGGGGGTCCTACTGGGCTATAGAGCTGCACACAGGGGGCATCAACAGAATAGTAGGTGGGGGGGCCGACAAGGTGCGGGGAGCTGTTTCTACATCCCATCCCCCCCACGCTGCATGCCCAGGGAGATCAGCGAGCAGAGCTGGGGCCGGGATGGCTGGGGGGGGGGCAGGATAGGTTTGGGGGTGCATGCCATAATAGGGAGCGGGGAGAGGAATCTGCCTATCCAACACTTAGGTTCCCGCAACAAGCTCCCCAGAAGGGGGTGCTGGCGTCCCACCTGGAAGAGAGGGGTGGGGTGGGGGGGCTGGGTGGGGGGACAGCCGGGGAGGGGCCAATCCAGGCTGCAGCCAGTGAACTTGCGAGGGGCTGGGAGCTCCTAAAAGCACCAGGTCTGCCCAGAGGGGGAGGAACGGGGCTGGGGGCACTCACCCAGCCCTGCCTCAGCCCCCAGAGCCCCAGCCCCAGTCTGCCCTGGGCTCAGCAGCTGGCATCTTTAGGGGGTCACGAGCGGGTGGGAGCGCCAATGGGGGCAGGGAGGGAGGGGCAGCTGGGCTCCCGGTGTGAGGTCTGGATTTGCGGGGGGGGGGCACGTGGGGCCGTGCATGCATGTGGGCATGGGCGTGTGCGGGCCCAAGGCGTGTGAACACGGGGGTGTCTCTGGCCCTGCACGGTGAGACATCCGAGCAGACCCCCATCTCTGTGCACGCACGTGCATCTGTGCAAGTGTGTGCCCCCTCTCTCCATGTGCACCCCCAGCTGCGTCCTGCCCGGCGGGCCCCACTCTGTGCGGGGTGGAAGAGCGATCCAAGGTGGAGGGTGAGCCCAGAGGGGAGGCCAAAGAGGGAATGGGACTGAGGGGAGGGCAAATCAAAGTAAATCCTATCTGGAAGAAAGAGTGAGAGAAAAAGAAAATGAAAGAGTGTGGGGGGAGCGGGGGGATGGAGAATCACTGAGAAAACACCTTCCCTAGGGAAAGAAGGAGGAGGGGTACGGGAAAACGGAGGAAGAGAAGGAAAAAGGGAACAGAGGGGAAAGTGGAGAGAAATGTATTTATCTGGGTGCAGCTCTTCACTGGTCACCCTGGTGCAGAGATTAAAGCCACCCTGATCGATCGGCTGGCGCCTCCCCAAGCCACCCGCGTGGGCAACCACCTGCTGCTGTCCCAGCTGAGCACAGCCCAGGGCCCAGCACTTGCAGCTGCCAGCTCTGCCAACGCAATGCTCTGCCAGGTGAGGCAGAGGGGCAGCTGATGGGTCTGGCATGTTTACACCCACCCCCTCTCCCAGTGCTAACAGGAGCCAGCCACCCTGTGCACATGCTCGGTGGAGCCCAGGGAGGCTTCGGTTCAGGGCCCCTCACCCCCACCTGGGCAGGGATCCCCAAGATCAAACAGCCGCAGGCCTCCGTGAGCCACCTCCACGTGCTGGCCAGGAGGGGCCTCCTACATAAGGGGCTCAGTTCAGTTCGGAGAACTAAGGTCCTTAGCATTAATCCCCAGCTGATTTCCTTGCCAGGCCCTTAGCTAGAGGCTGGGGACGTGGCCTCTCAGCGGCTGAGTCCAGCCGGCGGCATGGAGCCCAGCGTGGGAAGGGCTGAGATCCCAGGGGCATGGAGCAGCCGGCGCAGAGCGCAGGGAGGGGACGGTGGGGGATCCGGCCCTAGGAAGTTCTCGGTCTGCGTGGCATGGGGCACAGACAGAGGGCTCGGAGCTGTCTGCTTTGCCGTGGTATCATCCACCCACCCTCTGCCGGCCCCATCCACCCATCCTGTGCCAGCCCCATCCTTCCATCCACCCACCCTCTGCCACTCCCATCCCAAGATCATTCATCCATCCAATACTATCCCAGTAACCCCTGAACCAGAGAGACGAGAGCTAACCTATCCCCATCCATCCCTCACCCCCCTAAATAGGCGGGAAGGGTGGCCTAGGGGTTAGAGCACTAGCCTGGGACCTGGCAGAGCTGAGTTCAATTCACTGCTCTGCTACAGACTCCTGTAGTGCTGTGTGCCTCAGTTTCCCCCCATCAGGACGATGGGGTTTGTGAGGCGCACAGACGCCATGGTAACAAGACCGATAATTAGTACCTACTCAAGATCTCAGTCTCTCACCAGTTCTAATATCCCTGTTCCCATAGTCGCTAAACGTGAGAGAACATCTTAAAGCGACTTTCAACTTCAAGTGCTTCCGCACATGGGAGACGCAGGGATCGCTTCCAGCCGGCTCTGGCAACGCGGCCACCTCTGGGGTGGGACGTGGCGGCCGCCTGCCAGCACACCGCAGCGCTGCACTGCAGCCCAGGGCGGGCTGCGGAGGATAATCCTGAGCCAAGAAGAAACTGCAAGGGGGAGCTGAGGTCAGTGGAATTTAATCAGGGAATGGGGCCAATAATATCCATGTCACTCACAAAAGTGATACAGAATCTGCAGTCGCTGCCCAGACCTTAGCTGTAACAGAGCACCTCCTCCTGGGGCTTTGGGGCCAGCCCCCACTGGGAGGGGAGAGCTGCCCCTACCCTGCAGCACAGCACCCCCTAGGGCCATGCTGGGGTTTGCACTGAGTGCCAGAGGAGAGCGCCCCCTAGCGAACCCCCACCCTGCAGCACAGCGCCCCCTAGGGCCATGCTGGGGTTCGCACTGAGTGCCAGGGGAGAGCGCCCCCTAGCGAACACCCACCCTGCAGCACAGCGCCCCCTAGTGCCACTCTGGGGTTCGCACTGAGTGCCAGGGGAGAGCGCCCCCTAGCGAACACCCACCCTGCAGCACAGCGCCCCCTAGTGCCACGCTGGGGTTCGCACTGAGTGCCAGGGGAGAGCGCCCCTAGCGAACCACCCACCCTGCAGCACAGCGCCCCCTAGGGCCACGCTGGGGTTCGCACTGAGTGCCAGGGGAGAGCGCCCCCTAGCGAACCCCCACCCTGCAGCACAGCGCCCCCTAGTGCCATGCTGGGGTTCGCACTGAGTGCCAGGGGAGAGCGCCCCTAGCAAACACCCACCCTGCAGCACAGCGCCCCCTAGTGCCACTCTGGGGTTCGCACTGAGTGCCAGGGGAGAGCGCCCCCTAGCGAACCCCCACCCTGCAGCACAGCGCCCCCTAGTGCCACTCTGGGGTTCGCACTGAGTGCCAGGGGAGAGCGCCCCCTAGCGAACCCCCACCCTGCAGCACAGCGCCCCCTAGGGCCACGCTGGGGTTAGCACTGAGTGCCAGGGGAGAGCGCCCCCTAGCGAACCCCCACCCTGCAGCACAGCACAGCGCCCCCTAGTGCCATGCTGGGGTTCGCACTGAGTGCCAGGGGAGAGCGCCCCCTAGCGAACCCCCACCCTGCAGCACAGCGCCCCCTAGGGCCACGCTGGGGTTAGCACTGAGTGCCAGGGGAGAGCGCCCCCTAGCGAACCCCCACCCTGCAGCACAGCGCCCCCTAGGGCCACGCTGGGGTTAGCACTGAGTGCCAGGGGAGAGCGCCCCCTAGCGAACCCCCACCCTGCAGCACAGCGCCCCCTAGTGCCACTCTGGGGTTCGCACTGAGTGCCAGGGGAGAGCGCCCCCTAGCGAACCCCCACCCTGCAGCACAGCGCCCCCTAGGGCCACGCTGGGGTTAGCACTGAGTGCCAGGGGAGAGCGCCCCCTAGCGAACCCCCACCCTGCAGCACAGCGCCCCCTAGGGCCACGCTGGGGTTAGCACAGAGTGCCAGAGGAGAGCGCCCCCTAGCGAACCCCCACCCTGCAGCACAGCGCCCCCTAGGGCCACGCTGGGGCAAGCACTGACTACCGGGGAGAGCGCCCCCCAAGGGACTGGCTGATTCCTGACCCAGGAGGAAAAGCAGCCCTTAGGGGCGCCCAGCACCACCGCCTGCTCCTTGGAGGTCTCCCAGCCAAGCACTGACTCTGCGTAGCCCTGTCTAGCCCCGGTGGGCATTGCAGGCACTGGCTGGGTGGCCGGGTTACCCCCTGGAAGGTGTCTCTCCCAGCTGACAGCGCCAGCGGAGGGAGAACTGAAAAGCCACCCACCCTCCAGGCTAAAAATTGCCAGGGCGTGACGCCAGCTGTGCCTGCTTCTCATCTCCCCGCTGCCCACACACGGCACAGCATCCCTGCCCCCTTTGCCATCCCGGGCCGGCGCCCACCCCAGGGGACCGATCCGAAGGGCCAGAATGGGGAGCGAGGGCTCCAGCTTCATCCTTGATAGGGGCTGCGGGGAGGGGGCAAACTCCCACCCCCAAGCTCCTGGCTGGGAAGGGGAGGGGTTAAAAAGAGCCAGGTGGGGGTGGGGATCAAGTGGCTGGGAGTCCTTTAATTCCCTGGCACCAGCCCAGATCCATCCCTGTCTCAGGCTGGAAGCTGCTTCCAATCTAACGCCCTGCACCCCCTCGCCCCCCACCTCGCCATGTGAACCGAGTTGGTTGGGTCTCAGTCCGGCTCCTGACCCCAGGGCCCCACCGAAGGGACCCATGGGCTGGCAGTCCCAGCAAGGAGGCCCTGGACGAGAGGGGGATGAAGAGATCGCGTAAGCCAGGGGCACGGTGTGTGTTGTTATGGTAGTGCCCAGAAGCCTTCAACTGAGATTGGGTGCCGGAAACAGGAGCCCTGGCTCCCAGAGAACCCAGGAGTCCTGGTTCCCAAGAACCTCCCTGCTCTAACCACTAGACCCCACTACCCTCCCAGAGCCAGGGATAGAAGCCAGGAGTCCTGACTCCCAGCCCCGCCCCCACTCTAACTACTTGACTTACTGGGACATATTCCCTTCTCACTTCCACCAGTGTAAATGCAGAGTCGCTCCACTGATTTCAAGAGGACTCTGTCGGTTTACACCCAAAGGTAACCGAGCCCCCCATATTTATATCTCACTCATCACGAGGCCTCAGGCCTTAGACCCAACTGGACTTGACCCTCAACCCTGTCTCTCTAGGGCAGCCAGATCTCACCCATGCCCATCGACGCAGGGCTCCGCACCCATCCCCCAGCACCCCCTGGTTCACCCAGGCGACAGGGAGCTTTGGACACCTGCCACCCCCTGAGCGGCCAGACGCAACAGGAAACCGGTCTGAAACCGAGAGGGGAAGAAGCTCCTAGACAGAGAGACAGACAGACAGAGACCGACGGACCCTCTCCCGAGCTGGGGATAGAACCCAGGAGCCCTGGCTCCCAGCTCCCCCTGCTCTAACCACTAGACTCCCCCTCCTTTCCCAGGGCAGGGGACGCTCCCATTGGAGACACAATGAGCAAAGATCGGGAGGCTGCCGTCAGGGGCTCGTCACCTGTTAGAAGGTGAACAGGGACGTGAGCAGCCCCGGGCGGTGCGGAGCCTGGCACCGGGCCCCGTCCCATTCAGGATCGTCCCTTCAACCACAATGGGGCTCCTTGAGGGAGCAACCCAGGGGCCTGGGTGGGGCTCGTGGGAGTCAGATTCGGCTGGCGACGGCCTGAGGGATCAGGGAAGGAAGCTGGAACGGACCGAGACAGGCCCGATCCTCTGTCCCTCGGGCCCCTCCAGCAGTGCAAAGGGGACCCCGAAGAGTCCTCCCTGCTCAACGGGGGGGGTCCACCCGGCTGCTGCAGAGCTGGCTCATGGACCCTGCTCCCAGGCCCCTGGCATGGCTGGCGGATCTGAGCCCCATGCCCAGGGGACAGACGGGACCAGCGTCAGGGACTGGGTGGGGACATGACGAGGTGGCCCTGGGGCGCATGAGGGGAGTGGGGCCCAGTGGCCCTGGGGAGCGGGGGGGGGGCTGGATTCCTCTGTGCCCTGGCGATTCACTGCCCCGCAGGGGCCACGGAGAGCAGATGCAAGGAGCCCAAGCCCAGATCCCCAGGCTTCGAGCCATCTTGGTCCCCACCACTGAGCGTAGGGCATGGAGCAACCGGGGCCAGAGAGAGAGAGAGAAGTGGGGGGGGGGGCAGGGGGAAGAGAAGCCAGAGGAAGACCAGAGGAGGGCAGGGCTTGGGGGGAGAAAGAGCGGAAAGAAGGGAGGGGAAAGAGGGAGAGGAGGGCTGATGGGAGGGAGGGACTGAAGGGGAAGAGGGAGCGGTGGGGTGGGGGATGGAGGGAGGTATGGAAGTGGGGGAGGGACTGTTGGGGGAGCAGTGGGGAGGGGGATGGAGGGAGGGAGAAGGGAGGTAGCGGAGGCGGAGGCAATGGGGGAGGGAGGGGAGGTTGGGGCAGCAGTGGGGAGGGCAACGCAGGGAAGGGAGGCTGTGGGGGGCAGGGGGAAGGGAGGCGGCAGAGGGCAGGGGGAGGGAACGCAGGGAAGGAAGGGGGCAAGGGGGCGGGAGGGGGGGAGGGAAGGGAGGCTGTGGGGGGTGGGGGACAGGGGGAGGGCGACGCAGGGAAGGGAGGCTGTGGGGGGTGGGGGACAGGGGGAGGGGGGGGGGGAAGGGAGGCTGTGGGGGGTGGGGGACAGGGGGAGGGCGACGCAGGGAAGGGAGGTGGCAAGGGGAGTGGGGGGCAAGGGGAGGGAACACAGGGAAGGGAGGCTGTGCGGGGCGGGGGAAGGGACGCAGGGAAGCGAGGCGGCAGAGGGCAGGGGGAGGGAACCCACAGAAGGGAGGCTGTGGGGGGGCGGGGGGCAGGGGAGGGGACGCAGGGAAGGGAGGCTGTGGGGGGCAGGGGGAGGGCGACACAGGGAAGGGGACGCAGGGAAGAGAGGCTGTGGGGGACAGGGGGAAGGGACGCAGGGAAGGGAGGCTGGGGGAGGTGGTGGGAAGGGAGGCTGTGGGGGGCAGGGGGAAGGGAGGCAGGGAAGGGAGGCTGGGGGGCAGGGGAAGGGAACAGGGAAGGGAGGCTGTGGGGGACAGGGGGAAGGGAGGCAGGGAAGGGAGGCTGTGGGGGCGGGGGGAGGGAAGGCAGGGAAGGGAGGCTGTGGGTGGCAGAGGGGGGGGGGCAGGGGAGGGAAGCAGGGAAGAGAGGCTGTGGGGGGCGGGGGAAGGGAACGCAGGGAAGGGAGGCTGTGGGGGGGGGGGGGAGGGCGACACAGGGAAGGGGACGCTGGGAAGGGAGGGGGGAAGGGACGGGGGGAAGGGAGGCTGTGGGGGGCGGGGGAGGGGAGGCAGGGAAGGGAGGCTGGGGGGGGAGGCTGTGGGGGACGGGGGAAGGGAGGCTGTGGGAGGGGGGGGAAGGGAGGCTGTGGGGGAGGGGGGGAAGGGAGGCAGGGAAGGGAGGCTGGGGGGGCAGGGGGGAGGGAAAGCAGGGAAGGGAGGCTGTGGGGGGGGGGGGGGGGCAGGGATGCAGGGAAGGGAGGCGGTGGGGGGGCAGGGGGAGGGAACTCAGAGAAGGGAGGCTGTGGGGGGCGGGGGAGGGCGACACAGGGAAGGGGACGCAGGGAAGGGAGGCTGTGGGGGCCAGGGGGAAGGGAGGCTGTGGGGGAGGGGGAAGGGAGGCAGGGAAGGGAGGCTGGGGGGCCAGGGAGGCTGTGGGGGACGGGGGAAGGGACGCAGGGAAGGGAGGCTGTGGGAGGGGGGGGGGAAGGGAGGCTGGGGGGGCGGGGGAGGGGAGGCAGGGAAGGGAGGCTGTGGGTGGCAGGGGGTGGGGGAGGGATGCAGGGACGGGAGGCGGTGGGGGGCAGGGGGTGGCAGGGGGTGGGGGGCGGGAGGGATGCAGGGAAGGGAGGCGGTGGGGGGGGACGGGGGAGGGAACTCAGAGAAGGGAGGCTGTGGGGGGGGGGGGGCGGGGGGGAGGCGGGGGGCAGAGGGACGGGAGGCTGTGGGGGACGGGGGGAAGGGACGTAGGGAAGGGAGGCTGGGGGGCGGGGGGAGGGCGACGCAGGGATGGGAGGCGGTGGGGGCAGGGGAGGGGACGCAGGGATGGGAGGCGGCGGGGGGGGGGGGGGGCGCGTACCATCGTTGTTGCGGTCCAGGCTGTGGAACATGAGCCGCAGCTTTCGCTCTCGCTCCTGCAGGTAACCCACGAACTCCTCGAAGTCCAGCTCTCCGTCCTGGTCCGTGTCGCCCTCGCGCAGGATCTCCTGGGGGGACAGCGGGTGTGAGGACAGGCCGGCCCCCCCCCCCCCACGCCTCGGACCTGCTGCCCGACATCCCACCTCGACTGCTGAGAGCCAGGACTCCTGGGTTCTAAGCCTGGCTCTGGGAGGGGAGTGGGGTCTAGTGGTTAGAGGGGGAAGGGGGCATCCTCTGTGTGTGACACGTGGATTGTGGGAGAAGGTGTGTTTGTGGCAGAACACACACACCGGCGGGGTGGTGGTGGTGAGAGGCTGTGTATCCCCCAAGGAAATATCAGATTGGTTGCATGTGTTACTGTGTGTGAGTGCAGGTAGGCGGGAGGGCGAGTGTGCAAGGTTGTGCGTGAGCTGAGTGTGCAAGGGTGCTCAGGCGAGCCTCCATAGAATTGAGAGAGTTTGCAGGGCAGATGCCCATGCGCCAGGATGCCAACTGCAGGGAATTGCCCCCGCCCCCCGTCCCGCTGGGTGGCGTTACCCACCCGTCGGGAGCACCAGGCAGGGGCAGGAGGGTGGACCGGGGCCCGTGCTGGAAAAGCCAAGGCCGTGTGCTCCTGGGAATGTCTCCCCCTGACAATGACAGAGTTGTTATTGTACCTGGGCTGAGGCCGCCTCTTACACACCTGGCTCCTGGCCAACCCAAATGTTCCCAGCGTCACAGGGGAGGTCTCCCACCCCCCCGCAAAACCCAGCTCTACAAAGTGCCAGGATCCCCACTTCCACCAGGGGAAACTGAGGCACAAAGTGGGGAGGGGACTTGGCCAGGAAGAGAACCCAGGAGTCCTGCCTCCAGACACCCCTCCTCTAGCCAATGGTCCTGAGACAGTCCGCTGACCCATGCTGCCCCTTGCCCAGGACTCCAGAATTGGGCTTGGTTTGGATCTGGATTCCACCGGGCCTCAAGCACCAGTGTCCGAAGTGGGGTTTGGATAAGAGCCCTCTGTGCTCTCCCCGCACCCCACCGGGACCTTGTGGTGGGGCAGGGGTCCATGGCCCAGGTGACCGGAACCAACAGCCCCACGCTGGCCTCTCTGGCTTTGCCACAAGTCCCTCGTTATTCGGGCCTGGATCGGGCCCACCTATTTTCGGCTTGTTCTGTTTACATTCCACATGCCGGTCCGGCTCGCTTGCACGTCCCAGCCTCTCTGTGAGAGGGGGAGAAGGAGACGAGTGGCGGGCGGAGGCGGATGTGAGGGCATATTTTGGGCACTTGCTCCGTGAGGCATTTCCAGGCACGTGCAATCAAGACAGGCTGGAAATTAGGTAATCCAGGGCTTGGAGTAAGGGGATGAGGAGTCAGGACTCCTGGGTTCTATTCCCAGCTTTGGGAGGGGAGTACGAGCTAGTGGTTAGAGCCAGGGGCTGGGAGTCAGGACTCCTGGGTTCTGTCACAAGCCCAGGGAGAGAAGTGGGAAGGATTGGGAGTCAGGACTCCTGGGTTCTATTCCTATCATTGCCACCAACTCCCCGTGTGAGTTTGGCAGAATGCTCTTTGAGCCTTTAGTGAGAGAACTCAGGGTTTGGGGACGGGCGCTAGATTGGGGCACGGGGAATCCAGTAGATCCCCATCCTCTGCGGTTCTGTGATAGTAAAGAGGCCACGAGCAATGGGCTAAAAATAAGGCCGGAGACATGGCCTATTTATACCTCCCCATGTTTGTCTGTATGTTTCATTCGGAACCCCCCCAGCTCCGTTTCCCCTGACACTGGGCTTCCTAAGCAGAGGGGTCCACGGCTACTCCCGCCGAACCCATTGGCTGGAGCCTGGGGGGGCAGAACTGGGGGTGCAGAATGGACTCAGCCGGCCAGAGGGTCAACCCAGGCTGGAAAAGCCCTGCCGAGTCGTGCTCACCACCCCCAGCTGCTGCAGGCTGGGCCTGGCGGATTGTGCCGTCTAGCGGCACAGAAGTGAATGCACGGGGGCACGTGAGCGCACGCGCACTTGGTTATGAACACGCAGACACATTCACGGGGTGCAAGCACACAAGACTGCACGGGGGCACGTGACCACGCACACACTTGCCTGAGGACACATGGGCACACGCATGCATGAGGGCACCACCAGGCAGGGCCATAAAGCGCATGTGCAAGAGGACACAGCGGCACACGCATGTCGAGGCCCACTCATGGAAACGGGCGCACCCCTGCAGAGGGGTGCACACGCAGGCATGCACATATGCACCTGGGCACATGTATGCACGAGGGCACGTGTATGCACAGACACGGGCTTGCACATGGAGAAACAGGCAGACACACCTATGGGGTGCAGCCATGCAGGAGGAAGCTCACGCAGGAACAGCTGTGTACACATGGACATTTGCACACCCTCCTGTGGTTTGTGGGATAGTAGAATGCCCCCCTCCCCCATGGGTAAAGCCAGGGGGACCCCAAGCAAAGACCAAAATACCCTGAATTACCCACAATACCCGGTTTTGTTCAATATCTTCATTAATGATCTGGGGGGTGGCGTGGATTGCACCCTCAGCAAGTTTGCAGATGACACTAAACTGGGCGGAGAGGTAGATATGCTGGAGGGTAGGGATAGGATACAGAGGACCCTAAACAAATTAGAGGATTGGGCCAAAAGAAATCTGATGAGGTTCAACAAGGACAAGTGCAGAGTCCTGCACTTAGGACGGAAGAATCCCATGCACCGCTACAGACTAGGGACCGAATGGCTCGGCAGCAGTTCTGCAGAAAAGGACCTAGGGGTGACAGTGGACGAGAAGCTGGATATGAGTCAACAGGGTGCCCTTGTTGCCAAGAAGGCTAACGGCATTTGGGGCTGTATAAGTAGGGGCATGGCCAGCAGATCGAGGGACGTGATTGTTCCCCTCTATTCGGCACTGGTGAGGCCTCATCTGGAGTCCTGTGTCCAGTTTTGGGCCCCACACTACAAGAAGGATGTGGAAAAACTGGAAAGAGTCCAGCGAAGGGCAACAAAAATGATTAGGGGTCTGGAACACACGATTTATGAGGAGCGGCTGAGGGAACTGGGATTGTTTAGTCTGTGGAAGAGAAGAATGAGGGGGGATTTGATAGCTGCTTTCAACTATCTGAGAGGTGGTTCCAGAGAGGATGGATCTAGACTGTTCTCAGTGGTGGCAAATGACAGAACGAGGAGCAATGGTCTCAAGTTTCTGTGGGGGAGGTTTAGGCTGGATATTAGGAAAAACTTTTTCACGAAAAGGGTGGTGAAGCACTGGAATGCATTACCTAGGGAGGTGGTGGAATCTCCTTCCTTGGAGGTTTTCAAGGTCAGGCTTGACAAAGCCCTGGCTGGGATGATTTAGTTGGGGTTGGTCCTGCTTGGAGCAGGGGGTTGGACTAGACCCTCCTGAGGTCCCTTCCAACCCCGATATTTTATGATTCTATGATTCAGGGAGCACTTTCTGGACAAATGTCTAGCAAGGGGAATGGGAGGCCTCCAGGACTCTTGGGTTCCACACCCACCTCTGGGAGCAGAGGAGGACTCCTGGGTGTGCGTGTCCATATACAAGTGGGTGTGGGCTCACCTCCCCCGCCATGAAAACACCCGTGCATGTGCGTGTCCCTCATACATGGGAGCCCCGGTTCACATACAGCTTGCGTGCGTGCTCATACGCCCCACGTGTCTTTGTGTGCATACAGCTGAGTCGGTGCACACCATCACACGTGTGGTCACGTGTACGTGTTTGAGCTCGTGCCTGCCACGCAGGCTGAAGTGTGTGTATGCCTCTGTACACGTGCCCTCAGTCAATCATTTCCCTGCTTGCGTGCAAGATCTTCCCACTCACTGATCCCCAGGTGTCCCTTCCCAGAGGCGGGCGCTGTCCCACCAGGGGAGGGGACTCTGATAACTCCCTCTTCCTTGGAACAGGGCACAAAGGGGGTCGAAGTCTTAGGGGCTAGGGGAAAGAGGGTCCCCCCTTTGCACCCCATGACCCCAATGCCCATCCTCTCCTGGATGCATTGACACGGAGAGGTCAAAACAACATCTCCCAGCTGGAGAGCCCAGCCCTGCAGCTGAGCAGTCCCCACTGCTGAGAGATACTGGGGCCCCCTGAACATCAGTGGGACAGAGGAGGCGGGGTTCCTGCCTCGCCCCATCTCAGGAAGGGAGCTGGGAGGAGAGGGGAGTAGCTCCCAATGTCACTGTCCCTCTCCAGCTCTGCCTGTTGCTCCTGCTGCCCGGGCAGAGCATCTGGCTCAGGAGGTACTCAAAATGGGAAGCAGTGGGGTCTAGTGGTTAGAGCAGGAGGGAGCTAGGAGTCAGAACTCCTGGGTTCTATTCTCAGTTTGGAGGGGCGGGGGGGTCTGGTGGGTTAGAGCAATGGGGGCTGGGAGCCAGAACTCCTGGGTTCTATTCCGTTTGGATGGGGAACAGTCTGGTGGGTTAGAGCAATGGGGGCTGGGGGTCAGAACTCCTGGGTTCTATTCTGTTTGGAGGGGGAACAGTCTGGTGGGTTAGAGCAATGGGGGCTGGGGGCCAGAACTCCTAAGTTCTATTCTCAGTTTGGGGTGGGGGGCTGTAGTGCTTAGAGCAGGAGGAAGCTGAGAGCCAGAACTCCTGGGTTCTATTCTGTTTGGAGAGGGAGCGTCTGGTGGGTTAGAGCAATGGGGGCGGGAAGCCACAACTCCTGGGTTTTATTCCCAGCCCTGCCACTGATTCACTGCATGACCCTGGGCATGTCCCTCCCCCCCCTTACTCCATGCCTCAGTTTCCCCACTGTACAGTGAAGCTGTGACAGTCCCTGCCAGCCAGAAGGCACCCTCAGCCCCCTGGCTCCCCCAGTGGCAGGGGCCCGTCCCGCCCTTACCTGTTCAGCTTGGGAGCTGGCATTCATGCCCATCCGCGCCAGGCCCTCCCGCAGCTCGTTGATGTCCACCCGCCCGTCCTTGTTGGTGTCCAGCTGGTCGAAGAGCTCGGCCCAGTGCTTCTGGCGCTCGGGGTCCCGGCTGTCCTGGCACAGCGCCCGCCACGGCGCCGGCCCCCCATCCCGGGCACCCCGCATGGCGGCGCCCCCCGCTAAGCCCCAGGGCTGGGGGGACCCCGCATGCCAGACCGGCGGGCTGGGCTCCTAGCGACTCCGAGCCCGTCCCCAGGGGCCGGGGCTGGGCTGCACGGCCCGGCGCTGCATGGCCTGGAAGCGCGGGGGACCCCGGGGCTCCGCTCACGCCCGGGACAGCAGGATCCCTGCCAGGCTCCGGGGAAAGCAGCGCCTCCGGCGCCAGGGCATGGCACAATGCGCTGGTTGCAGTCGCCTCCCACGGAGATTGTTTCCTCCTCCCCCAAAACCTTCCCTCCGCCCGGCGCTTCTCCTCTCTTCGGGGGAAGGGCACGTGGAACCCAGGAGTCCTGGGCCACTCTGCGAGGCTGCAGCCTTTCCCATTGTGCTAGGAGCTCTCCGCTGCCCGGGAAAGTGAACGAAGGAACGGGAGCCAGGACTCTTGGGTCCTATCCCCAGCCCTGGGAGGGGGGTGGGGGCTAGTGGTTAGAGCAGGGGGGCTGGGAGTCAGAACTCCTGGGTTCTTTTCCTGGTCTGTGGAGAGGAGGCGACTCTAGCGAGTTAGAATTGGGTGGGGCCGGGAGTCCGGACTCCTGGGTTCTCCTGTCTCCTGGAGGAGAGTGGAGCCTGCTGGGCGGGGGGGGAGCTGTGAGTCAGGATTCCTGGGTCCTATCTCCAGCTCTGGGAGCGGAGTGGGGTCTAGTGGTTAGAGCGGGGGAGGGGCTGGGGAGCCAGGAGTCGTGGGTTCTATTCCCAGCTCTGCCACTGTCTCCTGATGTGACCAGGACACATGGCCTTTGGACAAAGAGCATGTTGTGGAGACTTTCACCGCCTGGCTGCTAGTTGGGGATACAGGATTGTTCCCAGCCCACGGCTGCTTGGCAGCCTGCATGTGAAACAAACCTGGGGGGGGTCTCAAACCAGCTTGCCCGCAGCATGCAAGTCAACCCCTGTGATCGGTGCTAGCTGGCCCCTGCACTGGCAGCCACAGTGGAGAGGCCATGGCCCTGATGGGTCAGGGACACCAGAGGCCCGGCTTGCCCAGAGAAAGGGTCTCCTATGGGCAGGAGTGTGGAGGCCCATCAGGGATGGGTGCATGGGGTTTGGCCGATTACTACCCGTGGGGTCATCCCTGCTCAGCTAACTCCTTTTGCGCCCCAGGGTGCATGGAGCTTGAGATGCTGGGCTTCACTGAGAAGAGAGCAACACCCATTTACACCAGTGGGGGATCTGGCCCTATTGACACCAATGACACAATGCCTATTTACACCAGCTGGGGATCTGGCCACATTGACGCCGATGGTGTGATGCCCATTTACACCAGCTAGTCCCCAATTATTTTTGCATTTCAGGCTGGGAAAATGGAGCAAGAATCTCCCAAAACTGGGAGCTCCTAAAACCACCTGCTGTTGCCACCATGGGGCAACAAAGAGCTGTATGGGTCAGATCCACACTGCATGGGTAAACCCCTAAAGTCCTGGGGCCAGCAGGTTCTGGGGTCAGGACAATTCCCGGAACAGGCAGGACTTCTTTGTTGGTTGTTCTGAAATCTCAATCAGGAACAGCCCAGCTGTCACAGCTAGCAGGGTGGGCCACAGTCCTGATTTCGATCTCTCTTGAAATGCAACTTTGTGCCAAATTCCTTGCACACTTCCCATCCCAAAACACTTTGCACAAGCAAAATGAGTCACAGAGAGCATCACACTCGCCCCAACATTGCAGCCACCTCTGGGGTAGGACACAGCTGCGGTTTGACAGCTGCATAGCAGAATTACATAGAGATGACTTGCCAAAGCTGAAATACATGCCTCTTGTGGGGTGAGGCATGGTGACAGGACGGGGGTCACTTGCTCAGTGCTGAAATGCAGCCACTTCACGGGTGGGACATGGCAGCTGCTTAACAGTCAAGCCGTGACACTGCTCAGAGATGGCTTGCTTAGCAGCGAAATGCAGCCACCTCTGGGGTGGGCCATGGCAGCTAATTAGCAGGTGCACAGCAAAGAGGACACATGAGGATCACTTGCCCTATGCTGAAATGCAGCCACCTCTGGGGTGGGGCATGGCAGCTATTTAACAGATTCACAGCAATGCTGAAAAGAGAGCACTCACTCACTGTTGAGATACAGCCACCTCTGGGTGGGGGGCAAAGGGGAGAAAGTGCAGCAGCTGTTTGAGAGCCACAAAGCAACACTACCCAGCGAACACTCACTCAGTCCCCAAGTGCTGCCACCTCTGGGGTGGGGCATGGCAGTTAAATAATGATGCTACCCAGTGATCACTCGCTCAGCACCAAAATGCAGCCACCTCTGGGGCAGAGCAGGGCAGGGCAGCTATTTAACAGCCACACAGCGACACTGCACAGAGATCACTCACTCAGCAGCGAAATGCAGCCACCTCTGGGGTCAGGCACAACAACTGTGCTGAAATGCAAGGCTAAAGCGTTCATCACTGCATGGCTCCACCTGCCCTCACACAGACTCAGCTCACCCCACCCTTGGGAACACACTCAGGCCTGCCACTTGCCAAGGCCCAAACTCCCATAGAAGCCACGAGGCAGGTAGGACCCCCGTCACCCACCTGGCACCTGCAAAGGAGCCAGCCTGCATGCTGCTCTTGGTGGCAGCCAAAGCTGCCCGCCTCCTTGCACCCTGGTTGCTGACACCCAAGCTAATCCCTGTGTAGTGCATTAGCCAGTCACGGGGGCTTTAATGTTTCATGCCTGCTGCGGGTGCCATGATTTCATAAACGGGTCTAATCCCTGCTGTCGCAAGTCCCCTGGCAAGGCCCTGAATGAGCTGTTTTGTTCCCCCTGTGGGGCGGTTTAGCAGGACCCATGGAGTGGAAGAGGAAATCAGGCAGATTCCACTGGAATAATGCATGTACACCCTCCCGCCTCAATTCGGACGCAGAAGGTAGACGTGAAACCAAATATCCTCCCAGGCTGCTTCCTCCTAGCTCCCGATTGGTGGAGCCGCTTCCTGCCCCCCTCCCAGCTGTTCGCAGCCGTAAAGAGCCAGGCGGCCGGCGAGCCGCTGTTAACCCTTCGGCCGCCAGGCGGGGTTAACAGCCAGGGCCAGAATGACGCACACTGCTGTCTTAAAGCGGTAGGGGCACTCATTTAGGTCTCCCCCTCTCCTCCAGAAATCTGGGGGCCTTGCAGCCCCCTAGCACCACGATCCCACGCGCATGGCAAACCTTCCTGGAGCAGCTTGACTGTCTTCGTTCTACAGGTGGGGAAACTGAGGTGCAGAGGGGCGTGCCTAGGGTCATGCACAGAGGCTTTGGCAGAGTTGCAGCTAGGAGTCAGGAGTCCTGGCGACCATCCCTGCAGCCTGCTCTAACCACTAGACCTTATTCCCATCCCTGAGCAGGGAAAGGAACCAAGGGGTTCTGACTCCCAGCCCCCCTCCCCATTCTAACCACTAGATCCCGCTCCCCTGAACTGGGAATAGAACCCAGGAGTCCTGATGCCCACCCCCTTGTTCCGAGACCCCACTCCACACCCAGAGCTGGAAACAAAACCCAGGAGTCCTGACTTTTAACCACACTACCCTCCTGTTTTACACAATGCCTTCTGCTGGCTCCAGCTTTGTGCATCAGCTGAGGGAAGGCAGGAAGTGCTGGCTGCTGGTCTGAAAATTACCTGACCCTCAAATTACCTTCCTTTGCAAATGGTTTTACCTTGTAGCCAATGTTCCCTATTAGCTCCACTTCCTCAGCAGCTCTTAGCCGAGAGCAATCCCCAGGGGCACGGATTACCCTGGCCTCTTGGCTTTTCCAGGCAGAAAGCGTGGGCTTAGAGCCTCAGTTCCCTGATTTTCCCATAGCGCGCACCACGTCTTATTACACCGATTATTTTCTGGCCATCTCCTTTGCCCGTCTCCGGTCAGCCCGTGACGCCAGCCTCCGTCACCCACTGGCGACAGCTTTCAACCTGCCTTTGCGGCCCAGATCCTCACAGGGATTTAGGCACCGAATGCCCGGGGCAGTTAAATATTTTCAAGGATCTCGGCCTTCGTCCTGGCTCCCCTGCTCCCCCTCGCGCTTGGGAGCTGCTCCCCGTAAACATCTGCCAAGCCACCACATTGTCCGACTTCAAGCGCCTCCTTAAAACTCCCCTGACCTGGGATGCCTCCAGAAATCTGGACAAATGTGAGGCCGCTGGCCTGCTGAGACCACCTCGTGTCCGCTGACCGGTACTGAATTGTTTCCTTGTGCTCCCACTGTCTGTCTGTCTGTCTCCATGTGTTAACTCTTGTTTTATAGAGAGATTGGCAGCTCTGGGGGGCAGGGACTGTCTTTGAGTTCTGTGTTTGTACAGCGCCTGGCACAATGGAGTGCTGGGCCATGCCTGGGGCTCCCAGGAGCTACCATAATACACCTAATAAATAATGTACAGTGCCTGGCACCATGGGGTCCTGGGCCATGACTGGGATTTCTATGGTAATACAGATTAATACCGATTATGGTGGCAGTTCCTTATGGCTTAGAAACATAACAGTGGGCAGGTATTTCCTTGAATGTTGTTAATTACATGCACTAAATTGCACCTCCAGAGCCCAGCTGAGATCAGGGCCCCACGGTGCAAGGGGCTGCACATTCACTTAGGCCTTGTCTTCACTCGGAAGAAAGGTGTGTTCTTGGAGAGGCAGTGTGGCTTAGTGGCTGGCGTACGAGACTAGGACTTCTGAGATTTGGGTTCTGGCCCTGCGGGGTGCCCTGGAACATGTCTGTTCTGTGCCTCAGTTTCCCCACCTGTAAAATGAGGATAATGGTCCTGTTTTCCTTTGTAAAGCACCTTGAGTTCTACTGACAAGGAGAGCTAAGGATTACTTTTGGCTAACACATGGCAAAGCTAGGGCAGACAAGGCAGTTTGAAGTTTTCACCTGAGTTAGCAGGGCAAGGTAAACCCTAGGAAACCTGCATAGTCTCTAACTCGTGAAAGTTACAAACTGCCATGGATTTGACCTCCTGTTTGCTGACACTACCCTTATGCCAAGTGAAAATGCACCTACAGGGAGACAGTCAGTGTCCCCTCCCCCAAGAACTGATCATCTATGAGACCAAGGAAGGATTATGGGGAAACTGAGGCATGGCACAATGACATGACTCACCCAAAGAGTCTGCAGCAGAGCTGGGAATAGAAACCAGCTCTCTTGAGGGCTAGCCTCACAACTTATCCTCCAAACCAGGCTTCCACTTCCTCTTCCTCCTCCTCCCCGAGCTCTCTCTTTCTGCAAGTGGAAATCAAGAAGTGAGGCAGCCAGCTCTCTGCAGATCACAGCACCTGGGGACCTCAAGAGAAGTGAATTAGGAGTAGTGAGGTTCAGGGTGACCGGGGCTGCTGGGAAGGGGGGACAGAGCCTTTCATGGCTTGTTTGATCCAGCCCTGGCTAGCAGCCAGCATGGTGTAACGGGCTGTTTGCCTGGTCACAGACCACAAGGGGAATGTTGCTAGGTGCACAACTGGCTTTCATTCATAGCAATTGCACCAGGAGGGTAAAGAGGAAAGGCCTAATGCTGGACTCATTGACACTAGTGTAAATCTGGAGTAACCTCACTGAAGTAAATGGATTTACTCTGGATTTGTGCTCAGATCAGAACTGGGTCCAGAGAGTGATTGGTCCCTTAGCCTGGACTTCCTGGGTCCCAGGAGAGAAACATTGACAAGGCAAACTGGGAGCATGATCAGATTCCACTCTTATAGTGTCCCGCTTCCTCCATGGATCTCAAAGTGTTTTGCAAAGGAGGGTCGCTGGCATTAGTGTACGGAGGGGGAAACTGAGGCACAGACAGGGAAAGTCACTTGCACAGAGGAAATCAGCAGCAGAGCTGGGACCAGAACCCAGGTGCCCTGACTCATACTCTCCCCTGCTTTAGCCACTAGACCCATGCTCCCCCCTGGATTAAAACCCAGGTGTCCTGACTCCCTCTGCCTTCCCGTTACTCTAACCTACTAGATCACACTCCACTCCTAGAGCTGGGAATAGAACTCAGGTGTCCTGGCTCCCAGCTTTAACCACTAGACCCCACTCTCCTCCTAGATCCGGGAATAGAATCCAGGAGTCCTGGCTCCTGATCCCCACCGCCCCTGCTTTAACTAGATCACACTCCCCTCCCAGAGCTGCTCTCTGTCTAATGTACTCATATGACACCCCTTCCCCCACCAGTATCTGGCAGTCTCAGAGAAGTGCTATTATATGACACACACACAGGGAAACTGAGGCACGGAGCAACCGTGCCCAAGCAAGGAATTGACTCTTGGTTTCCTGCATCCCAAGCTAGTGCAATAATCACTGCTCCGTCATGTCTGTGCTGCCATATAGTGATAAAAATACCTGACTGAAGGGCTGGGAAATTGATCTAGCCGCAGCAGATCGAGTTCCCCATAAATGAGAGCCCTAATCTGGGGGCCGCAAGGGGCGGTTGATCTGGGTTTTTACCATTGGAGGCGAGAGCAGGATCCGGCCCCCTGCACGCCAGGAAGTGCCAAAGCATAGCCCCAAGGGAGAGAGCTGATCTAGGCCCAGCTCCGTCCTCAGGTGGGTTCAAGAGGCTTATAACTCTAGCTTATTTAAATTCCATTCTGGCCATGACAGCAGCGGCTTTCTCACCCAGGAATGTAGCGGGGGGAGCAGCTGGGGGCTTCTTGGCAAAGCGGCTGCCCCTGAGTGCCACGTCGGTTTCCAGGGGCCCTTTGTCCGCTGCCTGGCACCGATGGCTCCCCTCTGGCCTGGCTGCTGGGGTTTATGGGGTCTCCCCCGGCAGGGGGTGTGCTTCCGTTAGGCATCCCAGCGCCGGCTCCGAGTCAGACACTGGGGGGCAGCAGGTGTCTAGGGGAAGGCAGGTTAGTGAGGGCAAGCAAGAGGTAGAGAAAGTCAGGGCTCCTGGATTCTACTCCCAGATCTGGGAGTGGGGTCTAGTGGTTAGAGCAGGGGGCTGGGAATCAGGACGCCTGGGTTCTATCTCCAGTTCTAGGACAGAGCGTGGGTGAGTGGTTAGCACTGCAGGGACAGTGAATTAGTAGAACTTGTGGGTTCTATCCCAGGATCGAGGAGGAGGGGTGGTGGGGGATTAGCTCTCAGGACACCTGGGTTCTATTCTCATCTGTGCTGCTGATTTACCTTGGGCAAGTCACTTCCTTGTTCTGTGCCTCAGTTTCCCCCTCTATAAAATGGGGATACCAGTACTCTCCACTCAGAGGTGGGGGTCGAGGCTCTACCCTTTAGGGCTGGCACAGCGCTTTGAGCTGGAAGGAGCCGTGTAAGGACAGGATAATTATCATTGGTGTTTTACAGAGCTCACACGTGAAGTTCCGCCCCTGTGGAGAGAGGTGGCCTGTGAAACCGGGAGCCTGAGGTCTAGATCCCAGAGGTCCCTCCTGGACTTAGAATTGATGAAGCCGAGTAACCGGCAATTCCTGGGTTTCTCAGTGGAGAGGCTGTGTTACAAGAGGGAAATGGAAACATGCCCACCTAAATGGACGGAGACACACACACACAGAGGCACTAGCCAGCTCTCCAGGCTACGGCCTCAACCACAAAACCAGACTTTCTGGCTAACTGCTGCATCTGTGACCTGCTTTACTCAGGTGAGTAACCTTCATGGAAGCCAATGGGCTACATACGTGAGCAAAGCTGCACATGGGATCGAGTGGAATCAGGCACGAGGCTAGGCGTCAGGAGAGCTTAATTCGACTCCCAGCTCCGCCATTGACCTTGGGCAACTCACGTCCCTGCTCCGTGCCTCAGTTTCCCCTCCCACCGTTTGTATATTTAGCATCTGAGCTCTTCCGGGTAGGGATTTTCTCTCACTCTGTGTGTGCAGCCCCTGGCACACTGGGGGCCCTGATCTCAGTCGGAGTCTGTGCACCTTATGGCTGCAGGTGCATGTGGAAAGGCGAGGGTCCATCCTCTCCAGGTGGGAGGCAGGTGTGGGGGTGGCTGCCTGCGAGCCGAGCTCAGGTGGGCTTGGCAGATCTCCCCTTACCTTGGGCCGGGACTTTGGAGGCAGGATCCCCTAGGCTACAGATAGGCCCAGGTGATCCCCAGCTCTCTGGGGCATCCTGGGTTCGTTCCCCTGCATCAGGAGGGTCAGAGAGAACCCCTTGATGCAGCTGGGGCCCTGGGAGCGCCGCTCGGGTGAGCCCCGCCCAGGTAAGCGGGGGGGCGGGACCTGCCTGGCTCAGGTGCGGGAGGAGGGAGGCACCTGCCTGTCCCTGGGTCACATGAGCGAGAGGGAAGGCGGAGCTGGCCAGATCGCAGCCCGGGGAGGGAGCGGACAGAGGGATCGGGCCGGTGAGTGCGGGGAAGGGGCTTGTGGCTCTATGGGGCGGCCCCCACCCAGGGAGCAGGCAGGGCCGAAGAAACCCCCCCTGCCTCTTTAAGAGAGCCTGGACTCCCCCCCCTTCCACTTAAAGCCAGGGGACTCCCCGGGGAGCTGCTATCCAGGGAAGTGGGCATCTGCCCCCCCCCCCCTTGGGATTTGGCTGCTGGAGGCTGGTCCTCTCCCCACACACACCTGTGCCTTGGGTCTGGCTTCTCTGATGCCCCAGATCCGGGGGTGGGGGGGGCAGATACCCCCTGCTATGGCTTATGTCTGGGGTTACCTACACCCCGGCCTAGGCCCACCGTGGCCGGGGAGCGGAGATCCAGGCCAGTCCCTGCCCTAGCCCAGGGCAAAGGCCTGAGGCCCCGGGCGATCGGGTGCCTGGAGTTGATTCATGCTGGAGACAGGGCTTCCTGATCTCTCCGGGTGCTTCCTCCTTCGGGGGAGCCCCCCCCCACCGCGATCCTGGGAGTAGCCCTGGCTGGAGGGGGCTGGGGAGGGGGTCGCTCTGGGCAGAAGCAGGGTTAATGAGCTCTGGGTGACTTTCACTGGGTTAGCGCTTAATCAGCTGGGTTAAAAATTGACCAGCCAGGCCCGGCTGGGCTGGGACCCACAGAGGGAGTCTGTATAGGGGGGGACCCAGGGGCACCCCTGTTTCTTTAAAACCCCCTCCCTGCCCTGAGATGGACCCGGCAGGGCCGTTGATTGGGGGGAGCTGGAGTGGGCTAGGGTGGGGAGCCATCACTAGCCCCAGGTGGCTTGCCACCTGGCTGTGGGGTTTCGGGGGGGTGGGTGGGGTGGAGATTTGCCCGGGGGTGGTGGTGGTGGTGGCTTCTGCTGCTGTGGGCCAGAAATAAGGTCTGTGGTCTGTGACCTGGGCTCGTGCTTAGGGGGGCAGGAGTCTGACTGGGGCCTGAATGACTGGGTGGGGGGCAGGGGGGCATGTGTAAGTCCTGGGCTGAGCTCATGGCACATTCCAGGTGTGGCTTATGCCCCCCCCAACTCCCTTTGTGTGCCCTCCCAGCCCCTTCTATTTCAGACTCTCCTTGCTGTCTGCCCCCCACTTCATGCCAGGGGCTCTGTGTGCCCCTCAGGCCATCCCCTAGACCCCCCATGGCAAGGTCCCCTGCTCCCTGTGTGGGTGGCTCTTTGCTCCCTTCCCCAGTGGCAGTCTCTCCCATGCCTGTGGCTCTGTGTCTCCCCACCCTCACTTTTCCTCGTCCCTTGGTCCCCTATTCCCCCTCCCCCATACCAGGCTCCCCTCTTCCCAAGGGGGTGCTGTGGGCTCCCCTTGCCCCGCTGCATACCAAAGTCCCCAACAGGCCCTTCCTCCCTCTCTGCACACGTCCTGGACTCTCAATAGAAAGGTGGGCCGTGACGTGCCCCAAATGAGTGGCCCGCTACCACAGGCCTGGGGCATGTACCCCATGTTCACCTGCACAGCTGCCCACAGCTGTTCATCCCGTGGCTGCTCGCACCGGGCTGGGCTCCTCCCTGGGAGCTCTGTGCCTGGTGGATTTTTACCTTATTATCTGGGTTCCTCTGGCACCCCCTCCCCCCCAAGGCGAGCAGGGCCCTGGTGTGTTGGGTGTGGCAGAGACACGGTCTCTTGTAAGCTCTGTGGGGGCAGGGAATTGAAATAGACAAGGAAAACAAAGGGTTTTCACAGAGCAGCGGGGGAAACTGAGGCACAGAGTGGGAGAGTGACTGGCTGAGGAAGTTGGGCAGAACTGGGAGTGGATCCCGGGTCTGACTCACGGGCCTGTGTCTTAGCCACTAAACCATGTTCCCTAAGCAAGGGTGTGCGGCTTCTAACCCAGCCCCCTTGATAAATAGCCCCTGGCAAGAGGCAGCCCCCGGCCCTAAAGAGCTTGCAGTCTGAATAGGTGGGAGGGGAAACTGAGGCACAGTGAGTTGATCAAGGTTCGTGACCATGCTGGAAAGGGAATTCGGCTCTCCTGGGTCCCAGCCCGGAGCCCTAGCCACTAGGACACGCTGCCTGCCAGGTTCTCTGTAGACCTCGGGACTGGTTGAGCTGACATGGCTGTTGTGGGTGTATGGAGAGGCCTGTGGCTTATTGAAATACCGGAGAGCAGGATTTCTGGTGGCAGCTGGAAGAAATATGGGTTTGGTTTGTTGAACCATTTATTAACACATGAGTGATTGGATGATGAGGTGGGGGTGGGTCAATGGGCTGGGTTTTTCCTGGGATGGGAACCACAAGGAGTATGGAGCAGTGGGTAGAGCAGGGAGGGCTGGGACAAGAGCCAGGATTCCTGGTTCCCAGGCCTGGAAATAGTGTCTTCTCCGGCTTAGAGCTGACAGCCAGGACTCCTGGGTTCAATTCCCAGTTCTGCTAGTGACTCACTGTGTGGACTTCTGGTTTCTGTGCCTGGCTGTGCACTGGCCCAGCACTCTGCCTCCCTCTCACTTGGGCAAGTCCCTTCCCTGCTTAGTGCCTCAGTTTCCCCACTCACCTTCTGTAACACTCACCTTCCTCCCGGGGGCGCTGTGTGGTTGGATTCGGCCAAGGTCTGCGCGGTGCTTTGGTACCCTGGTTGCTTGCATGCCGCAGCAGCTCAAATGTGAGCTAGGATGGAGATCTGCTGAGAGCAGCGGGGATGGGGAAAGGGTCTGTTCTGTGGAGAAGGCTCCCTGAGCAGGGGCCATGGCAGGTTTGCTACCCTCCACCCTGCCCCTTCGAGCTTTGCCCTGCCTAATCTGGGGAGCCCTGGGTGACAGGAACTGCCTAGGGCCCGAAATCCTCCTCCTGATGAAGACATTTGCATCTCCAAAGGGCTGGATCACTAGAATTGAATGGATCCAACTGCTGGGAAACTTCATTCCACACACCAAGGAGGCTCCTACCCTCCCTCCCTCCCTCCCCATTCACTGTGTGCCTCCCTCCTCCCCCCTGCCAGGGGCTCTGTGTGCCCCATTTCAGGGTCCCGCATTCCTCCCAGCCCCCTATCCCCACCCCCTGCCAGGGGCTCTGTGTGCCCCGTTCCTTCTTCCCCGCCATTATCTCTCACACTTTCTTTTTGTGCCTTCAGCTGGTTCTTTGATCTGGAGCCGATTCAGCCCTGATCTAAGCTCAGAGATCTACCCACCAGATGTTGGGGGTTCCACGTGTCCCGTTCCCCACCCCCCTCTTCCGTTTTTCTGATCATCCCCCAAATCAACAGGGAGCTGCCCTGAAATATCCCTGGAAGTTTGGAAGCGATCGGACAGGGCATTGCAAAGTCGTTGCCTTGTGGACAATGCAGAAGTGCCACCGAGTAGATCCTTTGGACTCGGGAGCTTGGCCACGAATGGGTGGGATGTGCGGCTTTCTAGATACTTTGCACGGCCCCCCGTCTTGCTACGATCCAGGGTCTTCACAAGCTTTCATAGATTTAGCCTCCTGATCCCCCCCCCCCCCCCCCGTATTGGTCGACCAATTCAAAACCCGGCGCACCACTCACTGTCCGTGCGTGTGACGTGATCGCTCTGGAGAGCCACAGGTTCTGGGAACGTTCTAAGCACCCCGATTGATTGTGGGGGGGAAACTGGAAAAGGCAGATCCCGCCAGTGGGAGAGAGGGGAACGTCCAGCCTGCCGAGTGCCCAGCTGCTGCCGCAGATGGAGGAATCGGGTAGCTGGTCCTTGACAGCAGCTGGGTGCGCTCTCGTTGGGTGGGCAGCTCAGCCTGGGTCCGCGGTCCTCTACTTTATCTCGGCGGGGTCTGACCGAGAATGAGGCGGGATCCCCAGCGGGCGAGGTGCTGGACAAAGACAGGATAAGAGACAGTCCCTTCCCCCGAAGCGCTTGTCTAAACAGACTCGCCCCACCCCTGCTGGGAGACAGGGCGGTCTCGTTTTCTCTTATTGTACAGATGGGGAAACTGAGGCACAGAGTGGGGCAGTGATTTGCCCAAGGTCACCCAGAGGGTCAGAACTGGGAATAGAGCCCAGGGCTCTGTCTGCGAGGCTGACATGGTGAGGTCTCTGCTTCCAGCTGCGTTGGGGCTGGATTCTATCCCGGAGGCAGGCCCACGAGGAGCAGCATCACGCTTGCCTAGCACGGTGCTGAGGGCTGCTTCAGCTGAGGCCTAGGCTTGCTAGAGGAGGCAGTGTGGCCTAGCAGACAGAGCCTTGGGTTGGGACTCGGGACATCTGGGTTCTAGGCCCAGCTCTGCCTGCTGGATGACTCTGGGCAGGTCACTTCCCTGCTCTGCCGTGCCTCAGTTTCCCCATCTGTAACATGGGGGGAATGATTGTGACCTCCTGTGTAAAGCGCTTTGGGACTGGCTGGATAAGTGCCTAGAATTATTTCTGCACGTGCCCGGTTCCGTTCTCTCGGACTCTAGCTCCTGGCGCTCTGTCCGAACTTAACCCTTTAGAGACTTGAGTACAACCCCGCCTCCTGCCAAAGGGGCTGTGGGCACCAGGAACTGGCTGAGAGAAACCCTGAGCAACGGAGCTCAGTCTGGGGAGGATCCCAGCCACCCTGGGAGCTCAGGTGCGCGCGGAAACAAACCAACCAACCTCCACAAGATGTTGTAAATGCCGGGGGGGGGGGGGGGGAGCTCCAGAATCCCTTGCTCAAACGACCCCAAATTTGGACCACAGACCCCACCCCGCTCCCCCATGACGGGCAGCAAATTTAATGCCAATCCAAGGAAGTGGTTGGATCGTAGAGCGCCCGGAAGAGCCGACCTGATGGAGGGGTAGGCTGGGTGGTCTGGGGGTCTAATGGATGCAGAGCTGGGGGAGGGTGTCACTGAGGGGGCAGGGGGTTTACTAGTGACTCTGACCCCTTTCTCTCTGTCCCTTTCCCAGGTGGTGAAACCCTGGGGGCTGCCAGTTCCTTGTCATCCCCATCTCCAAGGGCCCCCCAACGGGCTGAGGACCCTGGGAAGCAGGAGACTGTGTTACCGTTGCACTATCAGGATTGTGATCCCTCCAGGGAGAGGGGGAGTGACCCCCCCCCATGTCCTCCCCTCCCTCCCAGACACCTGGGGGAGCGATGGCGGGCTACAGTCACCCCTTGCTCCTGGCCGTGGCCCTGCAGTCCCTGTTACAGCTGGCCCTGGGCCAAGGTAGGTGGTGGGTTGTTAAGTACATCTGCTTCTACACCGGGGTGGGAGGGGGGCTGGGAGCCAGGACTCTTGGGTTCTATCTGCAGCTTTGGGTGGGGAGTGGGGGTCTAGTGGTTAAACAGCCTGGAGTTCTCTTAACTCCACCACTGATTCAGCAAGTGATTTCCCCCCCCCCCCGCCATGCTCACCCCTTCCCCATTGTGGTGGCAGGGACCACGATCTTATCCTGCTGCTTCAACGGCCCACGACCAGAAGGAGAATCCCCTCTCCCTATCGGCAGTATAGGCCCTATGACACACATCCAAGCAGTTCTGATTCCATGCAGCAGAGGGCAGCGGTGCCCCCAAACACTGCAAGAAAGTGGATAATGGAAGGAGGCTGCAGCTTAGCTTGACTAAAGTTGCTGCTGTTGTTAGTCTGGGCAGCCAGAGGGGGGGACTTCGTGGCTTTAGATTCTGGTCACCAGGGCTGCGGATGCAGTGCCGGGGTCAACCCAGCATCGCCCGGGTCGGACCAAAACACAGGGCATTGACCCTCGTGTGTGTTTCCCAGCACGTGGGTGATGGGCACAGTTAATCGGCTGCCATGCCCAGAGGTGGCTGCATTTCAGCATTGGCTGAGCGATCCCTGCGCACCGCTGCTGCATGGCTATTAGCCAGCTGCCCTGTTCTACCCCAGAGGTGGCTGCATTTCTGTGGTAGGAAGAACGATCCCTGCATGGAATCGTAGGGAGGTTGGGAGAGGGGGTGTCACCCTTTGACATGCAAGGCCCGGATTGGCAGGTTTGATTGTTTTTTATTTTTGTTCCCCCCTCCTTGCTTCCATAACATCTTCCACTGGAGTTATGACACGGGAGAAGGAACATACAGTACCCCCGCATTCCCCCCGATCCTGTGGCTCTCAGTCCCCAGATCCCCCCCACACACACGGGGCCGTTGCTGCTGCCCCACTCCAGGGCAAACCGCAGGTGTGTTTGTGGAAGGCCCCTTCTCCGTTACGGCTTGATCCCGGGCCCCGCGCCAGGCCTGGCAGAGAGCCCAGGGAGCGGGCGAGGTGGGGCAGTGTGGTTTCAGTTGTCCGGGCGCTGGGTTTCGGAGCCTGACACGGGTTGATCCACACCCTGGAGGGGGTGGGGGGAGGGAGAGGCTGGAACAGGGTGGGTGAGTCACCTCTGTTGGGGGAAAGTCCCTGGGACTGGCTGATCTCTGAGCACCCTGCCCGCCCCATGTGTATGTCTGTTTACAGGTGGAGTCACCTACAAGAGTTTTAAGACCTCAAACAAACAGTTTCAATCCCCCCCGCCAAAAAACCCCAAACCACTACCACCAACAACCATGTAATTTACTGCTCTGGGCAAAGTGTGGGAGGGTCCAAGTTCCTTATCAAGCAAGGACTCAGGCTGCACAGTAAGGGCTAGTGGTTAGAGCGGGGTGGGGGCAGGGACTGGGAGCCAGGACTCCTGGGTTCCATTCCTAACTCTGGTAGGATCTAGGGCTTGGGGGGGTGGTGGTGGTGGTGGTTAGGAGTAGGGGCTGCTGGATTCTCAGCCCTGGGAGGGGAGTGGTTAGAGCAAGAAGGGATTGGGAGCCAGGACTCCTGGGTTCTATCCCCAGCTCTGGAAGGGGAGTGGGATTTAGAAGCGGGGTGCTGGGAGCCAGGACTCCTGGGTTCTATCCCCACCTCTGGGAGGGGAATGGGATTTAGAAGAGGGGTGCTGGGAGCCAGGACTCCTGGGTTCTATCTGCAGCTCCGCCATTGCTAGCAAAGCCGGGGGGGGGGGGGGTACTTGGGACCAGCCTTGTGCGCGGCCAGTCCTGTCCAGGGCCCCTCCTCCTGCTGGATCCCAGTGCTCTGAGTCGCACCCTGGTCCTGGGAAGGGCTCCAGCCCCTCCCAGCTGCCTGTTCTGGCCTGACCTGCTCTCTAGGTTGCAATGCACAAGGGTGCTGGAGCTGGGAGCGTGGGCTGAAGGCCAGGCTGGGGACTGGGCAGGGCAGACAGGGGCACCCTGGGAGTTGTAGTTCCCTACCTGCATGGGGAAGGAATGGGGGAGGGGAAGGGATGGGGGAGGGGAAGGGAGCGGCTGGCCTGGCTCGGGGACTAGCGGGTTGCTTACAGGCTGGAGGCAGAGTCCCGGGCCCTAGGAGGCTGGATGGCGCATGGGGGAAGCGGAGCTGGGATTGCGGGGATGAGCCCAGGGGTGCGGTCGAGTTGTGTCCTCTACGTTGGGCTGGGAGTAGGTCTAGTGGTTAGAGCTGGGATTTGGGGCTTCTGGGTTCTGTCCCCTGGGGATGGGTGGTTTGGGCTGGGAGTCAGGACACCGGGGTTCTGTCCCCAGCTCTGGGAGGGCTGCGTGTGTGTGTGTGGGTCTAGTGGTTAGAGTGGTGGGGGGCTGGGTTGGATGAATATAGGGGCTGGCTTGTGTGCACTGCTGCCCCCTGCTGGGCAGGGAATACCCTCCCAGGTCCCCAGGTGGCTGAGTGGGCGGGTGGTTGATGGGTTTCTCTTGCTGACCTGAGCTCTTGGGGGACAGCGTTGGGCCAGGCTGGTGTCGGGCTGGCGGAGACCTTCGGGCAAACCGCGGTCTCTGCTGGAAGTGATACTCTCTGCTTGGTGAAGGGCCCGCAGAATCAGAAGCCCCCCGGGGCGGTGCTGGGGGGGCGCTGTGCTGCAGGGAGTGGGCTAGGGGGCGCTGTCAGTGCTGACTCCAATGTCCCGCTGTGGCACTAGGAGGCGCCGTGTTACAGGGAGCAGGGACTGGGCTCAGTAGGGGGCGCTGTCCCATTGAGGTCATTATAGGTCACTCCATATGGCACTTTTCTAAGAATTGGGGTGGTGGTAATTTAAGGGGGAACGTGACAGCTCACTTGGATGACCCCAGGCTGCTGCTTCCTTAAATAACCCTCCCCCTGCCCTGGTGCACTTGAAACTGGGAATCTCCTTCACTTCCTGTCCTAAGCTGTTGCCTTGCTCTGCAGTGGCTCACCAGCTGCCACCCCAGAGGTGGCTGCATGTTGGTGCTGGTGGCTGCGTAGCATCAGTGCCATGGTTGAGCTTTCCGAGCGCTGGGGGGGTGGGCTCCAGCAGACGCCTCCTATCATCAAAGCCTCCTATTGCACCCCCTTGCCGTACCCCTCCACCTGCTAAGCTCCGTTCTCTTTATCCCTCTTTTAAATCAAGTCACGAATGGGAGCACCGCGACACCCACACCCGCATCGGGGCTCACGGTAAGTAGGCGTGGGGGGGCGGATCAGCTGTGTGTGTGTGGGGGGGGTGCTTATCCCAGCATGCACTGGGGAGAGAGACTTGATTGGAACTGGGCTGGAAGCTTGGAGATACTCCACAGTGTGTGTGTGTGTGGGGGGGGTCCAATTTGGGAAGGGGGGGATCTGGGGCCAGGAGGCCTAGCTCCCCACCTCTGCTTACCACGTCCTCTGGGGAACCCCCATCTTTACCTCCACACTCCTGGTTTGCTCCTGGTGTCAACCCCCCCACTCCCCATCCTCAGCTCCAACCCTGTCCCTGGTCGAATGCCCGGCTCCATTGTGCATGCAGCGGTCTCCCCTCTGTGCAAGAGTGTTTTCCTCTGCATCAGCCTCCCACTCCCATTGCTAACACAGGCCCCCCCTCCCCCCCGGCACGTCTCTGCCCCCCCCAGGGAGCTGGGCAGGGCATGATTCTGGTTCTTTGTCTCACTCTGCCCCCTCCCTCTTGGCAGGAGTCGGAGCGGCTGGCAGCCATCATTGTCCCCTCCCTGGTCGGGGGTCTCCTGCTTATTGGACTTGTGATCTTCGGGGCGCTCAAGGTGCGGGAGAGGCGGCAGACGGAGGGCACCTACCGGCCCAGCAACGAGGAGCAGGTGGGTGCTCGGGTGGTGACGAACACTAACCTCCAACTGCCCCCCGAGGAGCGGCTGATCTGACCCTGGGGGAGGGGGGGGTCACACACACACCCCCTCCCCGGACTGGCAGACTCTGTCCCGACTGGATACTGCGGTTCCAGAGCCGGCCGCACACCTGGGGGCGGCTCCTTGCTCTCTGCTGGCCGGAAGGAGCCGACGTCTTCGTCGCTGGATGCAGGATTTCCACCTGCGCCCCCCTGCTGCGGGCGGGAGGGTGCCGCCCAGCCAGGGCGGACACGGGGCAGCTCGCCCGCGAGCCTGCTGGCCATGCTGCTGCTCCGCAACATCGCCTCCTGGTGGCAGAAGCGGTGGGAGCCTCTGCTGCTGGGCTGGAAGATTGGCGGAGCGCTCAACCTCGTGCCTCTTTCCACCTGGTTGGATTACTTGATCCTCCCGCCCCGTCTGTGTCTCTCACTTGTCCTGTGACCTCCCCTACCTCTGTCTGTTCTGGGGCAGGCTGTGTGTAAGCTGCCCAGCTCACCAAGCCAGCCTCAGCTTGCAGATGGGGAGTGACTCTACGTTGGCACCTGGGCTGGTGAAAGTAAGGCTGGCCTGGCAGCGAAGGAAGGGGAAGCTGTAAACCCCTGCTCTAGCCTCCAGGGAAGGTTTTGGCCTTAACCGTCGTGCCTCTGTTTCCCCATCTATCACCCCCACACCATCCCCCCACTCACCCTGGTGCTCTTATGGTTACAAAACCTGCAGGCTTGTTGGATGCATGTGGAAGGTGCCACATCACTCCGTAGTGGCTGGTGAATGCACAGGATAATAGCCTCCTGCTGCTGTCAGCTGATGGAGCTGCTCCTTGGGCTGGGGGGCTGAAGGTACTGGACTCAAACCTGGGCCGCTGATGGGGTCATTTCTTGTGGTGCGGGGGAGGCGTGAAATAATTAAAAAAGCAACTCGGCAGCCTCCTTTGCTGTCCTGTCTAGGGGGATGGGACCAAACTACACCCACTTTACCGGTCCAGTCTCTTTGTCCTCTGGGGCGGCTGTGTTTTGTCTCTCCTTTAAACCAAGACTTGCTGGGAGACTTTTCCCCATGTGCAGCACCCCCCCCCCCAGCCCCCCAGCAAGTTCAGTGGCTTTTCTCCCAAGCCGCAGTGTCCCACAGCACAACCCCGCCCCATTGCTGCTCCCCCAGCCAGCACCTGGGCCAAGGTCATTTCCCTGCATGGGGCAGCCTAGGGCACAGCACCCAGGTGTCCCCTCCTCGGCGAGGCTCGAGCAGGAGCACCCATCCCCCTGCCTGAGGCTTCCATACCGAGCTGCAGTAGAAGCAGCGTGTGGGCTGATTTCTTCGCCCCCTTAGTCACTTGTACCAGCCACGGTTCCTGAGCCTCTGGCGTGGCCTGTGGGTTGGTGGATCTTTAACTCCAAGAGCTTTTCTCCCACCAGTGCCTTGGCCATTTGAGTTATGCGGAACACACACAATCCATAGGTTTTAAATAGGCCGGCCCATGGCGCTGGCTTTGCCTTTATGCCACCTGGGGGTTGTCCCATGAACATCTCAGCTTCTCTTGACTCTAACAAACTTTGATAACGTGGCAGCAAATTCCCCAGGCTTCCAAGGGAGGAAGATGCAGGGGAGCTGTTTGCCCAGCGGGCCATCCAGCATCAGGGGTTGCTGGGAACCCAGCTCCGCAGCCAACTGCTTGGATCATCTTTACGGCCCCTGGTCGGTGCTTCCTCGCTGTACCCCGTGTCTTGGCTCTGTCTCCTGGCGCCTCCGGGGCACGCTAACCTTGCTCAGTGGCCAGCTGAAAGCTTCCCTGCTCCCACAGCTGTCACCTGGTGCTGCACGTTCTCCGCTCAGTCACCTCTTCTCTCCTTTCAGTCCTCCCGGGAAGACCCGAAATTAACCGAGCTGTGAGAGCCAGGAGCAAAGGTCACCAGAGCTTGGCCCTTGCCCTTTGAAAGTGCCGGAGTTGGGAGCTCCCTGCCTCATGCCCACCCACCGGTCAGTTCCTAGTCGTCCCCTCCCCACAGGGTCACGCTGCCCAGTTTTGCATGGGCCAGTGGCCGCTTCTTACTACAACCTCCCTGTTCACCCAGCACGAGGGGGGGGGCTGGTCGCTGACTGGGGTTCCTGGGCCTTGTGATGATACAAATAACTGCAGCAGGGCTGGGGCCCTGACATGGGACCAGCTGCTCACAGCTCAGGGAGGGGTCCCCTTCCCCCCCCCCCAGTGCAGCTCTGCTCACAGCTCAGGGAGGGGTCCCCTCCCCCCGCCCAGTGCAGCTCCGCTCACAGCTCAGGGTGGGCCCCCTAGTGCAGCTCGTTCCCCACCGCCAGCCCTCAAACCTCTTCTTCAGCTGACACACCTCCAGCAGGGCTGGGAGCCATGTAGGATTTAGGCACCTCCAGCCCTTTGAGGAGCTGGGCCTCAGACCCAGGGGGTTTAGGTGCCCCAAGTTGCTAATCTTACCCCTTCTCTGCACACAAATATGCAGCAATTTAATTGACCCCCCCAGCTCGAAAGGAGGCTGGTCGTGCCAGGATGGCTCTGCCTCAGACCCGCTGGCTGATCTTGGACGAGTCATGTCACCTCTTGTGCCTCAGTTTCCCTAGCTGTGGAAGCCAGTCCTACAGAGCCCCGGAGGAGCGGGAGGCAGGGTTTCCTGCCCCACGGGGTGCTGCGGTGGCAGCTGTTTAAGCTGGGTTTATACCACAGGGTGTTTTCCCTCCTCTGTGCAAATACAACTTTTATTTTTTTTGTAAAATAATTTGGGGATCCATTAAAAAAATGGGGACCATGCCTCCCCCCCCACCCCTTGCTGAGTGACTCATTTTTTGCAGGGGACAGGATTCGGTCCGCCAAAGGAGGGCGGCAGCAGCTGCTCTTGACTGTGGCGCCCCACGGAGGGGGAAGGGGGAGGCAGCCTGAGGCTGGCTAGGGGGAGCGTTCAGCCCCACCCCATTGAACAGCAACCACTGGGCGGTTCCTCCAGAAGCATTTATTGAGAGCCCCCCCTGCCGGCTTTGGGCAGGGCCGCGTCTCCCCATTGTCCTCAGCCACGCAGGGCTGAGTGGGGCAGTGCAGCTTTTGGGCAGCTCTGCCCACAGCTCAGGCTGGGGGGGGCCCTGCTGCAGCTCTCCGGCCCCTGGGGAGCCCTGGTGCAGCTCAGCATGGGGCCCCTGGTGCAGCTCTGCCCAGAGCTCAGGCTGGGGGGGCCCTGGTGCAGCTCTCTGGCCCCTGGGGAGCCCTGGTGCAGCTCAGCAGGGGCCCCTGGTGCAGCAACATCCGTAGCTCGGCATAGGCCCCCCCCCTGGGTACATCTCTACCCATAGCTCAGGCTGGGGGGGCCCCTGGTGCAGCTCTCCGGCCCTTGGGGAGCCCTGGTGCAGCTCAGCATGGGGCCCCGGGTGCAGCAACGTCAGTAGCTCGGCATAGGCCCCCCGGTGCAGCTCTTTCTACGCCGCCAGCCTGCTAGGACTCAAACCTCTTCTTCAGCTCCGATACCTTGGGCAGGGCCGGGGGCTGGGAGGCTTGTTCCAGCTCCGGCCAGGCTGAGCTGGGCAGGGTGGCCCCTGGCCCCAGTGGGGGGACCCCTCCCCTGAAGTCAGTTTGCCTGCAGGCCTTGGCCTGGTACAGAGCCACAGCTGACTGGATGGTGGGGGAGGAGGGGCTATCTGATGGGAGGTGGGGCTGTGCCTCAGGGGAGGAGGGGCTATCTGATGGGAGGTGGGGCTGTGCCTCAGGGGCGGGGCTATCCTGTTCAGGGTGGGGCTCTGCCCTGCATGCCCCCTGCCCGGGCTCTGCCCTGCATGCCCCCTGCCCGGGCTCTGTCCCTGTAGTGGCTGCTTCAGGGGGGCCTCCTGTCCCTGCTTCTTCAGGGGACCCCAGCAAGCTAGGAGCTGGTGTCAGCTCTGTCCCAGCCCCTCCCTGCCCCCCGGCTGCCCTGCCCCCCAGCTCCTCCTCCCCCAGCTGGAAGGGCTTGTGCCAGGACACCCTGGGCACCGCTACCCTCTCAGCTGGCTGGGGAGGGGCCTCCTCATCCTCATTGATCCCGCGGTCCCACATCCCGCTCGCCGGGCGCGTGGCCTTGGCGGGGAGCAGCAAAGCCTGCTGGGAGTCCCCAGCCTCCTCCTCGGCCAGGGAGGCCTCCTCCGAAGACGGGGGGGCGAACTCCAGGGACGAGTCGTCCTCCTCGGCCAGCAGCCAGCACTCATGGTCCTGGGCCTGGTGCCCGCTCAAGTTCTCCTCACTGGGGTTCGTGTGCCTCAGCTGGAAGGGACAAGGAGCCAGGGTTGGTGCAGCACGGGGCAGGGAGAGAGACCTGGGCTGGAGAAGAATGGTGGGAGGGAGGGGCTAGAGAAGGGGGTGGAGTTAGGGGAGGGGCTAGGAGAGGAAAAGTTGGGGAGGGGGTGGAATCCAGTGGTAGGGTCAGAGAGGGATAGGGGAGAGAGGGGCCAAGAGAAAGACTTGGTGGGAGGGAGGTGCCCCTGGGGTAGGGGCAACCCAGGGAGGTGCGGGGGGGGCAGAGGGAGGTACCCGTGGGGAAGGAGGCAGCACAGAGCGAGGGAGGTGCCCGCAGGGGGGGGCAGCACACGGGGGGCACAGGGAGGTGCCCGTGGGGGAGGGGCAGCACAGAGAGATGCACAGGGAGGTGCCCGTCAGGGAGGGGCAGCACAGAGAGGTGCAGGGGGGCAGAGGGAGGTACCTGTGGGGAAGGTACCCGTGGGGGAGGGGCAGCACAGGGAGTGTGTGGGGGGGGGAGAGGGAGGTACCCATGGGGGAGGGGCAGCACAGAGAGATGCACAGGGAGGTGCCCCTCGGGGAGGGGCAGCACAGAGAGGTGCATGGTGGGGCATGGGGAGGTGCCCGCAAGGGGGGTGGGGAGCTCACCCTGGTGTAGCAGCTGCCCTCCTCCAGGTTGCAGAAGTCCAGGCTGCGGGTCCCGTAGAGCAGCCCCCGTCCACTGGGCGCCACCAGGCTCAGCGTCTCGAAGATCTCACCCAGCAGGTCGATCTCGCCCGTCTCCAGGAAGCTCTTGTCCAGCTCCCCCGCATCAGGGATGGCATCGGGGCCTGGGGGAGCCTCGGGGCCTTCTGCCGGGCCAGCCCTGAGAGACAGGGGGGAAGGGAGGGCTGGGCATTCATGTTACAGTCACGTGTGTAAACGGATATACAGAAAACATGGCAACAAGCTCGTGCACGAAAGTGACATCACACGTGTCAACACGCATGACAACCGACACGGGAACACAGCGTCACATCTCACACTCCGTCTGTGCCAGTACACACGGAAACGAACACGTGGAATAGGCAGGTCAACCGTCACGCGTGGCCCAAGGTCCAACACGCAGGCCAACCAACACGTGCTCATGTATTAAAGCTGGCCACCCATGCAGCCGTCTGCGTCAGAAGGGGCAGGCATGAAGCTGACCGCACATGCCAACACACATGTAAACACCCATGACATAGGCCCACAAACGTCACAGGATCACGCCTGAACGCAAACGCACGTGCGCGAGCCGACAGGCATACACACTGGGCACGCAGCCTCCCCCCACGCTGGGAGCATGGGTGTCGAAGCTGACATGCACAGGCCAGGCCAGCGCGCACAGTGACGCACGAGAGCTTCCCACACCCCAGTGCACGTGAAGGATGAGGCAGGCGACACAGAGAGCAGGCTATGAGGTGGGGGGAACCCCCTCCCATGCCCTGCAGACCACGCCCCAGGCCATCTCTGCTCTCCCCCCAATATCTGTGCTCCTCCCCCACCAGTTACCTCTGGGCCTCCAGCTCTGTCCCGCTGCAGCGTTTATTGGGTCGCAGGGGCCGGGACTGCAAGGAAACACGGGTCAAAGTGGCCGATCCCCATGCTCACCCCTGGGCAGTGCAATACCAAGCCCCTCCAGCATGAGGGGGTTGCTGAGGCCAGGACCTGCCTGCCCCCAAGGCCTTTCCATGCCCACCGCTCCCCGATCTGTGCCAGCCTCCCCCCACGCTGGGCTAGGGTCGTTATCCAGGGCCACGAGCGACGGAGGTGGGGTGGGAAAGGGAGGAAAGGCCCACAGCCGAGCAGAGTTTGCCTTGCGGCCCCCCACCCCCGCCCTGATGCTACTCAATGAGCAAGGGTTATCTGGGCAGGGGGGAGCGAGTCACTTCCCAAACGACCTGCTACAGGTTCCAGATGTTTCACATCTGCATGAAGATTACCTGCATGCCGCCATTATTCCCACCAGATGTTGCACATCTGCACCGGGAATTACCCACACCCCGCCGTTATTTCCTTCCAGATGTTCCACATCTGGGGGAGGACTATCTGTGCGTCCCCACCCCCTACAGAGGTTTAGCAGTCTCTGACCTTCCCAAAGTGCTGGGTGATCGGCAGCCGGCTCTGTAGGCACTCGGACTGGGTGCTCCGGGGCAGGATGGAACCCGAGAGCTGGTGGCTCCTCAGGGAGCCGCCTCGCTGCAGGGATGAAGCCTGGCTCAAGTCCTGGATGGGAGAACGAGGGCCGGGCAGGAAGACGGTGAGCAGACTCCAGGCAAGGCGTCCGAAGAGCGACAGAGAAGAGCCAGGGCTAGCTTCCCCTATCTGCTCCTAGAGGAGCTCGGTCTCAGTGACCAACAAAGGGGGGGCTGGTCTGGGGGTGACATGGAGGCCCAGCCCACTGGCAACTGGGTGGCAGCAAATGCCCGCACCTGGCGAAGCGCTCTTGGCCACGGCTGAAGTGGGAGTAGGGGCGGAATTCGAACCTCCAAACCCCAGTGCTCTTAATAGGGGCTTCATGCCATTTCAATCGGCCAGCTAGCCCGGCAGGTGAGGGCAAAGGTCACTGGGGTGGGGGCATATCTGGAGCTCAATGCACCTCGGGGGGGCCTTCAGCCCGATCTTCTCCAGAGCCTCAGCCCAAGGGAGTCCCGCTGCCAGGAGTTGCCAAGAATTGCTGGTTCTAGCCCCCTTGGACCAAGAGGTCGTCTTCTGCAGACCCTCAAGGGAGCTCTCCAAGCAGAGCGTCATGGGGACTCCCGGCAGAATCTGCCCTGGGAGAAACTAGAAAGTTTCCTTAGCCAGCTTAGGATCTATTACCCCAAACCCAAACCCTTAGCCCCCCTGTTGTCTCCTAACCCTTTCTCATCTACTACCTCTGACCCGAACCCCATTCACAATCTACTACCCTTAACCCTCCTTATGACCTGCTACTCCTAGCTCCTGCCCCACCCAATCCCCCAGGAAGCAGCTGATCAGAGGGGGTGGGGGAATTTCCTTAGCAAGGGGGAATCCCTGGCTCGGAGTTGGAGGTTGGGTGGCGGGGGGAGTCTGGGCAGGATCCCCCAGCCCAAAGAGGATTGCTGCAGTAGGAATCTTACCCTGTACCTCAAGCGACTTCGCATCTCCTTCAGCCTGTCTCGGGCATGGCTCTTGGCCTAGAGGAGAGGAGAGAGAGGGGTGACCAGGCAGGAAGCCATTCCTGGTTCTCTATGGTCTGATACAACTGTCCACTCTGAGATCCCGGCACGGAGACACGACTGCATCCCCCTGCAATACCCCAGCCCCCGGGAATCCCCCGCACACAGACGCGACAGCATCCCCCTGTGATACCCCAGCCCTGGGATCCCCCCCTCATGGAGACACAACTGCATCCCCCTGTGATACCCCAGCCCCCGGGAGCTCCCCCCCACTGATAAAATCCCCCTGCTAACAGAGCCCAGTGAACGGGGAAGACTGTGTAGCCGGCTGGTGACCTTACATATTTGTACATGTTCCTGACGGCTGGGTTCGTCTTGTTCTTCATAGTGTTGATCAGGGCCCCTCCGCCT